GCGCTGGAGAAGCTGGAGATGGATCAGTGCAACCTGGGCGGCGATGCGTGGGTGAGCGAGGAGTCCAGGCCGGCCTTGCGGAAGCTGACGGTCTCTCACTGCAAGGGCGACAAGCTGCCGGCGGGCATGGGTGAACTGGAGGAGCTGTATGTCGAAGAATGGCACGGGGGCGTGCTGGAGCTGCCGGCCACGTCGACGGCGAAGCTGAGGCGTCTGGAGCTCTGGAACACCACCGTTCGGCGGCTCCCTGACAACACCTCGCACCTCGAGGTGCTTCAGATCGTTGATGTTCGGCTCCTTGAGGGCGACGGTTTCCTGCCGGCCAGAGCGACGCGCAGGCTGAAGCGCCTGGACGCCTGCAGAGGCGACCTGAGGAGACTCCCCCCCGGTATGAGCGACCTCGAACGCCTCGACGTGTCAGGGTGTACGCGCCTCGAGGAGTGCTTCCTGCCCGCGAGCTCGGCGACGAGGCTGAAGCATCTGTCCGCCTCTCTGAGTAACATCGTGAGGCTACCAGAGGGAATGTGCTACCTTCGTGATGTCAACGTCTCGGGGTGCCAGCATCTCGATGTAGACTGGCTGCCCGGGAGCTCTGCGGCGAGCATCAACACCATCAGGGCGCGCGGGAGCAGCGTGCTCTGCGTTCCGCCGGGCTGCTCGAACCTCGAGACGGCAGACTTCCGCGAGTGCAGAAACCTGCGGAAGCACGACTGGGTGCCCAAGTGCTCGGCGGGGCGGCTGCGGGAGATACACGTGCATGGAAGCGGCGCGGCGAGCGTGCCCGCGTGGGCAACCTTCACATGCGTCGGGCTGCCGGCAGCGCCGTGTTCGGGGTCTTGATGATGGGGGCGTCGCTGCTCGTCTGTGGGCGGATGAGCGACGCCGGCGCCGGCGCAGGCTGTCAGCAGGACTCGGCGTGTGCGCGTGCGGGGCGAGCTGTGGCTCTTTCCGCTGTGCTGCGTTACGAGACTGTGGCTGTGGTGTGACGTATCTCGCCTGTGCAGCCCCTGCGCCTCCTCGCGCTGCGGCTTCGTCGCGCCGCGAGCCATTGCAGCCATGCCGCCTCTCGGACCGCCTCGCAACGACCGCACGGCTGCGTGACGGTGCTGCCTCATGACTGACTGTGTCTGACACCGGGGTGAGCTCGCCACGAGCGGCGTGGTGGACGTGGGGCGGCGCGGGCGCGAGCGGGTGGTCAGAAGGGGCGTCGCGGCCCAGCGGAGCAACCGCGCTGAGCCCTCGAAGGCCTGTGCGCTGGTGCAGAGGTGTGTCGAAGCGGGGCGCGCGGGGGTGTGGCGACGGAGCTTGAGATTCGCAAGGTGCGCACAGGCATGCATCGGTCGGGCCAATGCGACCGACCGTGCAAGGCGGCACGCCGAGCGGCCGGCAATCGTCGCAGTACCTGTTGACGGGACTAGTGTGTTTGAGAGCGGTGGGAGGGGTATTGGGGCGATCTGCGGAGACAGACATCATCAGTGGATGTTGAAGAGGGCGGTCCGGGAGGCTGCGTGAGCAGGGCGGGGCTGTACGGGCCCGAATCGCGGTCCCTGGTACCTGCCCCGAAGGGCGCGCTGTGGGCCGTTGCGGCATGTTTGGCGGTCAGGCGCCCATGCAACACGGAAACGGGGGAATCACAGTGGCTCGCATGGCGCTTAGCGGGCCTGTACGTCGCGGGCACGCGCGTGAGCGGGGCGTGCAAGACAGAGGCACCCATGCGCGCTGCTGGCGTGTGTGCGACGCAGGTGGCGGGAGTGTCCGTCCTTGCCAGCCGGTATGACGACCATAGCCACAAGAAGCACGACCAGGTGCGCACCAGCTGCCCGCGCGCGCTGCAGCGCATCCGCCTGCAGCCGGGACGACGCGCGAGCATGCTCAGTCATCCGTCATCTCACGCTGCGGCCCTGCAGGTCGCCGGGGAGCCTGTCGCTGTACGATCTGCACCTGGCGGGTAGCGGCCCGCTGTCGACGATCGTTACGCAGTACCTGGACGATGCGGGGCGCGCGGCGCTAGCGGCGACGTCGACGGCGTGGATGGCGCGGGTGATGGAGGCTGCGGACGGGTGCACGTGGGTGCCGGAGAATACCGCTGTCGCTCGCGACGTAGCGCAGCGGCTGCGTGCGCGGGGCATGGACGGGGCGACGCGGTCGACGGTGGAGTGGCCGGGCAAAGACGTGACGACGTGGACGCGGGCGGGCGCTGCGCCGGACGACGCGTCGGCGGTCGTTGCAGTGCGCTGGCGGGCTAGTGGCATGCCGGACATAACTGCGGAGATGACGGGGCTGGAGCGCATCACACTCGAAAGGGACTCGTTCAGCTCTGCGTATCTCGACGAGATGTATGTTGACGCAGCCGGGGTCGACGCAGTCAACTCTGACGCGTGGCTGCCAGAGAGCGCTCGGCCACGGCTGCGTCAACTCGACGTTCACAACTCGCACCTGCACCACGTCCCGGCGGGCCTGACATCGCTGGAGGAGCTCGACGTGAGCGGATGTCCGCAGCTCGCGGCGGGCGACACGTGGCTGCCGACGAGCTCTGCAGCTCGGCTCAGGAAGCTCCACGCCTCCTGCGCCAAGGTCTCGAGGTTCCCCCCGAATATGGCTTGCCTCGAGGAGCTGCACGCGCCGTTCATGGTGGGCGAGGAGTGGCTGCCGGAGAGCTCGGCGGGGAGCATCAGGGTGCTGCGGACAGATTGGTTCGCGAAGCTGCCACGCGGCCTGGACGCCCTGGAGGAGCTGCGGGTGCACACATCCACTGGTTCATGTCCACTGGTTCATGTCACCGACCGAGGATGAGCATGTGCTCCGTTTCGACGAGGCGTACTTTGCGCCGCTGGCCGGAGACCGTCTGAGGGTCCTCGACATTCGATGCTCGCCTTCAGAGAGACTCGTTCACATCCCGGCGAGGTTCAAGCAGCTGACGGAGCTCACCTTGAATCACTGCTCGCTGCCGGAGTCAGGCGATTGGCTGGACGCGCGCGCCGCGGGTGCCCTGCGGAAGCTCGACCTGCGCTTCACCAATGTGCGGCGCGTGCCGTGTGTCCCACTGCTGGAGCACTTGGACGTCAGCTACTGCGAGGGCCTAGCGGAGGACTTCCTGGACGCCGGCTCACGCGGCAACGTTCGCACGCTGGAAGCGGCTCGCAGTAGCATCAGGCGTGTGCCGTCGGGGATGGCTGCACTGGCGAAGCTCGACGTAGAACACTGCGACAACCTTGTGGAGGGTTTTTTGGACGACAGCTCTGCGGGGCGTATCAAGGAGCTGTCGTACACGGGTGACTTGTCGTGGCTGCCGGCGAGCCTGACGTCGCTGGAGCGGCTGACGCTGATGCGTTGCTCGGGGTCGTTGCGGGCAGATGTCGCGAGCCGCGTGCGGGTGCTGGCCGCGGTATCGATGGATCTGAACCCCACAAAGGGGATGGGTGCGCTGGAGGAGCTAGAACTGCGGTACTGCGAGCTCGAGGGCGATGCGTGGTTGAACGAGGAGTCCAAGCTGACCCTGCGCAAACTGAGCTTGTGTCTCGACAGGGACTCGGCGGCCCCTGTGCCGGCAGGGCTGACTGCGCTGGAGGAGCTCTACATCTACGTCGGGGAATGGGACGGCGTGCTGGAGCTGCCGGCGACGTCGGCGGCGAAGCTGAGGATTCTGCAGCTCACAGACTTCACCGACGGATTCCATCCCCCCGCTATTGTCGGACGCCTGCCTGACGACATGGAGAGCCTCGAGGTGCTGGACATGCAAGGCTGCTCCCTCCTTGAGGGCGATGAGGTCCTGCCGGCCAGCTCGGCGCGCAAGTTGAAGACACTCGTCGTCTCCCGCACCAATGTGCGTGGACTCCCGCCTCGTATGGACTCTCTTGAACACCTCAACGTGTCAGCGTGCACGAACCTCGACGAGTGCTTCCTGCCCGCGAGCTCGGCGACGAGGCTGCGGAGTCTTGACGCTGTGGGCAGCAATGTAGTGCGGCTGCCAGGGGGAATGCGTGCGCTGCGGGTGGTGGATGTTCAATACTGCAAGCATCTCGACCTGGACTGGCTGCCGAGGAGCTCTGCGGCGGGCGTGACGAAGCTGAGAGCGCGCGCAAGCAGCGCGCGGTGCGTTCCGAGAGGTTGCACGAACCTGGAGGTGGCGGATTTGCGAGACTGCAGATTCCTGCCTGGGTACGACTGTTTGACTGAGTGCTCGGCGAGGCGGCTGCGGGAGTTGCACCTGTGCGGAATGAGCGCGGTGCGCGATTCTCGATTGGGGGCGTTTCGAATTGTTTGGCGAGGAGCGCCATCGACAGACACTTGATGAGCGGCGCGCACGGGCGACGTGAGCGCCGGCGACGACTCTCCGCCTGGATCACGCACAACTCAATGCCAGCAGGACTCGATGCCGGACGCCGAGAGGCGTGCAAGCATTGCAACCTTGTTTTTGCTGGCGCATGTATGGGGGCGTGAGACATGGGCGCACCTGACACAGGGGCCTGTCTGAGGGCGGACTTGCAGCGAGTGGGCCTGGTGCCGCCCCGGGGCGGGCCCGCTCTGGGCCTGCGCTGAGAGCAATAGCCACTCCTGGTCGCAGGAGTGGCGCCTCCGCGGAGTGGTTGCGGACTGTGAGCTGACTGACTGCGGCAGGCTGCAGTTTCAACAGCGCACGTGCCGTTTCTGCGGTAGCGCGTCGCCGGAGGACCAGCGCCATCTCCTGCTCGAGTGCAACGCTCCGGAGGTCGTCGCGGAGGCGATCTGCGGGAGGCCGCGCTGGAGGCGAAGCCGTGGGCTCACTCGATCTCGGGTGGAACAGTAGTACTTCGCTGACCTACGAGCATCCTCACCGCGAGGATGCCGGAGCGGCCGAAATGGTACGGAGACGACGCTGCTCTTGCGCGAGTGTGGTCAGGTTGGAGCGGCTGGGCGCAAGCTCAGTCTCCGTGCTTTCCTCACACGGGTCGCTCTTGACCGGCCCCGGGCTTTTTCCCACTGGGATTTTCCCGGGATTGATCAACATATTCAATCAATTGCTATGTGAGGTCCTCCGCATCGAACCCGCCACGCGCCGCGCCCAGCTCCCCGTCCACGCGCCCCAGCCCCTCCGCCATCGTCCGCGCCGCCCGCGCCGTCCGCGTCGCCGCCGCCCGCGCCCCCAGCAGCTCCTCCCTCGCATTCTGCGCTGCCCCAAACACCGCCGCGCGCCCCGCGCCGCCCTGCGGCCGCGTCGCCTGCGGCGGCGCGCGCTTCACAGGCCGCGGCTGCCCCGCCGATGGCGCGCCGTGCTGGTACGCGTGCGCCTTCGGCTGCTGCGGCGGAGCGGCAGGCTGCCCGTGCGCATAAGTGTACGCTTGCGGGGCGGTCTGCGGGGCGCCCTGCGCCGCCCGGCCGTTGCCCTGCGGCGTGGCAGCCCGCCCGCCGGGCCGCAACGGCATGCGCGCCGCGGGCGGCGCGCCCGGGCCCTGCCCGGCACTGTTTGTAGGCGCCGCGATTGCTGGCCGCATCGACGGGCCCGTGCGGGGGGGCGCGGCACGGCCCCCGGCGCCCAGCTCCGCGGTGCCGGCCCCGTCGCCCTGCGGGCGCTTCCTGAACGGAGATATCCCGCGCAGCTTCGCTGCGAGACCTCCTCCCTTGGTTGGCTTGGCTTCGTTGCTGTTGGGCACCGCGCCGCGCGCGCTGCCGCTCACGTTCGAGTTCGCAGTGTTCCGCCGCGACGGCGTCTGCTTCCGGGACCCTCCCGCGCCGTGAACGTACACGAACGGCTTCGCTGCCCCACCAGGCGCTGCACCCTGCGCTGGCGGCGCCCCTGGCGGTCGCTGCGGCGGGCCCGGCCGACCCATAGGCCGTACGCCGTCCGCGTCCGCGTCAACCGACGGCCGAAACCGGAACCCATGCCCCTGGAACGCGCCCGGATCGTCGCCTCCGTTCCCCGCGCCACTCTGCAGCACCGACGTCCCGTTTTGTGCCGAACCTGGGCGGGCGGCGCTGCCATTTGCCGCGCGCGGTCGCACCGGCGCGGCGGAGCCCGGGCGCACAGGCGCCGCGGGCGTTTCAGCAACCTCTGCCGCGGGCGCACGCAGCGGCGCTGCGGCCGCGTGCGGGTTCCACGCCTGGCGGGCCGGGGCGCCGTTCGCGCTGCGCGGAGACGACGACGGCACGCTGCTGCTCGACCGCGAGGCGCTGGTGTCGCGGCGCCGGAACGGCGAGGCGGCGCGGAGGGCCGATCCCATGGCGGCAGCGGCGCGCTTTGTGCCCGCGGACATCGCGCGGACGACCTGCATCGGCTTGTTTCCCGCGCCGGTCAAGCCGACGGATGTGGCGCGGGAGCCCGCGGCGCCCGCGCCCCGCGCGCTGCGTCCCTCGAAGAGCTGCGAGACCACCAAGTCATGGACTTGCTGGGGATTGTGTTTTATCGACTTCGAAGTGTCCCGCGCGAACGCAAGGCCCCGGGTCGCCTCCAGCCACCTCGCGTACGCCTCGCAGACCTGCTTCGCCACGCTCTTGCGCAGCCGCTCGCGCAGGTCCCCGTCCGGCACCCACCACCGCGCCTGCTGCGCGCAGGTCTTTGCCAACCCTGAATTGAACGCGGCATACGTCGCCTTGATCGGCGCGCGCCGCCGGTCCGGCAGCCGGCCCTCGAAGCTCTTCAGATCCGCGACCTCCGCGGTCTCGGCCTCGAGTCTCTGCACCAGAGGGCCCCAAGACTTGTCTTTGTATTTCCCGGCGTACGCCAACACCCTCCCGCGCTGCCCCTCGTACCACCCGGCGTCCAGGACGTTCCGCGTGTCGCACTGCCGCACCGCGGACAGCACGAACGCCGCGTTCGTCATCTGGAACAGCTCCGCCTTCCCCGGGGACTTGTACTGCGCCGCCACCGCCGTCAGCTCGCCCTCGAGGCGGCTCATGATGCGCCGCACCGCCACCGCGAGCCGGCCGGGCTCCGCGGCGGACCGCGCGCGCCTGTGCGACGCGGGGGTGTCTGCGGGGGACTGCGGGGGTTTGTCCCCGAGGAGGAGTCCCAGAGACCCCCCGTGCTTGAACAGGAGGCGCACGTAGGTGACCGTGTTCGCAGTGAGCGGGTGCACGCTCGCGTCCGGGACCTTCGCGGCGGCCGTCGCCGTCTGCGCGGGGCCGGCCGCGCCCATGCCCTCCCCGACCGCAGCGCCGTCCAAAGACTCAAACTCCCGCCGGGCCGTCGCCTCGACGTCCTGCGACGACGGGGACCGTGCGCTGCAAAGTCGGGCGCCGCCGGGCAGGTGTGTGCGCGAAAGACGAGCGCAGCAGCACAGAGCAAACTCCACAAAAGATATGTGTATTTAGGTATTGAGTTTGGATGTCTTACGTTGACCAGAGCCTGCGTGCGGACCACGGGCCCCTCGCCGTCCCCGAAGCACTTCCGCAGCTCCTCGAGCAGCACCAGCAGCGCCTCGTGCGCCGCCAGCAGCCCGAACACCTTGGTCGGCGACGGCGGCGCCTTTGCCGCCACGCCGCGCGCCAGCTGCCCGACCGCCGCGAGCGGCTTCTGCAGCAGCGCCTCCGTCGACTGCTGCGCGAGCCGATACGGCAGCACGTCCGCCGCCGCCGCCGCCTCCGCCGGCGCCAGACACGCCATCGCGCGCGCCGCCAGCACCGCCTCTCCGGCCCACCTGTCCACCTCCTCCGGGGGCGCGTTCGGGAGGGAGTACACCGCCGCGGACAGCGCGTCCTGCCTCGTCGCCCACGGCAGGGCCTCGAAGGTCGTCTCCAGGGCCTGTCGCCGCTGCTGCACCCACACGGTGGCGAAGCGCTCGTCGCCGGCGTCCACCATCGCGGAGACGAGCGGGCGCAGCTTCTCGACGGCCGCGGGGTCGAGGGCGCGCGCGGACGGGTGCGCGCGCGCGACCGCGCCCCTGGCGGCCGCGGCGCCGTCCTCGTCGTCGCTGCCCGCAGCAGCGGCCCGCAGCAGGTCCAACAGCGGCATCGGGTGCTGGAAGGTGCCGAGCTCGGTGCTCGTGAGCGCGAGGCACTGGTCGAGGAGGCGCGTGCGCGCGCGGCTCATCTCCGCCAGTGCGTCCTTCGCGACCTGCGCGGATGTGAAGGGGGGGGGGAGTTTGGCGCGGCTGGGGGGGGTGTCGTGAGCAGCGCAGGGAGGGAGGCAGCGCGCGGTGCGGGGAACGCGCTGCGCGACGAGGCTGGCGCGTCGGGAGCGCTGCGGGGCCTGTGGCGTGACGGGGGTGCGTGTTTTAGTTGGGACTTGGTGTACGGGGGCGCGGTTACCTTGAGCCCGAGGTGTTTCTCGAGGTACTTGGAGGAGGTCTGGATCTCGTCGAGGCGTTTGAGGAGCGTGCTGGGGTCGTGCGTCGCTGCGCTGAGGTCCTCGGTGCCCTGCCGGCGCGCGAGCTCCCGGGCCTGCGCGATGGCCTTCAGGATGCCTTCCGCCTCGTTGCGCACGGACTCGATGTTGTCGTGCGCGGCGGAGAGCGCCGTCATGCGGACCTGCGCGGCGTCGCTCCAGGAAAATGGGCGTTTCATGGCGACAAACGAGCGAACACAGCCACTGGGGAACCAACCCACGGAAACGCGGCCGGGCGGTGCGTGTACGGCGTGAATGCGCGGACGACGAGGTCCGAGCCAGGCTAATCCTCACGCAAGCTACGTGTACGTGGATGTCGAGGGGCGGAGAAGCGATAGCGGGAGCGCGGAGAGAGTCACCTTGATAGGAACGGAAGCCTGTGCGAGGTCCTTCGCGTCATTCGAGATGCGCTGGAGCACCTCCTGGATGCGTGCCGTCGTGGTGTCTGACGCGAGGATGGACTCGCGCAGGGCTGCGCTGCCCGCCGCAGCGGCGACGTTCAACGGCGCCGCACTCATAGCACGCGCCCCCCGCCACGCCCCGCACCGCGACCTTTCAGACGCCCTGGTAGCTCACGGCCATCCCGGATGGATACTACGCTCGGGCACCGGTGTGACTGGAAGACCCGTTGCGAGGAGACGCTGCGGAGACGCTCGAACTTGTGCTTGGAAGCCAAAACCGCCTCGAGTTGAGACACGAGGTCTCAATAGGTGATGGCCTGCGGCGTGCGGACGCTCCTGCACACATGTACGCAAGTGACGCCTCTGAGGTCCCGGGGGAGCCCCGGCGCGATGCACGCGGGCCCAGGCCACGTGGAAAGCACCACACAACACAAGGACGCGCGTCCAGGGCGGTCCGCGCGATATACGGCCGCCGCCGTCGCTGAGCTGGAGCACCAGCGTCGGACGCGCGCGGCCACGCGACAATGAAGGCTCCGGGAAGCTCACGTCGGACTCAAGGGACCTACCCTTGCTTTCCTTGCACGCTGTTCGACACGGCGAGCTCGCAGCCAGCACCCGGTGTGCTCAGCGATTCCAGCCACACAAGCACGTGGCGGGTGGCGCCGGAGCACCGAATGCGCCCACAGTTCGCAGGCGCTCGGCCAAGAAGCAGCCTGGCGACGAGACCCCCCCGGAGAGTCCAAATGAGTCGGGCAGCGTCGGGCGGCACAACAGGAACCCCAGAACAGGTCATCGCACTTCCACGTCACACTTTACACCGCTCTCCGGCCGCGGCGAACCTAAGACGCATCACCATGATCTTCTAATCTCGTTTCTTCTCCTTTTTCCTTTCCTAAATTGTTGTCTTTCGTGCTTCGGCAACCACTCGAACGGTCGCCCCGCGCCTCCCGTCCGCCCCGCGCTCAGTCCTCCTGGGGCAGAATCGGCCGGATGTTCTTGCCCTTCTCGAACAGCCCGCCCTGCGTCCACCCCGGCGCCTTGACCAGCTTCCCGCGCGCCACGACGTGCGTCAGCTTCAGCGTGGTGTGCGACAGCAGGAGCAGGTCCGCGTCCTTCCCCACGTCGATCCTGCCCTTGCTGCGCAGCTTGAGCATGCGCGCGGGGTTGCTCGTCATGAGCGGAATGATGCGCTCGATGGGCCAGCGCATCTGGAAGTACAGCTGGCGCAACAGACGCAGCAGCGCCTTGGTGTCCGCGGCCTTGTACGCGACGAGCTTCCCGTTGACGTCGAACGTCGGCAGCGAGCCGTACGAGTCCGACGACACCGAGACGTTCTCCATGGGGAGGCCCTCGTGGAAGTACTTGCCCAGCGCGACGCGGGTGCGCACCGAGCGGCCCGTGAAGTCCAGGAACCCGCCCGCGCGCAGCCACTTCGCGCCGTCCTCGATGAGCTCCTCGGACCGGTCCATGTGCGTGGGGATGAACTGCGTGATGGGGATCTCGCTGTTCTCGACCACGTCCCACAGCGGCTTCAGGAGGCCCTTGCCGGGGCCGATGTGGATGTGCACGATGCCGGCCTTGTTCGAGAGCATCCCCGCGACGCGGGCCTCCGCGGCCAGGCCCGCGAGCGTGTCGATGGTGGGCTGCGAGCCGCGGTGGTCGCTCACGGCGACCTCGCCGACGCCGATGACCTGCTCGACCGACATGATGTCCTTGGTGACGGAGCCCGTGAGGGTGGGGCCCGGGCAGGCGTAGTTGCCGCTCCACATGTAGGCGGTCATGCCCTCCTCGTTGAGCGCGCGGCACTTGGCCAACAGGTTCTCCTGGCTGCGCGAGAAGCCGTCCGTGCCCAGGATGCCCACCACGGTCGTGATGCCGCCGGAGAGGAGCTCCGAGAGCCTGCGGGGATCGGGACGGGTGCGGCGGAGACGTGAGCGCGTCGTACACGAAGCGCGGCTGCGCAGGATGACCAGACAGACAGACAGGCTCTGTAGCTGAGAGCCGGTGCGGAACGAGGAAGCCAAGAGCATGCAGACCGCCCGCGTCGAGCGCGCACTACCGCGGGCGCGCGCCCGGCGAAGGGGGGGGGCGACATGCAAGAGGAGACGCACGAGCACGCGGTGCAGAACAAAGCGCGGGGCACGCACTTGGCCTCCGGCGTCCTCGACGACGGCCCGGCCTCCCCGCCGCCGCCCGTGACGTGCACGTGCATGTCCACGATGCCCGGCACCACGATCGCGCCCGCGGCGTCCAGGACCTTGACCATGGCCATGGCCTGCATCACCGCGGCCTCCTCCTCGCCCAGCAGCGCCACCACCTTCCCGCCGGCGACCAGGATGTTGCGCGCGTCGAGCGGCTCGGGCGAGTACACCATCTCGGCGTTCCGGATCAGCATCAGGTCCGCGGCCACCTCATCGGGGATCGCCGGCGCCGGCAGCGGGCCCAGCTCCGTCACGCCCGCCTCCAGCCGCGCGGCCTCCTTCACGAGGTGCTCCTGGATCTTGATCGCCTTGTCGTGCAGGAGCGCGCAGTCCAGCGCCGTGCTGCTGATCGCCACGCACACGCACTCCACGCCCTTCAGGTACAGCGCGGGGAAGATGCCGCGCGTGCGGCTGCCGGGCTGGAACGCGACGCCCTTCTGCTCGAGCGTGGAGTAGAAGCGCTGCGCGGTGACGCTCGCGGGGGGCGTGAAGCGCCACATGAAGTACTTGGAGCCCGCGGGCGCGCACTGCCGCACAAAGTGCATGGCCGCGAGGAGCGGCGCGAACGCCGACGACGACATGCCGCTCAGGACGGGCGCGCCGTTGACGATGAAGAAGTGCAGCGCGCCCGCCGTGGCCGGCGCCGCGGCCGCGACCAGCACGCCCGCCAGCTCGGCGGCCTTGGCGGCGAGCTTGCGCGGCGCCATGGTCGGCCGCAGGCCCGCGACGTAGTTCCCGACGACGACCTTGTCCATGATCTCGTTCGCGAGGACCTTGCCGTTCTCGAACGGCACCATCAGCGTCAGCTGCAGGTCGTCCGAGGCCCGGTCCAGCTGCAGGTGCTCCTCCAGCACCACCTCGCCGGCGCTGAAGGCGTACAGCCGGAGCTGCTCGGAGTCGGTGATCGTGAGGACGTGCTCGCCGAGGATCCCGACCGCCGGCTTCAGGACCGCCTGGAACTGCTCGGGCTCGGACGCGGCCTGCGACTGCGCCGCAAAGCCGTACGAGTGCTTGGCCTCCTCGGCCGCGGAGCGCTCCTTCTGGCGCTTCTCGCTCGCGGCGCGCAGGAGGTCGAACGCCTTGACGAGCTCGTCGACGTTGGAGCACACGTAGCCGTGCGGCGTCTCCACGGTGATGCCCTTGGCCTTGGCGGCGAGCTCGAGCGGGGAGGGCGCGTCGGGGGTGCGCGCGCGGCGGTGCATCCACGCGCGCGTGCCCCACGCGCCCTGCGTGCGCGCCGCCGCGTTCGGCGGCTCCTCGGCGTACGTCTGCACGTGGAACTCGCCCAGCTGCGACGACCAGCGGCGGAAGGATTTCGAGGCCTCGAACGGGATGATGGCCGCGCCCATCGGCGGCGGCGGCGCGGCGGCGTCCGCGGGCGTGTTCGTGCCGAGCAGCGCGCCCTTGATCCGCACGATCGTGTCGTCGTCGACGTCGTCGTCCATCACCGCCGACGTGTTGGACGTGTAGACGATCTGCTGGTCCGTGATGCCGAGCGCCTCGGCGACGAGCGCGGCGTACTCCCGCACGGCGTCCGTGCCCGGGACGATCGCGACGTCGATGCCCGGGCGCAGCAGCGAGAGCGAGAGGCACGGGATGACGAACTCGCTGCACGGCCACACGCGGTGCTCCGGGAGCGGCGAGAGCGCGAAGATGCGCCTGCGGTTCTCGAGCGTGCGAGTGTACGCCAGCGCCTTGCGCAGCGGGCGCGCGGGCGCGCGCAGGAGCTCGTCCGCGAGCTCGCGCAGCCGCTGCACCTCGGCCATGTCCTCGCCGATGGCCAGGAAGATCGACAGCGACCCGCGGTAGAACACGAGAGGGAAGACGCCGCTCGCGGACTGCCCGGGCACGAACGCCGCGCCCTTCTCGACCAGGCGGCTCCAGAACGTCCACACGTCGAGCGCCTCGGGGACGCGGTGCTGCCACCCCACAAAGGCGCGGTTCTCGTCCTCGGCGTGCGCCTCGACGAAGAGCTGCACGAAGTGCTCGCGCGAGAAGCGCCCCGCCACGAGCGACTTGAGCACGGGCTCGCCGTTCACGAACCCGAAGACGGCCGTCCCGGCCCCCTTGGGCTTGAGGGCGCGCAGCATCTTGCGCACGATCGCGACGAGCTCCTCCTGGCGGGCGTCGTCGAGCGTGGACGTGCGCACGCCGACGAGGTGCTTGCCGACGCTCAGGAGGTCCAGCGGGTTCTGCCCGATGACGTCGTTCTTGATGAAGGGCACCGAGATGGAAAGGGGAATCCCGTCTGCGGCGCGGTCGAAGGCCAGGACCTCCTCGAGGACCGCGGGGCCGTGCGGGAAGTCGTACAGGCGCAGCTCGGCCTCGGAGTGGATCGAGAGCACGCCCTCGCTCTGCGACACGAGCAGCGCGGCGGGCTTGACCACGCACGGCGCGCGCTCCAGGAGGTCCCACGCGCGGACGAGCTCGATGTTGTTGTAGCACGTGAACCCGCGGAGCATCTTCACGCCGAGGTTGAGCTTCCCGAGCGACGTCGGCTGCGCGGCCTCGATCGGCATGCCCGGCAGCGGCACCGTCGGGTACATGCTGGCGTGGGTCGAGTACTTGTCGAGCCAGTCGGCGTCGTCGCCGAAGACGCGCACGCCGTGCGCGAGCAGCGGCGTGGCCCACTGCAGGAACGCCGCGGTCGGCGAGAACGGCACGAGCGAGAACCCGCCGCGGTTGATGCGGCGGTGCGGCACCACCTCGCGCAGCTCCGTCTCGGTGGCCGCCGCCGTGACCGCGATCGCGTCCGAGTGCCCGTGGCCCTCGCCGATGCTCGCGTGCGACGACGAGATGCGCAGGCCGGACCCGTGCGGCTGCCCCTGCGCCAGCGTCGCCGGCGCCGTCGCCACGGGGGTCAGCTTGGCGTCCTTCGGGCCGGAGCTCGCGATGGACTTGCGCGCCAGCGGCGCGACGGGCTCGGGCTCCGCTGCCGGGACCGTCTCGGGCGCGACCTCCTGCGCGGCGGGGAGCGGCAGCGGCAGCAGCTGTGCGCGCGAAACCTCCCCCGGCGCCGGGCCCTCCTCGATCACCATCCTCACGAGCTCGTGGACCAGGTCCTCGCCCAGGTCCTCGCCTGCGCGCACACGTACGAAGCAGGTCGAGTCCGTGTCCGGAGGAGCGAGGACGGGGAGCTGCGCGAGTGCTGCTGGGCATGCGCAGGGGGGGGTGTGTTGCGCACCTGAGGCGAAGTAGGCCTGGTTGTCCTCGAGGTGGAGGAGGCCGCGGATGAAGTCCCAGTACTCGCGCGTGGGCTCGCGGTCCGGCAGCACGATGGCGTCCCCGGGGCGCAGCAGCGCGGCGGCGTAGAGCGGCAGCGAGTGCGCGAACGACGACTCGCGGTTGGACACCATCGAGGGCCGCAGGATCCACAGGCGGCGCCAGGGGCGGTGCAGGATGTCGGCCTTCTTGAAGACGCTGAGGTTCGACTTGAGCGTGGGCTTGCGCGACACGGCGTCGGCCAGGCAGCGGTCGGCCTCGTAGCGCAGCTTCTCGGCCTCCTCGGCGGTCTCCGCGATGGCGATGAACTGGCCGGAGAGCCCGCGGAGGAAGATGAGCGGGAACACGCCCCGCGTGGAGCGGCCCGGGTAGAAGGCGATGCCCGCCTGCGTCAGGCCCTTCCAGTACAGCCACAGGTCGGCGTTGATCGGCGGCTTGAGCTTCCAGCAGTAGAACGAGTTCCCCTTGGAGTACAGGTCCAGGAAGATCTTCGGCGAGTGCGCGCCGTTGAACCGCCCCGTGTTGACGTCGGACAGGATGGGCGTCCCATTGACCGACAGAAAGTCGAACCCGCCGGGGCCCTTGGGGCTCATCTTGCGGATCAGCTTGTCGATGCACCCGACGGCCGCGACCTGGAACGTCTTCGGCACCGCGGACTCGCGCCACCCGGCGTATCCGGTCCCGATCATGATCTGGTCCACCAGCCCCCGGCCAATGAGCATGCCCTCCATGTAGTGCACGGCCGGCGACAGCACGACGCCGTCGGGCGCGCAGTCGAGGTTGAGGAACTCCTCGAGGCACACGTCGCCCATCGGGAAGTCGTACATCGCCAGCTGCTCGCGCTCGGTCACGAAAATGATGCCCTCGCCCGCGGCGCCCAGGTTGGGCTTGATGACGCCCTTGCGCACGCCGTGCGCGTTGAGCCACTCCCAGGCCCAGAGGAGCTCGTCGCGGTTGCAGCAGTGCCACCCGCGCGCGACGGGGACGGTCGCGCCGATCTGCTCGACGATCGAGGGCACGTCGGGCGTGGCGACCCTGCGGTGGAGAATGCCCTTGTGCCCGAACTTGAGGATCCACTCGAGGGACTCGCCGAAGACGGTGACGCCGAGCTCGTGGAACTGGTTGGCCCAGCGCTCGAAGTTGGGCGTCACGGCGTACGGCACGAGCGTGAACTTGTCCTTGGGGTTGGAGATGACGATGGCCTTGAGGCGGGAGATGACGCCGGGGTCCGACGAGATGTCGTCGTCGAGGTTGTACTCGCGCCCGGACGTGACGATCACCTGGTCCTCGTCCAGCTCGCACACCTCCTTGATGAACCTGCGCCACAGCACCACGGCACCAGCCACGTCAGCGCGGAACAGAATCAAAGAACCGACGTCCGGACACTCAGGCGCCGCGGCGGCCGAGCAGCCCGCGCCAGCTCGGCTCGGCCCCAGTTCGCGCGCGGGGGCGGGCGCGGGGCACGCACTCGGCGAACTCCATCGTCGGGTCGTGCCCGCCGGGAATGACGATGAAGTCGATGCCCTTGCGGACGAGCGGGAGGCAGCGGTTCGGCATGTTGAACCGCTGCGTGATCCGGCGGTACTCCGGGCGCGGGCCCGACACCCAGATGCGCCGCACGTCGTCGCGCCACGACACAAGCTTCAGCGGAGCCTCCTCCAGGTCAGCGCGCAGGGCCTCGTCCGCGACAGCCTTGAGGCGCAGGACCGTCTCCTGCGTCGGCCCGATCGCGATGAACGTCGCCGTCTGGCCCTTGAGGTACGACACCGGGAAGACGCCGCACCCGGCGCCGACCTCGGGGACGGTGCCCGCGGGCGGCGGCACGAAGGCGGCCTTCTGCTCGACGAGGCGCGCCCAGTACACCCAGACGTCGAGGTGCCGCGGGGGCGTCGCGGACCACACGTAGAACTCCGTGCCGGGCGCGTAGCGGTCGTGGAACGCCATCACGAAGTGGTCGGCCTGCAGCTTGCCGATCTGCATCGACATGAGCAGCGGGTGGCCCCCGACGGACACGAACTCGGCCGTCGCGGTCGGGTGGTCCGCGAGCAGCCGCGTCGACCACGCCCCGACCGCGGCCTGGTGCGCCTCCGTCGACGCGTTGCTCTTGATGCCAAAGTGCGCTGGGCCAATCGTGACGCGCTCGAAGCCCGGGAGGCTGTCGCCCGCGGCCTTCGCGGCGCAGGACGACAGCTCGATGCCGTCCAGGGTCTTGTCGAGCGCGAGGCGCTCCTGCAGCACGACGGGCCCCAGGGGGAAGTCGTAGAGGCGCAGCTCCTCCGCGGACGACACGACCAGGACGCCCTCGCCGGCGCGGCCCTCGCAGGGCTTGACGACGGCCTCGGAGCCGCCGAGGAGGGCCATGGCGACGAGGAGGTCGTCGTTGTCCTCGCACGCGAAGCCGCGCGGGACGGGGATGTCGTCGCCGAGGTGTTCGACGAAGGACGGGGAATCCAGGTCTTTGACGGAACGGTGCAGACTGCCCTTGTGCGCGCGCTTGTCGTCGGGCCGCGCGCCCGCGACGGGCTCCGCGTCGCACCCGAGGGCGCGGAGGCCCTCCATCCAGGCCTCGAAGGGCGCGGACGTGGCGTAGGGCACCACGACCGACTTCGAGCCCTGCGGGGAACGGCAGTCGGGGATTCTCGACTCCCGAGGAACTGGTCCGGGGACCGCGCGCGGGGGCGCGTGCGGGGCGGGTCCGGCGCGCGGGGCGCGCGCCGCGACGGGGGAGAGCGCGCAGAGACGCGGGGAGGGGCGCGCGGGTGCGGGCGGCGCGCCTTCTGCCGGCATTTGGTGGACCAAGCCTTGATCTCCTCCGTGACGGTTGGCGTCAGGTCGCCGACGGAAAGCGAGTTGAGCGTGGTCTGCTCGGACGCCCAGATGAACTGGTTCTTCGACAGCCCGAGGATCTCGCGGACGAACTCCGCGTACTCCCTGCGACGCACGCGCGCCAACGCAGGGTGAGCGGCAGCTTGTTGCGCCCCCGGGCGGTGCGTACGTGCCGCCCCGCGGCCGTTCCGACCGCGCGGTACGCAGGAGCTGCGACGTTCCACGCATGGGACGCGTGAAATCCACGGGATCTACGCGCGCGGCTCCGGGCGCCGAGCAGTTGCGAGCTCAGGCGAGGAACCGCAGCGCAGGGCGCGAGGGCGGGGCGCGCGGGCGTGCGCGCAGCTCACCTCGTAGCTGACTCGTACGGGAGGACGGCGACGTCGTCACCCGGGCGGAGCAGCGGTAGGGCGGCCGTGGCATACTCGATTCCACGCTGCACCAGGGTGGAGGGAGCGCGCGGGCGTGAGGGCGCGGTGCGGGGGCGGGCCGCGGCGGAACGCGGCGCCGGCGGGGCGGTTAGGCGGAGATCCACGTCTCAGGCGCGTCCGGGCCCGCCGGCGGGCCGCGGCGCGCCGGAATTCACGGAGGTGGTTGCCTGGAGGTGCAGGCGCGGCGCGCAGGCGGCGTGCGGGCGCAGCGACGTGTGTGGGCGCGAAAGCGGCGTGTATGAGGGGCGTGGAGGATGGGTTTGCGGAGATTGGGGCGGCAAGGGTAGCAGCGGCGCGGGCGGTGCCCGAGTGGGTCGGCAGCGGTGTTCGCCGGGCGTCGCCCGTGGGGCCGTTCGGAATCGCACCCGTCGCACGATTTCGCGGGATCATATGTGGAAATCAGCTGGCGATGGCCTCGCGCGCGAACAGCCGCCGCACGGGGCCGGCAGCGGACCGTACGCGATCGCGCAGCATGATGCGATGATGTGCGCGGCGGGCGACGCGAACTCGCCTGAACCTGCTGGGAACTCGAGCCTCCGACGAGGATCCACGCGAGGGCCTCGCCCTTGCGGTCGAGCGGAGCCATCGTCGCCGCGCTTCCGTCTGCTAGGTCTCGCCCAGACGACACGGGCGCCGTGAGCACCTGCGCGAGGGCGAACCGCGGCCGATGTCGTCGCGTCAGGCGTGCAATAGACCCGGTGCGGGGCTGTCGCGGGCCCTGAGCGTGAAACGCGCCGCGTGCGCGCCCCCAGAGCCGCGTCCCGCCGCCCCTGGTGGTTGGAGCCTCACCTGGCGCAGGGCCGTGTGCGAGTGCTCCGCGCGCTCCGACTTCGCTGGGTCGTTCCCTCCAGCCGTGAACTTTGCCCAGGGCGCCCCCGGCGCCGCGCCGAAGGCGCCGCGGGCGCGCGAGCGCCAGTCAGACCTAGACACTCCCCCTGTGCGTCAGCAGCGCAGTCCAGGCTCGGGGCGCGCGGCGGTAACGCGCACTGGCGAGCAGGGGCGCGGAGCAGTGTCGGTCCACAGTCACGAGCTCCCCCGCGCGGAATTCGACGCCGAGAGACCCGCTGTGTGTCTACGAAGCTTGTCCTCGGGAGTTGCGAGGCAGCCATGAAGCTGTACGTCCGCACGCAGGACGGCAAGAGCTTCACGGTCGACGCGGAGGAGAAGGACGCGGTCGCGGACCTGAAGCGGTCGATCGAGGTGCGTGCGGGCGACTTCGCTTCCCCGATGGGCGCTGTTTCCGCCGCACACGCTCGTGAACGCGGGGCCGACGCCTCGCGTGGGCGGCCGAGCGATATCGTATAAAAGGCGAGGGAAAGCGCGGGGCGTTTCGCAGGTGGCGGGGGGCGTCTCGATGTCCGCGATGTCGCTCGAGTGCCAGGGGAAGACCCTCGACGACGACAACGCGACGTTGGTGGCGAGCGGAGTCGCGCACGGCGCGCACATCGGCCTGCTGACGAAGGAGGCGGGCGTGAGGACGAAGGTCCACATGATGACGCCGCACTTGCCGTGTGGCGATCACGTATTCATCGAGGTGCCGGAAAACGCGCGAAAGCACGTCATCATGAGGGCGCTCGCGGAGAAGACCGGCGTCCCCGTGGAGCACCAGATCATCAGGCAAGCGGCCGCCTGCTCGGCAAGCGCGCCACCTCGCGCGGCACCGCGCCGCCCCTGGTTGTTTGCAACGATGCAACGCGGTGCGCCTTTCTGGCCTAGCGTCGCAGGATGGGCGGCATCAACAGCATCTTCATGGGGGACGCGCGCACGAACATCAGGTCCGCGCGCTGCGGGACGGTCGACTCGGTGCGCCTCGCCACCACCGGGAAGCTCTAGCTACCCAATCAAGATATTAATATTAATACAACACACATTCAGGACCTTATATCTGTCTGGCAGATGGATAGCCAGGCAAGGGAACTTGCTTGGAAGCCAAGCCCGCGCCGCGCGTGGGCGACCACGACACGCGCAGCCTCGGCGATGCCTGTGCCGCTGCATGGGCACTCCCCCGCCGCTGTCGTGCCTGTGACAGCTCGTGCGGCGCGACTGCAAGTGTGAAGTGTGTCTGCCGGATACGGGCTCGTGATCCGGCGGTGCGTAGCCCGCACGGACGGGCCGGAGCTGTGCTGATCCTCCGAGCGCGGGGGGGGGGGGGTCCAAAGGCGACGTAGGTGGGCAGCCAGGCCGAGCCTGGCCCGGTTTCGAGGGTGGCATGGGCGGCGCGCAGCACGCAGACGAGCCTCGAATCGCTCAGGATAGCTCGGCGTTGTCCGTGGCACGGAGCGGAGCCTCGTCGACGAGCCGTGGAAGGGACACGGCGCCATGAGGTGGCAAACCCGCGATTTCTAGGCATCCGAGGCGGCGCATTCGAGGCGGCGCGGGCGGCGAGATGGACACCGCACCATCCCTGGCCGCGGGCGACAAGACGTCGACCAAGAGCCCGTCGAAGGAGCACATTCTCAATGAGAGGTGCGTGCTTCTGCCCCGTGCGACGTGTCGCGGGCGTCCACGCGGCCGCTCGCGCCCCCCGCGCACTCATCTGTCCCTCAGCGGCGCGGCGGGAGCGCGTCAAGGCACGTGGCGCCCCCAGCGCGCCGTCACGCTGCCTCGCTCGCGACAGAAGAGGGACGTGCTCGGGTCCGCTCGCAGCCGGCTGCGGGCCCGCTTGCGGACCCGCTCGCAGCGGCGCGTTCGCGCCAGCGCGTTGTGACGTCCAGGCCGCGGCCGGAGCCTCGCAGGTACCTTTTGCAAGAGGAGCTGGGACGTGGCGCGCAGGGCGTGGTGTTCCGGGCTACGGACCGCGTCACGGGGCAGGCTGTGGCGATCAAGCGCATGTCCCTGGCGGATATGACCCCGGAGACCCTCGAGAGCTACGAGCACGAGATCACGCTGCTCCAGGCGCGCTCCCGTGCCGCGCTGACCTCCAGCCGGACCACCCACGCGCCGCGCACGCGCCCGCGCGTGCTCCACGACCGCCTCCCGTCCCCTTCACGCCACCGCACGCTCCAAACCTACACAACGCGAGCCCGCAAGGCCTCCCGCGCCCCTCTCACACACCCCCTCGCGCCTGGTCTCAGCACAAGTCTCGTCTCTGCCGTGCTCCGCCGTCGCGGACCCCGCCCGGCGCCGGCGCCGCTAGCCGGCTGCATATACGCTCACTCGTCACGCGGCAACGCGTTTGGGCGGCCTATTTGCAGAACCTGAAGCACAAACACATTGTACAGTACCAGGGCCACTTCAAGTCGCGCCACCACCTCCACGTGGTGCTCGAATACATGGAGAAGGGGTCCATCGCCCAGGTCGTCAAACAGATCCTCCCCGACGAGACCATCGCGGCCGTCTACACCTCCCAGGTCCGCAGCACCGCCGCCAAGCACTTGCACCGCCACGACACGCAGCCTCGCGCCGCCGCACCGGCGCCCACGCCCCCGCGCGACCCCCCCCTCCACCCCGCACCCCCATGCACCATCGCACTCGACAGTCGGTCTAAGAACACTTTCGGAAGACCGAGACGCACACACGCACGACTCGCGCACGCGTCGTCGTCTCCAGCCGCTCACACGCTCCCGGTGCGCCCGCCCCGCAGGTCCTCGAGGGCCTCGCGTACCTCCACTCCCAGGGCGTCGTCCACCGCGACATCAAGGGTGCCAACATCCTCACCAACGCGGAGGGCGCTGTCAAGCTGGGGGACTTCGGCGTGGCGGTCCGACAGCCCGCGGGCGACCTCAACGGCGGCAGCAGCGCGGGCGACACGCTCCAGAGCCTCGCGGACGGCGCGGACGCCGACGTCGCGGGCTCTCCCTACTGGATGGCGCCGGAAGTCATCATGATGAAAAGCGCGTCGGCGGCGAGTGACATCTGGAGCGTCGGGTGCCTGGTGGTGGAGATGATCACGGGGGCGCCGCCGTACTACGAGCTGCAGCAGATGAGCGCGCTGTTCCGGATCGTCCAGGACGACTACCCCCCCCTGCCCGACGGGATCAGCCCAGAGCTGGAGCAGTTCCTGCTGCAGTGCTTCGAGAAGGACCCGCACCTGCGGCCGACCGCGAAGCAGCTGCTGCGCGCCGACTGGATCCGCGTCGGGCGCCGCCGCGTGCGCGACCGCGAGTGGCGGAAGTCGTGGCGCAACACTGTTGTGCGGAGACCCCCCCCCGAAGAGCCCGACGCGACGCCCGAGCCCAGCACCCCGCCCGAGACGCTCGTCGCCGTGGCGAAGCCGTCTGGCGCGGAGGGCGAGGAGGGCAAGCGCAGCGCCAAGAGAGGGTGGCGGGCGCGACGGGAGGCGCGCGAACGCGAGCGGTCGTCGCTCGTCGCGGACGAGGCCGGCGCGGACGTGCCCACCGCGAAGGGCCCGAGCGTCGTCGCCGTCCACGAGTCCGTCGCGGCCGTCCTGCAGCGCGCGGTCGAGTCGGAGAACTGGGACGCCGCGCCCGACATTGAGGGGGGGGACTCTCGCCGGGATGGCCCCGGGGGACTGCTCCCCGACGGCGGCAAGACTTCGCGGATGTCGTTCGACCACGCGGGCGACACGCGTTACCGCGGCACGCGGAACTTTTTGCCGCCGTTCATGCGGCAGCCGTCGGTCGCCGGGTCGTCCCAGGCCGGCAGCATCACGAACCAGGGCGCGGATGGGCCGCGGCGCGTCGCAGAGCCGTCGCACATTCGTCGCGCGAGCGCGCGCGCGGCGCGGGACATCGTGTCGAGCGGGAGGGGTCACAGCCGCCACCTCAGTATGATGAATGACTCCCCCCGGCCCAGCGCGAGCGGGCCCGGGCGCGGCCGCGCGGAGCACTACCGCACCGTGCGCAACCCCGGCATGCAGCACCTCCTCGCGGGCACCACGTCGATCCCCGAAAACATGCAGGACGAGGCGCCGGACAGGCCGCTGTTGGGCGTCGGCAATGAGCGCGTCGAGCCGTCGGGGAGCTCGCTGGTGGTGCCCGCGACGGGCGCGATGCGCGTGGACGGCGAGAAGCAGGTGGCGCACACGGCGACGGAGGCGGCGACGCACCCGCACCCGCCGCCGGGGCCGGTCCCTGCGTCGTCGTCGCTGCGGGACAGCCGGCGCGCGGAGGCGGCGCTGCGGCGCAGCGGCGCGGGGCGCGGCGGCACGGCGCGCCGGCGGTCGCGGCGGAGGACTCGAACATCAGTCTCGGGAGCTCGATTGCGCCGGTGACCCCGGAGGAGTCTTTGGGCGACGTGCGGGGGGCGACGGCGGCGGGCGGGGGCGCGGGCCCGTCGGCGGCGCAGGAGACCGGCGCGATAGCGAGAGCGAGCATGTCGACGGCGGCCACGCCGCTGAAGCCCGCGCTGGTGCACTCGTTGACGCTGGACAAGCAGCAGGGGAGTCCTCCGGAGGAGTCCTCCCGCCCCGTCGAGGAGATCACGGGCCTGGGGGCGGATGGGGAGCCGCGACCTGCGCGGGTGCGTCCGTGCCGTGCTGCGCCATCCAGCCCGCCCGAAAACCCTATTTCCCAACTGAACTTCCACGCGAACCGCGTATGCCCCTCATCGTCGCCCACTGACGCGCCACGCCCCCGCCCGCGCTCCGCAGAAGGTCAAGAAGGTGCAGATGTCGGTCGAGCCCCCGCCGTCGGTCTCCCGCACGCAATCGAACGCCCGCGACCACGACAACAGGTTCCTCAGCATGCCGCTCGAGACCTGGATCAGCCACGCCAACGCGCAGGCCAACGGCCCCCCGCTCCCCCTCTCCTTCGGCCCCTCCTCCGCGGCCACCGCGGGCTCGGCCTCCAACGTCCACAGCCCCCTGAGCGGCTTCGCGAGCGGCTTCCCTCTCAGCGCGTTTGGCTCTGGCGCGTTCGATGCCGCCATGGCCGGCGGGCGGTCCGTGACCGCGCAGGACGCGGGAAACCCGCCGCCAAGCACGCGCGGGACATCGGGGACGCCGACGCCGCTGTCGCGGATGTTCCACGGCCGCGGCGCGGCGACGCTGTTGAATTCGAAAAGCGCGCCGAAGAACGTGTTGCACGCTCCGTCGCCGAAGGCCGGGCAGGGCGAGGGGAATGTGCACGGCGGCGGGGGCGAGGTGCACGCCGCGGGGGCGCGCGCGGCGCGCGGGCGCGTGCGGCGGGCGCTGGCGAACGTGCAGGAGGCGGTGCGGCAGGACAGGGCGGGCGGGCGGATGCGGCGGCGGGCGAGCACGGCTGCGAAGGCCGTGCAGAAGCCGCAGGTGGCCGCCGCGGAGCTGCTGCAGGCGCTGCTGGAGGAGGACGTGGACGCGAGGCAGGCGGTGCTCGATCCCGAGGGGCTCGTCGTGCTGCTCGACCTGCTGGATAGTGCCGGCGTGGCGCTCTCGGACGTGAGTGACCCTCTGCACGCGTGCCTCGTGTCGCGCGAGGCGTTGCAGCGCCTGCACATCCCCGGGGGTGTTTTGTTTCTCGGCGGGGGTGTTGCTTTCAGCAGGGACTGCGCGGGCACGCCCCAGTGACGCTCCTGCCGCCCTCCACGCCTGCTGCAGGAGCTCGCCGATGTCACGATGGACATCGTCAATACCCTCGTCAGCAACGACGCCGACGTCATGTCCCTCATGCTGCTGCACGGCGCCGCGCCGCAGGTGCTGGCCCTCGCGAGCCCCGGGCACCGCTCGCTCGCCGTGCTCTCGCGCGTCGCTGTCTTCCTCTACGCGATGTGCACGCTCTCGCCGGGGTCGCTCCGGCAGCTGCTGTGCGCTGGCGGCGTGCCCGTGCTGGTGCGCATGCTCGGCCACGGCGCCGTCGAGGACCCGGCGTACGCCCAGCGCCTCCTCGGCTGCGTCTGGGAGGTCCTCGAGCGCTCCGAGCCCATCATGCTCAACAGCATGTGCCGGATCATGGCGCGCGCCGGGCTCGTGCCGCGGCTGTTCGAGCTCGTGACCGGCACGACCGAGGCCCTCCACGACCTCAACGCGGCGCGGGCGCGCGGGGCCGGGAAGGCCGGGGGCGCCTCGGAGCAGTTCGCGCCGAAAGTCGTGGCCACGGCCGACGGTGGCAGAGGGTTGTTGGGGGCGCGGGGGGCGGTCGGGGGCCTCGCGAGCGCGCTGGCATCGCTCGGGCTGACGCTCACGACGGCGCTGAACCCGCTCTCGAGCCGCGCGAGCGGCATCACGAGCACCCCGGGGGGACTCGGCGGGGGCCAAAAGAGCACGCTGAGCCTCTCGCAGTCGCTGGGGCGCAGCGACGTGGCGAACGGGCGCGCGAACGGCGACGGCGCGCGGCCGAAGGCGACCGACGCGGAGCGGCGTGAGGCGCTCGAGGCGACGCGGGCGGGCGCGGCACTGGTGCTCACAGTGTGTTCGCACGCCGACTCCGAGGTTCGACACGAGTTCTGCTCCTCGGCGGTGCTCGAGCCGCTGCTGAGCTGCCTGGGGATGATGCCGATGTCGATCCAGGCGGCGATGGTGCGGTGCTACAAACACGTGAGCACGGAGCCGTCGCTGCTGGAGGACCTGCAGCAGGGGGGGCTGCTGGAACAGCTGGTGAACAGGCTGCAGGCGACGTCGGAGGTGTCGTTCTCGGGACCGAGGTGAGCGCGGGAGGCGACCGCGGACGCGTGCGCGCGTGGACCTGACGCGCAGGGGACGTGCTGACAAACAAACTCATACGCGTCGTAGGATTTTTGCATCGTGTTCCCACCGGGACAGGGATCGCCAGTGCCACGCACTCCACGTCCGCGTGCGTCCCACTGTCTGCACTACCCGACTCCTGCGAGCACATCCAACATGAAACTCCCCCCCCCTCTCCAACGCAACCTGCAGGGTGTTTGAGAATCCTTCCTCGGACCAGGCCGCGGCGCTGGAGCTCCGCTTCGAGGCCATCTCTGCGCTGCACAGCCTCTGCAAGTTCGACCGCCACCGGCAGGAGATTGCCGCCACCGCGGGCCTCATCCCCTCGCTGTGCACCTTCGCGTCCTCCCGCATCGGCGCCATCAACCCCTCGTACGCCGCGCAGCTCCAGCACGAGCTCCGCGACGGCCGCGTCCCCGAGTCCCTCGAGCGCGAGCGCGCCATCGGCGAGCTGGCGATGGCGCTGCTGTGCGCCATGGTGTACGGCACGGCGCGCACGCGCCTGCACCTGGGCGCGCCGGCCCTCGAGGTGCTCCTGCAAGCCATCCACGAGGACCGCTGGCAGCTGCACGTCCTCGACGGCCTCGCGGCGTGGCTCCACGACGAGCTGCACCGCGTCGAGCCCAAGCTGTTGGAGCCGCCGGTCATCCAGTGCATCGTCGACATGCTGGACGGGGTGCGGAGGGAGCACGCGGAGGCGCGGGACGGCGGCGGCGCGGTCCCCGCGCACGCCGCGGCGTCCCAGCGGCTGGGCAGAATCCTGGAACCGCTCATCAAGATACTCCGCGCCAGCAAGCGCGTGGCGGCGGCGCTGGGGCGCGACGGCCGCGTGACGTGGAACGTCTCGGCGCTGCTGGGCGAGGAGCGCGACGCGCTGCTGCGGCGCTCGCTGCTCAAGGTCATCCGACACCTCTACGAACATCACCCGCAGCCCAAGGAGTTCCTCCTGGACCCGCACCTGCAGGTGAGTAGCCGAGAGGCCGCGTGCTGTGTGTGGCGTGCGGTGTGTGGTGTGCTGCGGCGTGCGTTGCGTGGTTTGCGTGCGCTATGGACGTTTGTGTGCTGATGATTGGCTCGCAGGACGCGCTGCACCGGCTGACGAACGCGGAGCACGAGAACGCGGTGATGGTCCGCGCCGAGGCGCAGAAGTTGTTGGACGCGTTCCGGCTCAACACGGTCATGTGACGCCGCCTGCGAATCGAAGCCAGGCACGTCGGTAGCCGCCGCTGGCTCGCGCGGCCGCCGGCGCCATGGTCGATGTCGCCAAGCTGCGGCCATTACCGCAGGTGCTCGCATGTGCGTCGAAGACTGTGCGCTGTAAGATGCATTTCGGTCGCTCAGGCATCCTCGCGGTGAGGGTGCTTGTAGGTCAGCGAAGTACTATGCATGACTGACACTGCACTGCCCTGCCCTGAGTGCAGTGCCTTACGTCCGCGCGTGCGCCTGGCGCCGTCTACCGCGGCGGCCGACCGGCGTGCTCACTCTCCGCGGCATCCCCGCCTCGTTCGTCGTTCGGCGATCCCTGGTCATGAACGTGCGACTTCTTTTGGTGCTGGCCGTGCTCGCGCTGCTGGCCGTCCTGCAGAGCACGCACGCCCGTTCGACGCGCTCCAATGGTACGCACGTCCCACACGTGTCCCGCGCGCTGGCTGGCCGGTACTGCCGGCGTCGCGCTGGGATCGAGGCTACTCCTGACTGGCAGTGTGTTGCCGCCAGCCATTGTCGATGCCGCCAGCCATTGTCGATGCGCATCACGGCAGCGCTCCTGGGCCCCGACGAGACCGCACCCGCCCCACACACCACGTGCGTCTCGTGTCCACGCAACGCTTGCGCCCAGTGACGTGGATACAAACATGGTGCAGCTCACTGTCATGTTCGAGGGTACCCGAATGTTCGAGCGTACCCGAATCACAACAAGCGGCGATCCCGCCTGCACGCGATCCGCACGCGCAACACAGGCCCTCTCGCGGTTCCATGCAGGGCGCGCTCTGCGCGGGTCCGGCCGCCGTGCTGGCTACTATTACAGCCCTCCGCCGTACGGCAAGAAGTTCAAGCCGAGGAAAGTCAAGGGGCACAAGAAGCTGAAGCTGAAGAAGGTCAAGAAGCCGAAGAAGGTCAAGAAGCCGAAGAAGCTGAAGAAACACGACGGCTACCCCATTCCCTACCCCAAGTATCCGCCCGCGTACTACGGCCCCCCGTACAAGTCCGCGCGGCCCTACGGCAAGTCGTACGGCGGACCGTACGCCAAGTACGGGTACGACGACGGCTGGGACTAAGCGCCGAGCGAGAGGGGCGCAGCCGAGCTGTCGCTCTGATGCATGTCAACAAACAAGACGTTCGAGGCGCTGTTGTCGCACCGCTGCCTCGGATCGCACGTTGAGGCCCGGGCGACGTGTGAGGACGCTGCGGGTACCGTGTCGCCTGTGACTGCGCGGGTTTCCTCTGTGACTGCGGGCATGTGACGGTCCCTCGGAACGACAACGTGGGCGTTTGTGTGGGAGCCCATTGCCGCGCACCGCAGGCCTGCGTCTCGACACCTTGCCTGCACATGGATGGATAAGGACGAGTGGTGGACCGGTCCGCACGTCAGTTGAACCGGCAGGTGTATCTTGTTGTCGAACGGCCAAGATGTTTTTGGGTCTGCTTGGGCGAGCGTCCGCCGCGAGTCCGTCCGTGAGCGACGCTCTGGCCGTTCCGCCCTTCCTGTCCCGCTGCAGTGCAGTCCTGGGCTCGGACGTCCCCAGTGGAGTCCTTGGCTCGGCCGTGTGCGAGCGAGCGCTCGCGAACGACGTAGACGCATCGGGTGGTGCGCTGATGCTGCGGGGACTGCTCGGGTGTTACGACGCCGCGGTCTCGCAGTGGAGCGACGCCAGGCACGGGTTCTGCATCACCGACGAGGATGCCGATAGTGCGTGGCTGGTGCGCGGCCTGCATGGGGATCATTCCGCCCTTGACACCGAAACGTCTCAGAACAGAGACTGCAACCGTGCCCTCTCACGGCAGCGCACGGCCGCGGACTTGGAGCGAGACCAGTGCGCCGGGCTGCCGTCCGGAGAGGGCGTCCTGCGAAACGGCGTTCAGCTTCCTGTGCCTTACCAGCTGCGGCACTTCGCAAACGCCAGCTTCGCATCCGTTGACGACTTCACCTTCTACGAGCGACTCGGCGACGGAGTAGACGGGACGGTTTGGCGGGCCACGTTTGCGAACCAGGCAAGCACAGCTCTGCGCTGCAACGCAATACTGTTTCTCACTGCGACAGTTCCCGCGGGCAACAGCCAACGTCAGATCGACCTGTGCGCTTCGAGATGTTTCAGACACTCCTCCTTTTGAGATAGCATGACGCACGCTCATACACCTTCTTCCCTTTTCCAGGGCGCCAGCGGTCAGCTTGACGAGTACGAGTACGCCGTCAAGCTGACAGTAAAGGATCCATCCCTCCTCGCACGCACGGGTCAGCTGGCGCAGCGCATGCTCGCCGACGAAGCCTTCGCGATGATCCTCGCGCACCGCGACGCGCCGCACGGCCGCCACGACGGGCTTGTCACGCTCTCGCACGTCCTGCTGGACAGCACGCAGCGCATCGTGGGCATCGCCATGCCGCTGCTCCGCACCACGAAGCCCCCATCCTGCCCCGGCAAGACCTTGTACGACGTAAGGCAGTTCATCCACGACACGGTGCATGAAGTCATCCTGGACGGGGACGCGTGCTGCTCGCCCGAAGCCGCCGACGCCCTCGGGCTGCTCTCCCTGGTGCCGGCCGCCATCCTCGACATCGTCACGGCGACGCGACGCCTCCACGCCGCGTCGCTGGCACACACCGACTTGCACCCCGAGCAGATGCTGGTCTCGTTCGAGCCGGCGCGCAGCGGCGTCGAGAGCGGCGGCGGAGCGACGTGGTTCGCGGCGCACCGGCTGCGCGCCACGCTGATCGATCTGTCGCGGCTGACGGCCTACGGGAACATCATGTACGACGCGACGTGCTCGCACGAGTGCTGGCGGAGGCGCACGAAGCGGCTGACGTGGGTGCATCCCTCGCGGTTCGCAGCGACGCAGGAGGCGGGGCCGTGGGTGGATACCTTTGGGCTGGGCGACATGATCCGCACCTATCTGGACCTGCACTGGACGTTGTACGACGCACTGGCGGCGCCACAGGGGGACGAGGCGCAGGATACGTGCGCGGACGACCGCTGGGTGCCCACCGAGACGTGCGAGGCGTTCTGGAACGCACGCGTCCCGGCTTCGGTGCTTGTGTTGCGGCCTCCGGCCGACGGGTACGACCTCGTCGCGTGGCTGACGCCGACGGAGGTGTACCCGCCGGCGTTCGAGAGCGTGGTGCCGGACGTCACGCGCTTCCTGCGCGCGTGGAAGGTCCTCCACTATTGATTTGAGTCCGACTCCCCCCCGGGGTGTTTCGCCGGACGTCACAGAGTCTTCACGCCTGCGACGCGCACGCGGCCCGACCTCCCCATCCTCGCACCTCCGCGCTCCTCCGCCCCACCTCCAGCCTATCCTCCCCCCCCCCCCCAAACAACACCCCCCCTCCGCCGACGCAGCCGACTCCTCCTTCGCCGGCTCCGCCTCCTTCGCCGCCTTGGCCGCCTTCTCGGCCTTGCGCTCCTCGGTCTTCCTGCGCTCGCGCTCCAGGAACTCCGCCATCATCTCCTTGGCCGCCGTCAGCTTGCTCAACACACCCTTGTACATCATCAGGTCCCGGTTCACCGCGTCCTCGCGGACGCCGAGCGCGGCGACCGCGCCCTTGAGCGCCTCGGGGCTGCTCGCGCCCGCGCACTCGAGCACGCGGAACAGGCCGATGGCGAACAGCTTCGAGTAGTAAAAGTCCCCCGCCGCCACCCGCTCGGCGATCGCGGCGAGCTTCTGCTGGCCCTCGTCGCCCGCGGCGTCCGGCTTGACCTCGGGCGACCCGCTCGCCCACTCCTCCATGAACTTGGCGTCCTTGCGGTACGTCTGCGCGGCGGGGGCGGGAGCAGTTGGCGTTGCTGCGCTGGGTGGCTGCGCTTGTGCGTGGGCGGATCGCGCGCGCGGGTGGGAGGGCGCGAGCGGGGCTGGTGCTGGGCGCGGGGGCGAGGGCGAGGCCACGAACTAGGGTTGAAACGTAAAAGCGTAAAAACATAGTTGCGACGCCGGGAACTGAATATGGGGGCGCACGTCCGGGTCCTCGTCGAGCGCGTTGACGTAGGCCTCGAACAGGGCCTTCTTGTCCTCCTCGTTGTACTCGTCCAGCAGCTGGTCGAAGATGCTCACCAGGCCCAGGGCCTGGAGCTCGTCGTACTGGTACTTCTTGTTGTACCTCCACAGGTGCTGCAGCGGGGGGGCGACGCGGGGGACGCGTTTGAGTTGCGCAGGGGCGCGCGGGAGCGGATTGGGGGGGCCCGTGGACGCTGCGCGGGGCGGCACGGCTCAGAAGAGAGTGTCGGTGTGTCGGCAGACGAGGATCCTCGATCCCCGATACGCCAGCGATTGGACAGGTTGCGTGTGTGGTTCTTCACCGCCGAGGGCACGTCGAGAGTGCGCCCGCGGCGCGAGCAGCGCCAAAACGCCGCGGCCGTGCGCGGGGACCGCACGCAAGGGCCATGCAGGCGCCGAGAGAGCGATGCCACGCACGCGCGCGAGCAGCTCCCCGCGGCCGCGATGGCGCCGCCGGCAGCCCGGGCGCCCTAAGGCCTTCGCGTGCGGGCGGGAGACGGCGGCGGTGCGGCCCACCTGCGACACCAGGAGCTCGTTGATGACGGTGGAGTACATCGCAGGAACCGGCTTCGTGTACGCCTTGAAGAACTTGTCCTTCGTCTCCGCGACGGTCGGGGGACCTGCGTCGATAGACGGAGCGTGCGTGGGGCGGGTTTCGCGCCGGGAGGTGGACGGGCGGGCCCTGGCCGGAGCGTTTCCGTGGGGAGCCAGTGGGGCAAGAGAACGCGCGCGGGCGTGCCGTGGGTGCGCCGGCGCGGGCGGTGGCGGGCGTTTTGTGGCTGAAATGTCACGCGCGGTGCGAACGGAGGGCAGCGGAGCCGCCGGAGCGCGTCCCGGCGCGCAGCGGCCATGGATGAGCCTGGACACGCACAGCGTGGCCCGCGGCAGCTCGCGCGACGTGAACGGGGGCCGATTGCGGGGCGCGACGCGCGGCGCGCGCGTCGGGGAGCGGCGGGGCGGATCGCGGGGGGCGGCGGGGCCGCGGGCAGCGCGTCGCCGCGTGGCGAGCGCGTGGGCTCAGTCCAGGCGCAGGCCACTGGACGGTGTGCAGGGCGGGTGCGGTGGGGCGAGGAGGGCGGGAGGTGGCGCTGCGGGGCGGCTGAGCGCCTGGGTGGGGGGCGGCAACGGCTTGGGCGCCGCGCGGGGTGCGGGAAGCGCGGAGGGAATGCGAGGGGGCGAGTGGGTGGTTGCGAGATCGCCGGGTATGGGCCGGGAGGCGTCGCGGGCGCGCCGATGGCATCGAGCGGGTGTGAATTCGTCGGGGGGATGGCGCGATGGGTGCGTGCGGGGCGGTGCGGGGAGCCTTGCCTGCGCAAACGCGAACGACGCGCGCCCGGGGGGCAGCGGCGGCCCTGCAGCGCGAAGCGGAGGGAGGGATGGCGCTTTACAGGCGAGGCGTGGGTCGAGGCGGCGACGCGCGCGTTTCGCGTCGTCACGCGCAGCGACGAGTCGCGACGGGAACTCGGGGCAGAGAGGAACCGGCCCCTCTCCGGGGCCGCTGCGGGCTCGAACGTCGCGGACGCCGGGTCCAGTGGCACGCTCAATAGGTAAGGTCTCGCTTCGGAGGGCCCACGCACCTGCGCGTGCGCACGACGGCCGGCCGGGCGGCGACGCTGCCAGCCATGCTCTGGGCTTGCGAAAACATCGGCATCTTCTCCCTTCTGAACCTCAACCTCGTCCGACACGAGCCTACTCCGATTCTGCCGCACGCACGCCCCCCCGCCCGGCCTCCTGCCCGCGCCCACCCAGTGACGGCCCCCCCGCGCTTAGGTCCACCCTCACACCCCCCAATCCTCCCCCACGCGGCCTCCAAGAGCCGCGGCGCCCCCCCTGCCGCAGCACTGCGACGATTGCATGCCGCACGCGCGCGGAAACCATTGAAAGCCGCACACAGGAGCCCGGGACGCCCCTTTAGCACAGCCCGCGGCCCAGGGAGGCCGAACACGGGGTCAGCGACGAAGGAAATGGCGTCGAGGTAGCCCCAGGCGACGCAGGAGATTCGGAGCTCGCCCGGGAGGCGCGGGGCGTGCGATGAAGCGCCCAGCGGCGCGCACCGTGCGCGAGCCAGAGCCCAGAGCTCCAGGTGCGAACTTCGCCGCCGCTCGCGGTCGCCTGCGCCCCCAGAGCGCGGGAACCCGGTCCCGGTGCAAGGGAGGTGTCGTTGGCCGCCGAGGATGCGGGCGCGTGCGCCCCGCGCGCAGCCTCCGGTCCAGGGTGGCGACGTTCCCTCGCAGACGAAATTCCAGGACTGGCTTTGAACTTTTCGCGCGCGCCGACGCCCCCGCAGGCCCCGCGGCGCCGGACGACCGCGCGGTCCGCAACCTCGTCATCCTCGCGAACCCACGGATGGTCTACCACCGCCGGGCGGCCACCACAGCCCCCGCGGCGGGAGGCCAGAGCCACAAACCCGGGCACGTCATCGCGGCCGGGCTCGACCGCTACATGCTGGACGTTGCGCGGACCGTGGACGGGTTCCGAGACGCCTCGCGGATCAAGGAGCTCGCGGCGAAGGCCCACGACCGATTCACGGCGCGGACGCCTCCGCGCGAGGCGCGCAAAGGCGCGGGGATGGAAGCACCCGCGGCGTACTTGCGGTACACCGATGCGGCGCCCGCGATGCACCCGCGCGACGATGACTTCGCGAGGACCATCTCCGGCCGCGACAGCCGCGCGACCGCGCCGCGTGCGGCCTGGCCGGCCCCTGCAAGCCGAGCCAGGGAGATGGCCCCGCACCCGCGTCCTGACCGCGCGCCGTCCGCGTACGCATCCGAAGACGATGGGTTCTCCCGCGACGGCTCCCGGCGGGCCATTGGCGCAGCTCAATCGCGCCCGCACGGAGCGCCGGAGCCGTTCAGGTCGACCTCGCCGCCAGGTGCCACGTACGCAGAGCGGCCGCCGAGGCCCAGGCGCGGTCCGGAGCCGCCCGTGGAGGCCCTGCGGTCGGGGGAGGGCCTCGGCGGGTGGGACGTGCCCGCCTCGCAGCGTGCGAGCGCGGAGCGGCCTGCGGGGGGGTCTCGGAGGAGTTCTGCGGGACATGACGGACACGAGGGCGGGGCGGACGCGGAGGAGCGTGGGAGCGGCGGGAGGCGGTACCGGTCGGCGCCTCGCGCGCGCGGAGACGGAGCGGGGCTGGGGGGGGGGAGTGGGCGGAGAGCGAAGAAAGGGGGGGGGTCTGGGAGGGGTCGCGGCGCAGGGAAGGCTGCGCGGCGGCGGCGAAGGCGGTCAAGCTCGCCGCCGGAGCGGCGCGACGGGAGGGCGGGCGCTGCCGCGCGCCCCGCGTCGGCGCCACGGCCGCGTCCAGCGGTGCAGCTGGCGACACCCCCACGGACACCCCCGAAGGCGCCCCGGGCCGCGAAGCGCGCGGAGAGGACGGTGGAAGACGTGCTCGAGGGCAGGGACACGGCGCCTGCGGAGGAGGCGAAGACGTTCGACGAGGGGGGGCGTATTACAACGTGAGTCAGGCCAAGCCCACGGGACGCCGCGCCGCGACCGGTGCCGGCCCAGCAACCACGGCACCGGCCGCGCTCTCCATCGCACCACACTTTCCCGACGCCTGCGTCCCTCACTCGACCTCAAAACGCCCCCAACTCCGAACTGCGTTGCAGATACGCCAAGCCCTGGGTCGCCGGGATGCGCGCGAAGCCCGCGGCCGCCGCGCAGGACGCCGGGGACGCCGCCGCCGCCGCGCCGCCCCGCACCACCGCCGAGCAGGAGGCCTTTTTGGACGCCGACGCCGCCCCGCAGCGCGACCCCGCGAGGCCCGACATCCGGAACCCGCGGCGACCGTACGACGCGCCGTGGCAGGTCAACATGGCCACCGCGCCGCGCCGGCGCCGCGCGAGCGGCACGCAGTCGCTCCCCGGCTCGCCCAGCAAGTCGGCAGTGCCACCCGGGACCGAGCGCGCCGCGGCGACGGCGGGCGAGCAGGCCGGCGCGGGCGCCGAGGACGACCCGCTCGCGGAGCTGCGTTCGCGCACCGAGGCCATCGCCGCCGCGGGCAAGCCGGGCGCGTCGGGCGGCGAGAGCAAGCCAACGAAGGAGGCGGTGCATGCGTTTATCGAGCGCAAGCGCCGGGAGCGTGCCGCGGAGGAGCGCCGGAAGCGCGAGGAGGGGCGCAAGGAGACGGAGGCGCGGCGGGCGGCGATCGCGAAGATCAACCGCGGGCAGAAGCGTCGCGCGCAGCGGGTGCTGGCGGTGCTGGCGGAGCAGGCGAAACTGGCGCGACGGCCGCCGCTGGACGTGCGGCCGCCGTGGCGCGGCGTGGAGGACACGGAGGAGTCGGACGCGCGGTCGCCGAAGGGCCGGGCGCGCGTGCGGACGGCCCTGCCGGGGGGCGCGAGCTCGGCGTCGGGGGTGGGGTCCACGGGGGGCGTCCGCGGTGGCGTCGCCGTCGCGGCTGTCGGGCGGGCGGGCGTCGCCGCTGCCGGAGGGCACGGGCGCCGGGGGCGGCGACGCCGGGGGAGTTGATGGGGAGTCCCCGTCGGTGACTGGCCGGAGGTCTCCGCTGCGGGGCGTGCTGCGCAACGCGTCGCGGAGCCAGAGCGCGGCAGCGGGGATCCCGTCATCGAGCGGAACGCTCAGCGGCGGGCACACCACGCCGGAGCGGCCGCCGGACACCCCACCTGCGTCAGCGACACCCCCCCCCCTCACCGACGCGGCGCCGGCGTCGCTGTCCGCGCGCGCCGAGGCCGCGCAGCGTCAGGCGGAGGAGACCGCGGCGGCGGCGCGCGCGGCCGTGCAGGCTGTGCAGGCAGCGGGCGCCGGCGGCGACAGCGGCACCGACGTTGCGTCGATGCTTGCGACGCTGGCTGCGAGACTGACCGAGCGGATCTCGCAGGTGTCGGAGATGCTGCCGGCGATCGCGGAGATCGCGCGCGCGGGCCCGGACGCGAGCACGGACGAGGACGCGTCGGACGTGGCGTCCTCGGCCGCGGAGGCAGTCGAGGAATCCGCGTCCCCCGGAGTCGAGGATTCCTCGATCGCCCGGGACCCGTCCCCGAAGACTGCACGCAGCGCGCCGGCGGACGACGCGCGCACGCCGTCGCCGCGGCGCGTGCGCTTCCCGGACGAGGACAGCGACGCCGCGAGCGAGCCCGAGGCGCCGCAGCGCGCCACGGCAACAACAGATGCCGAAGCTTCGCCCACCAGCGAAGTGCTGCCTGGCCGCGTGCTCGCGCCGGGCGACTACGTCGACTCCGGCATCCTCGACGAGTCGGACCCGCAGCCGGCGGACGGTCCGCCGGCTCAGGTGCTGACGTCGGACCAGCCGGACATTGTGTTTGCTGCCGGCGACCAGGGGGAGTCGCGACCGGACTCCCCCGCTTCGTTCGAGGTGGGCAGCGAGCACAGCGGCGGGCTGCGCAGCAGCGCGCACGCTGCGGATGCACCTGCGCCGCCGGCGGACGACGGCGCGGCGCTGCGGCGGGACCTTTTGGTGGCACTTGACTCGGGCCTGGTCAGTCAGACGGAAGGCGACGACGCGGTCGCGATCGAGCGCGCGGGCCTGCGGGATGCGTTCCGGCGGCTTGCACAGGAGAGCGACGCGCGGGCCGAGGCCTTGACGGACCCCCACGATGCGCGCGGCGCGCAAGGCATGCCCGCGGCCGCGCGGCGGGCGGAGGCGGCGGGGCTGCTGCACGTCGACGACGACGGACACAGCATGATCGCTGCGCTCATGCGGCAGGCGCGCCGACCGCTGGTCGAGGCGGCCTCGGCCGCGCTCGCGGCTGAGCCCGTGCCGACGCTCGCAGCGGAGCCCGCGCCCGTCGCGACGGCCGACGCGGGCACTCAGGCGCGCGAGCTGGAGAGCACCGCGGTCCAGACGGCCGCGGAGCCGCAGCCGGTGCCGGAGGTGCGGTCGGAGCCGAGCGAGCCGTCAGTTGCAAGTCGAATCGCGGAACCACAACACAGCGACGCAGCGCCGAGTGAGGCAGCGCACGAGCCGCTCGCGGCGGAGCCGTCGTTCGCGCCGAAGGACGCGGAGCCCGAGGGCGCCCCCGAGGAGCCGTACAGCCCCGTCGCGGCGCGCGCGGCGCGCCTGCCGGAGACGGCAGCGGCCGCGCAGAGTGACGGCAGCGGGCGGCCGCGGCTGTCGCCCGACGCGCTCGAGATGGCCTTCTCGCGCGCCATGGACCGCCTCATCGCGGTCGCGGAGGCCGAGCGCGAGCTGGACGCCGCGGCCGCGACGCAGGAGGTCGCGACCGCCCAGGAGGAGGCGCGCGCGGTCCTGGACGAGTTGCAGCGCGTGGGCCGCGAGCAGGAGCACGCGGCGCAGCTGCGCGACCTCGAGTCGCTGATGCGCGAGCAGGCGCACGAGATGGCCGCGGCGGCGCGCTCCGAGGCCGAGTCCCGCGGCCAGACAACGGTCGCCGAGGTCGCGGGACACTTTGTGGAGTATCTAGAACGGCACTCGCACGCGGAGTCTCTGCACCTGCACATGCAGCAGGCGGCGCTCGCGGAGGCGCGCGACCAGCGGGAGTCCGCGGTGCAGCAGCAGATCGAGGCGCTCGTCGAGCGCGTCGAGAACATGCAGCGCGAGGCGCACTCCGTGGAGGAGCACCTGGCAGAGGTGATGCGCGCAGCGGTCGGCGCGCACGCGGACGCGGCGGAGCGGGCGGTGGGCGAGGTGCGCGGGGAGGCGCGGGAGGCGCGGGACGCGTGGGCGGCGGCGTTGGCGCGCGCGGAGGAGTCGAGGGCGGCGATGGAGGGCAGTGTGGCGGCGCGGCTGCGCGACGAGCGGGAGGCGCTGACGGCGATGGCGGCGGTGCTGCGGGACGGGATGGGCGAGTCGCGCCGGGCGCTCGAGGAGCAGCTGGCGCGCGGGCTCGCGGACGCCACGGCGCGACTGGATGTGCTCGCGACAGAGAAGAGCGCGCTGGAGGCCAAGCTGGGGGAGGTGGCGTCGGGGATCGCGCAGGAGCAGCGGGCGCTCGAGGGCGCGGTGGCGGAGCGGATCGCGCGGGCGCTGGAGGCGGCGGCGGGGCAGCGGGCGTCGGCGGCGGCGGCGCGCGCCGCGGTGTTGGCCCAGGGCCCGCCGTCGCCGCGACCGCCGCTGCACCCGTCGGCGTCGCGCCTGCGGCCCGCGATCGCGGCGCAGCAGTCCGAGCTGTCGGACGTGTACTCGATGGACTTCGAGGAAGCGTCTCAGCTGGAAACAGCCGTCGCGCACGCGGCGGCGACGCAGAGCATCGCGGAGGACAGCCTGCCGCCGACGCACCTGAGCGTGACGAGCGAGGTCTCCGAGGAAGTCCCGGACACGCCCGTGCAGCGCCGGCCGGCGGCACCGAGCCCTCCCGCGACGCCCCCGGCCCGCAGGCGCCCTCTGCCGCCGGCGGGCGCCCCCGGGGAGACCGAGGCGCTGCTGGACGCGCTGGTCGGCGAGGCCGAGCAGCACGCCGCGGACGAGCGCGCCGCGCTCGAAAAGCACCTCGCCGCCGTGCGCGCGCGCGCCGCAGAGCGCCGCGCGGACATCGAGGCGCGCATGGTCGATGAGGACGACCCCGGGCAGCGCCGGCGGCTGGCCGCCGCGCTCGACCTGCTGCGGCAGGAGGTGGCGTCCGAGGAGGAGCACGTCGCGCGCACGGTCGCCGACTCCGCGGACCGCCTCGCGAAGCAGCGCGCGAAGTGGGAGGCGTCGCTGGGGCTCCCGGTGACGCCCCCGCGGCCCGCACGGCCGCAGAGGGACGCGGAGGAGGTGCTCGCGGAGGTCGAGGACGCGGTCGCGGCGGAGGCGGCGTCGGCGGAGCCGTCGGAGCTGCCGTCAGGCGAGGTGGAGTACTCGGTAAGTAGAAGCGCTGTCAGTCAGTCGGACCGCGCCGCGGCGTCGGTCAGCTCGGGCCCGGGCGGCCTCGCGCAGCTCCGCGGGATCGAGGACCTCGCTGCGGCGAGCTCCTCCGGCGCCCCGCTGTCCTCCGGGGGAGTGCAGGAGTCGGAGCGGACAGAGGCGGGGTCTTCACTCCCCGGGGGGGAGTCCAGCGTGGACGAGGACGCCGTGATCGTGATGGACTCGCACGGGGACGTGGCGCGCAGCGTGAGCGACGACGACAGCGCCTCGGAGCTCCCGGGCTCGGGCGAGCCCGCCAGCAGCTCGGGGGGGTATTCTGAGGACTTCGAGGGGTCATCATCGACACCCCCCCCGTCTTCGGGGCCGTCCGTGCCGCTTCGCGCGGCGCCGGAGGCTGCACCGGGAGCGTCCGGGGCGCTCGCGGGCCTCCACTTCGTCGACGACCTCGACTGGGCGGACGCGAAACCTGACAGCGGCGCTCCGTCCGACTCGAGGCGCACGTCCCCCGCGCCGGGCACCGCGCCGTCCGCGACGCCCGACGGCGCGTCCTCCGCGGACCTCCTCGCCGAGCGCAGCGCCGAGCTCGAGCGCCAGCTCGCGGCGCTGCAGCGCGAGAAGCATCAGCGGGAGCAAGAGCTGGAGAAACTGCGCCGAAAGGTCGGCGTGCAGGAGAAGGAGCGGCTCCTGGAGCAGCTCCGTGCGCAGGAGCTCCCGCGCATCGAGGAGGAGATCGCCCGGCAGCGCGCGCTCCTCGAGGCCGCGCAACAGCAGGCTTCGACGCAGGTGCGCACAGAGGCCGCCCCTGAGGTCGCCGCGCCCGTCGCGGTCCCCGAGGAGCCCGTGTCCGTCCCCGAGGAGCCCGTGTCCGCGAGCGAGGAGCCCCGCGCGGCCCCTGAGAGCGCTGACCTGGTGGTGCGCATCGCGGACGCTTCCGAGGATGAGGAGGATGTAGCGCCCGCTGCGCCGTCCGGAATCACCCGGCAGGTGTCTCACGCGATTGACCACCGCGTTTCGGGCCTGGACGTCTCGGATGCGGAGAGTATCGAGGCGGAGGAGCTTCCGAGCGAGTCGGAGTCGCCGCAACACGCGCTGCGAGGGGGAGCTGGCGCGGAGGGTCCGGCGTCGCCGCCGATGCGCACGTCTTCGATCGCGTGGGACGACGAGGAGACTCCGCGGCCGCTGCACGAGTCGAGCGCGGCGTACAGCGAGACGTTTGAGGCGCCCCCGTCGCCAGCGGCGGCGACACAGGGCGCAGACGCGTCCGAGGGCCGGGCGGCCGCGCCGGCGCCGGCGGAGGCCGCGCGCGAGGTCTCCGCGGACGAGATCGCGGAGGTGCTGCCTGAGGCGGAGGCGTCGGATGCCCGGGGCGCGAGCGCGGCGCCGGAACCCGCGACGAAGGAGGAAGAGGGGGCAGAGGTGAAAAAGGAGTCTTCAATTCCCGAATCTCCAGCCGCGGCTGCACAGGTCGAGGCGGCAGGCGCCGAGGAGCAGTCCACGGACGTCGCGCTCGCCGGCGACGCCGGCTCGGAGCGCCCCAAGGAGGAGGAGTCCCTCGAACTCCCCCTCGAGGCCTCCGGGGGTGTCTTCTCGCCCGACTCGTCCGTCATGAGCAGCAGCAGCGACGAGGCGAGCGACGACGACGCCCCCGACGCCCCCGCCTCCTCCTCATCCTCCTCCGACGCCAGCGGCGACGCCCAGCCCCCGGAAGCTCTCGCAGGCCTGTTGAAAGCAGAGGCGTCAGAACTCGACGTGTCCGCGGCGAGCCTGGGCCGCGCGGACCTGGACCGGCAGCCGAGCATGGAGGCGAGCTACAGCGTCGAGCTCCAGGAGCCCGATGACCCCGACAACGTCGACAGCGGCGGGTACACCATATGGGCGGAAGACTCGATCGCGTCGAGTGTCGACATGTCCGCCGAGGGCCTCGCGTCGCCGCTGCCGAGCCTGACGGCGACGGCGGCAGCGGCGGCCGTTGCGGCGGCGGCGGCGGCGGAGGGCGGCGGTGTCGCGGCGCAGGTGGAGGCTTTTGTGGATGCAGTGATCGATCAAGAGGTGTGCGCGGGTATCGCGGACAGGGCGCGGGCGGCGCGGCCGCTGTCGCCGACGGAGCTCGGGGACGTGGCGATGCCGCTGGACGAGGCGTCGGCGCCGTCCGGGGACTCTGCGAGCGAGGGGAGTGCCCCCGCGGAGGAGGGGGAGGGTGCGGTGGCGGTGGAGGCGGCGGACGGGGCGCCGGGGGACGTGGACATGGGCGAGGAGCTCGCCGCGGCGTACGTCGGGCGCGTCTTGGACCGCGCGGAGGAGCTGTGGCGCGGTGCGTCACCGCCCCACACTGCGTGCTTGCGGCGCGTGCCTGCGTTCTCGCAGGATCGCCACGCGCTTTCCTGTCGTTTGCACCTGCGCCGCTGTAGCTGTATGCACCGGTACGTCCGAGAGCCGCTGTGTACGCTAGTCACTCAACCCTCTCCCCCCCCACTCCCTGCTTTCGTGCAGACGCGGGCTGCCCGCCGCTGGACGCGGCCCTCGCGGAGGCGCTCCTGCCGCGCATGGACGTCGCGGAATACCTCTCGCTCGAGCGCAACGCCCCCGAGGTCACCGACGGCCAGCACATATACAACAAGCATCTGTACGACTGTGCATGCGAGGCTCTCGGACGGCACCTGAAGGCCCGCAACCGCGGCATCGCCGCGCGCATGGGTCTCCGGGGCCAGCTCGCGACCCCCGAGGGGTGGGCGGAGGTCCGGCGCGCCGTGACGGGCGAGGTGGTGCGGTGGGCGCAGATGGCGGCCGGGGTGGAGAGCGCGGCGACGGCGGGGGCGGAGTTCGTGGAGGCGATGGTCGTGGAGGACATGGGCGCGGAGGAGGAGGAGCTGGACAGCGAGGCGGAGCTGGAGCTCAGGGCGGAGGTGCTGGCGAGCGCCGTCGAGGACATCTGGGCTCAGCTGGTCGACGAGGCCGTGGCGGTGGTGGGTCTTTCGGGGCGTCGGTAGGCGGCGGCGAGGGCGGTGTTCGGGGGGCGGGGCCGCGCCCTGGGGCACGCAAGATATGAGTTTGGCGCAAGGTATTAGAAACATATGTGCGGTTTAGTTTTTACGGGGTATTTATGTGCGGCCGGGCGTGGGTGGTCAATTTCGTTTCGTGCGCGGGTGGTCAATTACTACTCTGCGTGGAGCGCTCGCTGTGAAGCGGAGAGCGCGTGTCGGTCTTGCGGGCATGCCCGGGACGCCGTGCGGGTGCTCGATCGGTCCGTCAGGGGCGATGGGAACTCCCCCGCCGCCTGACGTGGGCAGCACGGGGCCGGAGCGGACTCGTTGCCGCTCCGGCGAGGCGGACCGATGCAGGACGAGCTGCGCATTGCGCAATCAGTGGCAGGGACGCTCGCGCTGCCGGCGGGTCGCGGGGCGGCCTCACGAGTTCAGCGCGCTTGGAGACTGTGCGGCCTGCCGGGCCCCGTATGGCACGAGATGGCCGCCCAGGCAGATCTCGTCGACCCCTATGCAAACGGCTTCCTTGACACCGTCTCTCTGAGCGACCTCGTGGCTCAGTCCTCGCAGGTGAGAGCTCTGTTCCTTGCTGCTTGCCTCGCGGGATGACGTGCTCACCCTGCCCTTGATGCACGCCGTGTCCCGCTGCGGGCATGTTCACGACACGGAGGTCCCGCCTGGCCGAGAACTTGAAGGCCGCGACCTGCGCTCGTCTCGGTGCGCTGTCTCGGAGGTCAGGTTCAGCACTGACGGGCCTGTCATCGTTGGTCCATCGCCGCGCGCAGGATGTCTCCTCCATGCTGGTGCGAGTACTGGACGAGGTCAACAGCGCCGAGGACACGGAAACGGCGCAGCGCCTCGTGCTGCGTTTCGTGCACACTGCGCGGCAGTCGCTCATGCGCGTCATGGCCGCCGTGAAGTGGAGCAACAAGGCTCAAGTCGTCCACATGACCCAGGACGCGACCGACGTCGCCCTGCGGTGAGAAAATCACTGCACCGACCGCAAACGCGAGCGCGGGCTGCGATCCTGCGGCCAACCTGTGCACTCAGACGCCGCAAAACCGACCGCACACGGCCGCACTCGCCGTGCAAACCCGCCGAAACCATCGCAACCGTCGTGAACATGCGGGCGCGACCCAGAAACGCAGGCACCGATGGAATCTCTTCCGATGATACACTGTTGCATCGTTCAAGTCCCATTTCCCCCCTTCTCGTCTTCACCGCGACCCGTCCCCGCGCCGTCACGCGCGCAGGCACACGATGGGCGTCCACAGAGCCGCGGAGTCCCTCAAGATGCTCCACGGCGAGGCACGCATGCGCTCAGATGCACCGTTCCCTGCATCCCTCATGCTCGACACCCTTCAGGGGCGCGACCCGACCATGCCCGCGCGGGCCGTCGCGCCGGAACCGACTTCCCAGGTCCGTCATCCTCTCCGTACCGGCTCGCGGCCGAACGCGCACGCCGTGGCCACGCCGAACGCCTTCACAACAAGTACAACAGCTATGAATTTCGCACCTGTCCGCGACTCAACCGCTCCAGCGGTGTCCCTTCCGGCGCAGGAGGCGATCCAGCTCTCGTCCGACGCGACCGCGCGCCTGCGAGTCCTGACCCTGGCCAAGCTGCGTCAGGAGCCTCGCCCTGACGGTGCGGCGGTGACGTATGTCGACAGCCCGCAGCCCCGCGCCGTGCTGCACGCGCCGGGGCTGTACCGCGCGACGCTCATGCTCGCGCCGATCCGGATCACCGCGTCGACGCGCCAGGCGACGCTGGACGCGCTCGGGTGCGGCGACGCCGTGAAGGAGTGTGCTGAGTCAGGGCAGCGGGGTCCAGGGGGGGAGTCAGGTGCGAGAGCCGCTGGGGATGCGGAGGAGGACTTCAGCGACACGTGGCGCTGGGCTGTGGAGGACGTGGCGGGCCTGCCGGGGTCGGCGAGCGGCAGCCCGTTACACAGCATGCAGGTGAGGAGGCGCTGCGTGCTTGGCCTGCCTCGCACAGGATCGCCGCGCGAGGAACCGTGCCTTCGACCAGATTCATGGTGCATTCGAGCGCTGCGGCACCCCGAATACACCGATGCTCGTCTCGTTGCCTCACGGACCTGGTGTCTCGGTGCGACCGTGCAGATCGGCGGCCTGAAGCGCCTGCTTCAAGGCATTCTCGACAACGCCGAGGTCGTCCGCGAGTGCGACGCGCAGACCGCGCTGTTGCGTACGCCGCATCCTGCGAGCATGGACGACCGTGCGAGCAACCCTGCGACCTCGATGTCGGCCGGGTCGATGGAGGAACAGTGGGGACAGGCCGACTGGGCCGGCGCCACGCGCACGGCGCGGGAAGCGCTGGCCGCAGGCCCGCTTGTTGCTGTCGGGCGCGCCCTGGCCCAGGCCGCGGCGTGGCTGCAGTGCATCCTCGCGGCGCGCGCGGCGCGGGACATGACGGTGGAGGAGGGGCCGTGGCAGGGACACGCGAGGGTGGTGCGGGGCGAGGCGGCGGCGGAGGCGGGGCTGGCGGCCACCTTTGCAGTACAGTACTGGCGCCAGGCGCCGCGCGGGATCGTCGCTGCCGTGGGCGAGCCGGCCGTCGCGATCGGCGTCGACGCTGCGGGCGCACTGGTGATCCGGCACCACCCTGAGATCCCCGAGGGGGGTTTTGAGGGGGGGTGTCCGCGTTTGGACCCCGAGACGGTGGACGTCGCGGGGATGCTGGATGAGTGCGTGACGGCCATGGCGGGCGCGCTCCTGCGGGCGCTCGCGGCGGCGGTGCACGACGCTGCGGCGAAGTTGGTGGCGAAGGATGCGCGAGCGCATGCAGTGACGGCGCACGTGCTTGGCGCGGCAGCGAACACGCGCGCGTCGGACGTCGTGCAGCTCGAGGTAGCCGTGGACGGCGTGCCGGCGGTCGTGGTGAGTGTGGACCGCAGGACGGGCACGCCGGCGCTGTCGGCACGGGGGGGTGTATTGCAGGGCCGGCCCGACCGGACGACCGCGGCCGCGACGGTGCAGGACGCCGCCGCTGAGGTCCAGTCGGCGGCGCTGGAGGGCGGGAAGGCAGCCCTGGCGGAGATCGCGGGCGCGGCGGTGCGTGCAGCTCTGTGGCTGACGCGGCCGTCGGTGGCGGCAGGTGTCGAGGCGGCGGGGCGGGCGCTCGGAATGCACGTGACTCCAGGCGGCGCGAGCGTGTCGGCCAGCGGGGACGCGACGGTCGTGCTCGGGCTCTGGCACGAGACGCTGCAACGTCGGGGGGGACTCCCCCGCCTGACAGTCGTCGCAAAGGGCACGGCCACGCGCGCGCCGGGGGCGCCGTTGCTGACGTCCGTCGTCGCACGCATCGCGCCGCCGACGGGCGCGGCCGTCCCAGTGCTGTCGTGGGACGTCACCAGCCCGGACATCCCCACAGGGAAGGGGGGGAGTCCAGCGCTCACGTCAGACCTCCCGCCCGACGTAGCGCAGCTGGGCGTCACGGAGCACGACTGGGCCGTGCTGCAGCGCGCAGCGATCCAGGCCCGCGAGGTGTTCCGAAGGCAGGCGCTTCTACTCTCTCTCCTGGCCGCCGGCGCACCCTGTGTCAGTCAGACAGACGGTATCTTCCTGGGCAGCGCGCCCGCAGCCGGCGAGGCCGACGCGCGCATCGTCGTGCAGCGCTCGCTGTCCGAGGCCGACGCGACGTGGCGCGCGCGCGCGCCCGCGGCGCTGTTTGCGGCGCAGGCATCCTGGGACTTGAGCACCCTTCAACACTCCCCCCTCGTCGGCCAACTCTCGGTCGCGAACGGCCGCGTCGCGCTGCGCTACGATCTCGTCGACGGGCAGGACGGCGGCACGCTCCTGCGCGACCTGCGGTGCCTCGCGGTCGCGGAGCGGGTGCGCGACCGACTCAGTCTGTCTCTGGAGCGGGTTCCGAGCTTGCAGGCCGGCGCGCTGGGCGCGCACCGCCCACACGCCCCACGCCTCGATACGTCGGTGCCCGGCGTGGTCGGCGTCCTGCTGGGGGGGGTCAAGCCGGAAGACCACCGCCCTGTGTTGCGTGTGGACTTCCGGGACCCGTCTGCGGCGTCAGGGGGGGAGTTCAGCCTCAAGGACGCCGGAGGCGTGGTGCCCGAGCTCGTCGTGCCCGGCTTCGACGTCGGATCGGCGTTCACGGCGCACAGGGAGATGCTGCGGCGCGACCGCGACGCTGCCGTGCTGGAGGCGCTCGTAGCGACGGCGCCGAGCCTCGCGGCGATGTTTGCGGCGCACGTCGACGCCGGGGCGCTGGCAGGGTTCTTCAGCGCGTCCTCCACGCTGCTCGTGCGGGGCACGTTGAGCCCGTATCGATACCTGCTGGCGCACAACTATAACAAGCTTGAGATTGGAGGGGGAGTCAAACGTGCCAGGAGGCGCGCGGCGAGGAGTGGCAGCGACGGCCCCGTGGCGGTCCTGGAGCTGTCGGTGCGCGAGCTCGGGGCGACGGTGTGGCTTTCAGAGCAAGTTGCGGTACAGGTGTGGCCATCGTCGCCAGGGCTGGAAAAGACGCCTGCTGGTGGGCACGGAGCCAAGGACGGGGAGCGGGGTCCGACGAAGCGCGGGTGAGTTGGTTCGGCGACCCGGGCGAGGGCGGATCGTTGCTAGTTGTTGCGCCGTCGCCGTGCCTCATCCTATGCTTTCGCATCGCGCATGCTGAGCAGGGGGGTGGCGAGAGCGGCCGCGGAGGACTTCGTCGCCGCGTTCGTCGCGCAGCACACGGCCGCGGGCACCCAGACGGCGGCCAGGGTGGCCTGCCCTCGCCGCGGGCTCGGTGTGGCAATGGTGCCCTCCCTGCTGCCTGCAGCTCTGTCCACGCTGCGCAGGCTCCTCGCGCCGACGATCATCGGCGCGCCCGGCGAGCGCATCATGGAGACCCTCGACTGAGCGCGGGGCCTTTCCTTCGCGAGCCATGTACAACGACACCGAAGCAGTGAATGGTAATTAGTGTCGTCGTCGTCTTCGGAGAGCCACTGGCCGTCTCAGACGTGCGAGAGGAAGGCTGCGAGCTCGCTGCAGAGCAGAGTAGGTCACCGCAGTACCATGGAGCTGGCCTGTGCGGCCTTGTGAGGCACTTCGCCTTATTGATACTTGTGCCTAGTGGTAGTCTGGGCTCCACCACGAGTCAGGCGGCACCTCCCTGTCCTGCTCCGCCAGCCAGGCCACGACGGCCAAGCGGCCGCCGTGCGCGCCAACGATGTCCACGTAGTGGTCCTCCACGAACGCCTCGTGGTCCGGCGTCACCTCTTCAGGCCTCGACACCGACGACAGGTGCGGCTCGTACAGGTGCGTGCTGCGACGGACGGGGAGGCCGAGGGCAACATCAGGGCATGCTCGAAAGTATTTCTAGTGCGTGCTGGATGCCAAGCAAGAGGATTGGACCTGGAAAGCCGTCGTCGCGCGTGTTTTCGCACCTCCATATGTAGACGTTTTCATTCCACGGTTTTCCGGCGTCCTGCTTCGCGCGCGCGCGCACGAACGCCGGGTCCTCCGGGCATGAGATCTCGACCACCACGTCGCGGTACGCGAACAGCGCCCGCGCCCCGCCCTCGCACGCCGCGCGGCAGTCCTCCAGGGTCATCGGCGGGACCCCCCCCGGCGGCGCCGCGGGCTCAGCGTGGTCGAGAATCCGCCGGAACGTGCCCGGTCCTCGCCGCTCCCGCCTTGGCAGCTCCCGCATCGTCTCTCGCCAGTCCTTTGACACTCCGTGGTGAATCAAACCTTGTTCTATAATTGCCATGTAACGGCCGCCGGGGAGGCACTCGCCGATCCCCTGGTCGCTGAAGAACGCGACCGCCTCGACGGGCCGCCCCGGAAACGCGACCGGGTCCGCCGCGGGCGCCGCTGTCGCGTCGTTGCTCGGCGTGTACGGCATTGCCTGCACGTGATGCAGCCCGTAGGAGCGCTCGATGCGCCGGAGGACGTCGAACCCGCCGGCGGTGACGCGGTGGAGGACGCCGTGCACGGACGCGCCCTCCTCTTCCGCCAGGTTCGCCATCCCGCCACTGACGTTGAACCTGCAACGCGTGAGGAGGGAGACACGCTCCCGCTTTGTGGGATTTCGGCCGCCATCGAGCGAAAGAGGCGGAGACGCGACGAATCGCGGATGCAACACGCCGTCTGTGCGGGCTGGAAGGCTACCTATGTCATGCCGGCGGGGAGGAACGCACCTGAGCGCATAGCCATGGACGACGGCCGGATGCGACTCGCGGGCGTCGATCCCGCGCCGCGCCATAGCGACGGGGTTCACCATTGCGCCGAAGCTGAAGTAGAACACTTCGCCCGGCGCCAGGCCCGGCGCCTTGGAGCTCATTCCGGCGCTAGAAGGAGAGCGTTCCGCGGTGACCTTGAGGCCGCGCCCCGCTGCCGCACGTGCGCCGCGCTCAACGCCTCGAAGACGTCTCGTCCAGGAGGAGGAACTGTGCCTCTGCACGCGCTGATTCGGGTGCCCCGCGCACGCACGCTCCCGCGCTGCAGCCCTGCTGGTTGGCAACGCGCCCGCCTGCGGCCTGACTCGCATCCGTCCCAACGCCACGCCCCTCACTCGCAGCGCAGCCCCCGGCCGCACGTGCCCGAGCCGTGTGCGCAAGGACCCTACAAGCCCGCACCCTGAGCCGTAGGACGGTCCGGGACCCCCCCCATCCTAGTAAATAGGCCCCTCATCATAATAGTAACAGAAAGTCATAGCACGCGAATCACCAGCCGCTACGCAGCGCTCGTCGCAGGCAAGCATTCCGAACGGAAGCGTCGTGAACGGTTCACACATCTTTTCAGGTCCCAAAGCCTTATGGCTGACGACGCGAAGAGTGCAACACCTCACCTCACCTCACGCCCCCGCACCCGCCCGCCCGCTACCGCCGGAACACGTGCACTTCCTCCGCCAGCGTCAGGGCCTGTGCAACGGCATACTGGTCGTTGTACGCCTCCATCAGCTCCTCAAGCTCCCCCTCCGGCACCCGCAGCAGGTTCGCGAGCTGCGGCAGCCCCTTGTTCATCAGCGTGTTGATGCCGCACTTGGTCGTCAGGTCCTCGCCCACCACGCACAGCAGCAGCCCGCGCCGTTTCTCGAACTTCGTGAGCGCACCGCCCAGGCTGGTGGCGTAGCGCGCGCCGCCCGTGTCGCGCGCGACGCGCAGCATGGCCGCGAGCTCCTCGCGCCAGTCGTCCCGGCGGCTCGCCACGTCGACAACCTCCACCCACAGCCGCTCGATCTCGTCAGGCGGGAACTCGAGCAGCGAGCCCGTGACGAGGAATGTCTCGAGGACCAGCGCCGGGGTCCAGTACGCGTCGCCGAAGCGCTCGCGGTCCCCGAGGACGCGCACGATGCGCCGGACGTTGGCCACGCGGGTGTCTGCGGGGGGGTTGCGCACCGGGGAGTGTGCGTGGGTCTGACGAATGAGGTGGGGGGTTGTCGGAGCGCGGAGAGGGGGGAGCGGGGTCGCGAAGGAGGGTGCCGCCGCGGGGGCGCGCGTGTGGGGTTCGTGAGCGCGGGAGACGTGCCGTGGGCGTGCGTGCGACGTGATGGGGGATCGGTTCCTCAACAGATAGGAAACCATATCTCGCGAGGCACGTCTTACCTGAGTCCATGGACACCAGCAGCTTCGGCGTCCTCCGGATGATCCGCCGGACCTTCTCCCGCGTCGCGCCGAGCTCCGAGAGCCCCTCGATCAGCCCCTCCGCGCGCCGCTCCACCTCCGCGGGGCTCAGAAGGAACACTTTCGGGTGCCATGAGACGACTTTCGCTGGGTAGTATCTCGCCCGCGCCCGCTTCCCAACACTCAAGCCCTGCCTCTCCCAAACCCGCTGCCCCCCGGCGCCGCCGCCCGCGCCGCCGCCGCCACCGTCCTCCGGCGCGCTCTCGAGCTCCAGGCAGCGCGTCAGCGCGTCGACGCGGGCCTGCAGCTCGTCGATGGAGCACTCGATGACGCCAGGTGCTGCTTTTAGGATCTTGGCCGCGTCGGCGGGGCCCAGGGGCGGCAGGAGCGCGCAGAGCGCCTCGACCCACGCCGCGAGGTCGGCCGGCGCCCACAGCACGAGGGCGGGGCAGTTGTGCACGAGGCTGCGCACGGCGGCGGGTTTCGCGCCGTCGGGGTCGAAGGTGCGCCTGATCGCGTCGCGCCGCTGCGCGACGACGTCGGGCGGGAGCTGGAGGATCTGTGGGCGCTCCGCGCAGATCCTCGGGAGTCGCCCGTAACGGCCGAAGTCGAAATGGTGTTCGAGGGCTTCTGCTGTGTCAACGAGGGCCTCGGTGCCGCGCTCGGCTAGCTCGGGCATGCGCTCGATCGCTGGCCGGAGGGTCTTTTTCAGCGGCGCCGACAGGCCGTGCGTCAACGCTTTCGCCACGGCGGCGTGCGAGGGCGTGTGGGCCGCAGAGCACTGCACCGGGCGTGACGGAGCGGTGGTGCGCCGTTGGCCTGCGAGGACTTGGCCGGAGGCCCGCCTCTGGACAATGTGGCTGTGTGGTGGACTCTGGCGCGTGGAAGGCGGCCCATGCAGCGGGCAGTGCCCGCTGTGACCGGGCACGAGCACCCAGCACATCGCTTCCTGGCTGCAGAGCCCCGCGCGATCGCTCCTGGTCCTACGAAACGATGGAACCGCACGGCTCGTGCTCGCCAGTGGCTGGCTTGAGGCCCTTGCTACAACATTGCGGCGGTGAGAGGGCCGCCAATCATGGATATGGAGACCGCAGCCTCTGTGGTGGCGTATCGCGGGTCAATGAGCTGCTATGAGTGATGGGCCGGATCGTCACGTCGTTTGTGATGCGTTTCGTGTCATACCGCGGCATAGTAGCCCAGGTGGCTGCGGCAAATACACCACAAAGAAACTGACTCATTGGTGTGTCTGCCATCGAGGGCGGCGTTGCGGCTGAGAGCTCAGTGCGCGCGCGGACAGCGGCACTCGCGTCCATGCAGCCGAGCCGCCCGAGCGGACGTTTCATGACCACGGGCCCCCTCTGAGCGGCGAAGTGTGCTCGCCGACAAGAACCATCCTCAGCGCTCGCAACACCCCCATCTCGGGCATTTCCTGCCCGTCCGAGCCATGTCATACATCTAGCGTGCTGAGCGCGACGTCAGGTTTCTGGGCTACAGCGCCCTGCGGCTCCCAGGCCGCATAGACACAAGTTGGCCCTCTGCAGCGCACCATGGCGAAGTCGAAGCGGAAGTCCGGGGTGCCGGACATCGCAGGCAAGAAGGCCAAGCGGAAGGGCAATGCCGCGGCGGAGAAGGTGCGCGTTCTCGCCGGCGGTCCCGGCACCCGAGTGCGCCGCAGCCGCCGAGGCCCGCAGTACCAGCCGCGAGCGCGTCACGCGCCAGCTTGGTCGCATTCTTTCCTGCGAGCGCCTACACTCGCGCACGCGCAAGCCACCGGGCTGTAGTTTCCCCTCAAGCACGAGCACACGGCGCCAGCGTCGCCGCTGGGCGGCACTCTGACGCTCCCCCGGAGCGCGCGCTCACGGGCAGCACGGCTCGTCCGCGTCGGAGGTCGCAGGAGAATCCCTTCGAGGTGCTGCACAGCAAGCGGAAGTTCGCGACGCTCGGGGTCCGCGAGCGCGGGCCCAAGAAGAACAAGAAGACGCGCACGCGCCTCCGCACCGACGCGGACGAGGAGCGCAAGAGGACGCTCCTGGTCGAGTACCGCCAGCTCAAGAAGACCAACGCGTTCATCGACAAGCGCTTCGGGGAGTTCGACCAGGTGCGTCCCGCCGTGGCTGTCACTCGCGCGCAGCCCGCCTGCGTCCGCGCCAGCCGCGGGCGGTCCCGGCGCTCGTCCGACCCGGCCGCGGACGGCGCGTCTCGTGCAGGGGCTGACCGAGGAGGAGAAGGCGATCGCGCGCTTCCAGAAGCAGCGCGTCAAGGAGGCGCGGCGGGGGCGGTTCGCGCTGGGCGACGACGACGGCGACGGAGGCGACGGAGGGCTAGGTGCGTCGGTTCCCTGGCGCGGGCGAGGTGCCGCGCGGATGGAGCGGGGCCGCGTTCCGGGGAGAAGTGGTTTGAACAGACAAGAAAGGAAGGAGGAAAACGTAGTTGGGCAAAAGAGACTGACGGTGGGTTTTTGTGGCTTCGTGGGCGCAGGGGACCTGACGCTGACGCACGGCGGGATTCCGGTGGACGATCTGGACGGGGACGGGCTCGGCGTGCCGGCAGCGTCGGACGACGAGGAGGGCGTCGACGACGAGTGGGTGCGCAGGGCGCACTTCGGCGGGGGGGGGGCGGACGCGGCCGAGGACGACGACGAGCGGCCGAAGAGCCGCAAGGAGGTCATGGAGGAGCTCATCGCGAAGAGCAAGATCCGCAAGGCACGCGTGCGCGTGCGCCGTCGCCGCACGCTCACAAAGGTCCTTTACGCGCCGCACGCGCCCTCACGCTGCTCGTTCGCGGGTCCGCGCGCGAGATGTGCAGGCAGAGAAGCGCCGCGAGAAGGATCAGGACGAGCGGCTCCAGGACGAGCTCGACGCGCAGCTGGGACCGCTGCTGGCGGAGCGCTTGGTGGCGAAGCGCGACAAGGCCGCGGCGCTCAAGAACGCGCTCGAGAGGCTCAAGTCCGGCGCTGGGGCCGCCGCGGCGGCGCCGGCGCGGCCGCCAGAGCGGAAGTACGAGCTCACGGAGATCGACAAAGCCTATGATGCGGCGACGCGGGAGCTCAGGGAGACCCCGGGGGCACGCGCGCTGCCGTCGGACCGCGCACCCACGCAGGAGGAGGTCGCGGAGGCGGAGCGGAAGCGCGCGGAGGCGATGGAGCGGCAGCGCGCGAGGCGCATGCGGGTGCGCAGCATGCCGCTTGCTGTAGCATGCCATCCCACTCTCGCAGTGGGAGAGCTCCGTGCGGGGGGGGCGCAGCTTCCGACGTCGACCGTCTCGCGCAGGGGCACGTTCGGTGTGCCGGATACGGGCTGGCAGTCGCGGTTTCACGATTGATGTTGGCAAAAAGGTGCCAAGTGACCGGGCGTGACGATTTCCGGTGCTTTCGGGTGACCTCGCAGGCTGTGTCGGGCGACGACGACCCGGACCTGGACGCCGAGGAGGACGACGCGGCGCTGCAGGCTGCGGGGGGCTACCGGGCGCGTAGGGAGAGGGCGCGGCGGGACGCGGAGGAGGCGGCTGCAGATGAGGAGGAGCGGGGCGGCGGGGGCGACGGCGGGGGATCGGACGACTTCGACGGCGGGGAGGAGGACGGGAGCGGGGACGAGGGTCTCGCGGAGGTGGCGGACGCGGCGAACGCGATGGGCGTGGGTGCGTTGCAGCTGCGGCAAATGATGCGCGCGCAGGGCGACCACCCGCTGCAGAAACAGTTCCGGCAGGTGATGGCGGAGGTGCTGATGCGGCACGGCCGCGAGGAGCTCATGGGGGACAAGCAGCGGGGGGAGTTCGCCGAGCTGTCGGACGAAGACGGGGGGGAGTCTGACGAGGAAGGTGGGGGGGAGTCTGAGGAGGAAGAGCGGGGGGGCGAGGAGAGCGGCAGTGAGGACGGCGGGGAGGAGGGGGGCAGCGAAGGGGACGGTGCGGGCAGCGAGGGCGCTGACTCAGGGGGGAGTGACTCCGAGGGGGGTGTCGAGCCCGCCAAGCCGCAGCGGGCAGCCGCGGCGCTGCGGGGCCCGCTGGACGTGTCCTTCACGCCCAGCGCGCCGTCGTCGTACGACGAGCTGCGCGAAATGCTCCACGGACGCTCGCCAGGTGCGCTCTCACAGCAGCAATGCCGCAGCAACATGCATGCACGCCGTGCCCGACACGACGCGCACCGAAGTTCAACCGTCATCGCACGGCGCCACGCTGCCGCGTGTGCTCGTGCTCAACCGCGGCGCGGCGCTGGCGCGGCTGACACGCTCATGTGTGCCCCTGTGCTCTGCCCTACGCAGGTGACGCTGCTGACGTGGTTGACCGGATCTTGCGCGCGAACCGCGCGGAGCTGAACGCGGACAGCCGCCGCGGCATGTCGGTGTTCTGCGCGCTGCTCGTGCAGTTCTTCGTGGACGCCTGCGGGGGGGGTGTCGAGGGCGCGAGCGTCGCGGAGGCGCTCGTGCCGGCCATCCTGCACGTCACGGAGCTCGTGCCGGTCTACGCGGCCACGCTGGCCAGGTGCGCGTCTCACTGCGCGTGAACGCGCCGGACGCGGCGGGCGCCCGGGCAACGCGCGAGGTGCCTGTTCAAGGTTTTTGGTCTCCTGCAACTCTCACGAGGATATGGCTGCGCGCTTCGGCTGTCTTGAACGGTCACGATCGTCCCTCAGACCGTTTCTGTGCGCAGGGCGCGGCTCGAGCGGATACACGCCCGCGTGTCCGACGGCAGCTGGCCGCTGCCAAAGCAGCTGTTGTACCTGTCGCTGCTCGCGACCATCTTCCCCGTCACGGACGCCAAGCACGCCGTCCTGACCCCCGCGGCGCTCGTCGTCGCGCAGGCGCTCGCCACCCTCGACGTCAGCAGCACCGACGACGCAGTGCGGGGCCTCTACGCCTGCGGGCTCCTGGTGCGCCCCCGCCCGCTCCGTCGCCTTGCTGTTAACCCGGCACCTGCCCCGCTGCCCGGAGTGTTCCTGCCACGCCGGAACACCCCCCCACGACCCCTCAACTGACTCAGTCTGCGACGCGTGCGCGTCAACGCAGACGAGGATGCACTCGGGCGCCCGCCGCTACCCCTCTGAGGCCGTCTCCTTCCTCGCGCGCTTCTTCTCCGGGCCCTTGCCGCGCCTGCTGCGACTTGCCTCCGCGTCAGGCCACCCACACTCCAGCAAGGCAGTGCCGCTGTCGGTGCTGCTCGCCGCCGCCGGGCCCGAGCACCCCGCCGCCGACGAGGAGCGCGACGACGCGCCGGAGGACGCCGGCGACCTCGCCCTCGCCGCGCCGCTTGCCACGGCCGCGTTCCGCCAGGCGCGCCGCCTCGCAGAGGTGTGCGCGACGTCCCCGTCGGCGCCCGAGATCCTAGCACCGCTGTGCGCCGCGATCGACGCGCTCGCGACGGACCAGGGCGGTCGCCGCAAGGCCGGGAAGTCCCGGGCGTCGGGCGTGGCGGAGGCGGCAGCGGACACAGCGACGGCGGTGCGCGAGGTGATGGAGAAGGCGCGGGCGTCGCGGCGGCCCGTCGTGCAGCGCTTCCGCGAGACGCGGGCCGCGAAGGCGACGTACAATCCGCAGTTTGAGGACGACTTCGCGAAAGGTGCGCAAACGCGCGCACATGTTGTTTGCCCTGTGCCCGCTCGATCACACGCGCGGACAGCCTTTCCGGCACCGTCTGGCCGGTGCTGCGAGCTCGGCATGTGGCACGTCGGCGTCGCGCCTTCCGCCGCCCTGCCGAAGGACGCAGCCGGGGCGCGCTTGCGCCCACACCACCCCGTCGGCGGCGGCTCCTCGTCCGTCGTTGGCACGCCGAGGTCGCCGAACGCGTAGACACGCGGCGCGTGACACAGCCGCGCCCGTGCGACGCTCCGCAGGGAAGGACTACGACCCAGACGTGGCGCGGGCGCAGGCGCGGCGAGCGAAGAAGGCCCTCGCGAAGGAGACGAAGGGCCTCATGCGCGACCTACGCAAGGACACCGCGTTCATGATGGCCGTCAAGAGCCGCGAGCGCGCGACGCGCGATGCGGTGCGACCCCTCAAGACCCCCCCTGCCCTATTCGCGCATCTGTCGCGTCCGGCCGTCAGCCGCGGCGCGCCGCTGGCCGGCGCGAGGGCGTGCGGGTCGGTTCCCGTCGCGTGCTTGACGCTCGAGGCTCCCCGAGGGCCATTGCGTGCAGGAGCGCGTCGCTGGGCAGAAGCGGGCGCTGTCGCTCCTGGAGGCGCAGCAGGCCGACCTGAAGTCCGGCGGGCAGGGCGGCACGTGGAAGTCCAAGAAGAAGGCCGCGCGGTAGACGCGCGCGCGGCAGTGCCTCGACACAGTGCCTCTCTTTTCCCGCTGTGTGTGCTTCGCGCTCAGGTCAGACTGGGCGGCGACGACGACGACGGGTGCGGCAACGGCGCGACTACGCTCGACTACTACCGGGGCGCTGCGCGGGTCCCGCGCAGACGTCGCGGCTCTGCCGCGGCCGGTGCGGACCGGCGGCCGCGCTGTGAGGTCAACGGCGGGTGCTCTCGGGCTCCTCGCGAGGCAGGCAGCCTCCCGGCCTGCAGTTTTGGGGCGGAGAAGTGTGTCGTGTCGCGTGGGCGTCGTTTCGGGAGCAGGGATGGCCGATGTGCGGCCGGTACAGAGCTGTTCGCGCTCCACAGGGGGAGAGAGGTGTCCCAAAGGGTCGGCTGAGCCGGGCTCCGTCTCGTCCCTGGGCCTCGAAGGGCCAGCGCCGTGGCGTAGAGGAGGTAGAAATGTTGAAGTGAAGAAGTCAGAGTTCTGTCGATAACGAGTTCCGTCGATACACGCCAGGCGCGGACCGTCGTTGGTCGCGTCTGCCGCTGTCGTCGCAAATGCAACGCGTTCGCTCTCTATTCGGAGCTAGATCACAGGTACGTGTCTCCTTTCCTCCTGCGGGAGCGTAAACTGCGTCGTCACCCACGCGCAGCGCGACGGGGGCGCGAAACGGTTCTGTGCGCGGTTGCGCCTGCCCGTCCTCGTTCGTCCGCAACGGTGCGGCCGCCGCGCGTTCGCGGCCGAACCAGGGCAGCGTGGCGCGAGCCCGCGCGACGGCCCGGTGTCCGGACGCTCCACAGCGGGCGCTCGAGGCCCTGCCGAAAAAGGCTGCATTTCCCCCGTGTACGCGCAGCGAGGAAAGCCACGTAAGGGCAGCGTCGAGGAAGACGACCACGCCTTCTGCTCAGTGACGTATGCCGGCGCCACGGCCTCGTACCCGGTTCGCCGGCACGGCAAACGACAAGACGATAGCCCTAAGTGCCCGCCGAGCGCAAAGAGGTGCGGCGCCCTCCCTCCCCGGAATACGCGTTCTTATTCACCGCACTCCTCACACGCGGCGTCGACCGCGTCCTCGCGCCCCCGGCAGCGCGTCCCGCCAGAGCACACATCACTGGCCCGGCAGCCGCCTCCCCACGTCCGAACAGCCCCGCTTTCGCCCCTCGTCGCCCTCTCCAACCACCCCTCGAGCCCACAAGGGGCGCACACAGGCCGTTCGGCCCCAGGGCCGGCCGCGCAGACCGCTCGCCTCACCGCAACACCGCGCCACTTCCGCCCTCCCCTGCAGCCACACCGGCAACGCGGCGCTGCGAAATGACAGCCACACGGTCACCCAGCGCAACCAGCACTCGTCGCGCTCCGTCTGCTACTCGCACGCGCGCCCCTCGACGAAGACCACCGAGAAGGCCAACCGGACCCACGCGTCCCTAGGTGAGCCGCCCCTCCCGGCGCCTGCGCGCCCTCCCGCGGCCTCCGAGCCGCCTCCGCGCCCCGATCCGCGCACCCACGCGCCGCGCGGCCGCTGCGCGGCGGCGCCCCGGGCGCGCCGCGGCAGCGCCGCCTAGGCACACTGTAGCAACTACTGGCCTGTAGCCCGGCCGGTGAATCTCGGCGGCCGAACCCTCGTCCGCGCCGCCGCTCCGCGCAGGCTTCGTGCTCTCCCAAGCTATCCCCGAGACGGCCATGGAGGGCGCGTCGGACACGTGCAGCGCCGGGCAGCCGGCGTCGCGCCCGGACTCGGTTGCTAGCAGCGTCCGGCGGCGGCCGGAGCCGGCGCGCGGCGCGATCTGCCGCCCCCGGCAGCCCGGCCTGCACGAGTCTTGCGACGTGGACGAGGCGATGGAGCCGCGCGAGCCGCCGATTCGCGTCGCGGAGGGCATGGCGGCGATCTTCCTCAGTGACGACGCCGACCTGGACACGCTGTCCGAGTCCGACGACGGGATGCCGCCGTGGCTGGGCGGCGGGTCGCGGGCGGCGCGGTACGGCGCGATCTCGCCGCCGCTGCCGGCGTCGTTCGTGGCGGAAAACACCGAAGGCGCGTACCCGCTGGCGGCGGTGATCGCGGGCGGGAAACATGACGACGCCTCGAGCGCGTCGGCCGTGTCCGGCCGGAGCGGCGCCCGCGAATGCCTGCTGCTTTGACCGCGGCGCCGGGGACGCCACGCGGCGCCCGGCCCCGGACGAAGACGCTCCCGGTCTCCTCGATGCCAGTATCGATGCCATTCACGTACCAACGCAGCGCACACCCTCTCCCCGGGCCCAGTTGCCCGCGCGTCGTTCACGATCTGCCCTGCCCGGGCCGCCGTCCACACCGTCCCCGACGGACGCAGGACGCTGAAGAATGAGACGCTACGTTTTACGAATCTGTGCGGTCTACACCCCCGAACCCCCCTATCCGTTCCTGCGATCAGCAGTGCCTCGTCCGACCCCCGCGCCCCGCCCCGCCCCCCTCGGACCGCGCAGCTCGCCCCTGAGCGCGCATGCACTACCTCGACTCGGCCGCCACGTGCCTGCTCACGCGCCGCACAAACCGTTGGCTCCCGTGCCCGGCGACCCCCCGCGCTCACGCGCTGCATGTTCTCCCTTTCCGCCAAGCTTCTTCCCATTCCCCGCCCACCCCCGCCAACCCAATTTCCCACTCCCCCCCTTGGAGGCCAGCCCACCCCGTATGAGGGCTGCGCGGACCCGTGCTCATTCGCGGCCGGCCCGACGAATTGCGCGCGCGGTATTCTCGCGCCCGCACGGCCGCCCGCCCAGCCCGCTTGGCGGCCCATGACGCTGCCATGGAGCAGGAACGCCAACACCCCCCCGCGGAGACTTCTAGGCTCCGCCTGCATACACACCAGCCGCACTACTACACCTGCATGCCCGACGACCGCCACGACGACCACGCGGACAGCTCTGCGCGGGCGCGCGCCACCGGCACCGGCACCGCGCCCACAGCACTGCGTACGCTTCTGGCGTCTCTTTTTCCTACCGTCGCCCCCCATGCCTGCCTGACGAAGCACCGCGAAGTCACCCAAGGCCCTTCCCTCACTCCGCTTTTGAAGCACCCCCACCCACCTCTCCCATCTCCGTCTCGCATTTGGTCCCCCGACACCCCCCCCCTCTCCGCTTCCCTCCTTGACGCGCGAAGCACGCGCGCCCAGGCGACCCGCCCGACGCTTGGGACAGATCTTTGATGCACTGCCGTGTCGTGCGGCCCATCTTTCGCTCGGGCCCTCGACGCAGTCGGACACTTGCGTGATCGCATTGTCACAACGGCGACCCGACGGCCATCGCCCTGTCACGGGCACTAGCCGGCCCCAACTACGACGCCGGGCATTTATTTGCTACCGATGCTTGCGCAGGCAGCAAGTCGGGCATACTGCCCGCGTCGTCCGTCCCTCAAAAACAGTGTGTAAGTCTCCGCTGTCAACACCCCCCCCCCTGCTCGGTCGCGCGGCTCAGCGGCGCTCGCGGAAAGTGCCCCGGAGGTCCGCGTCACCCCTCGCGCCTCGCCGCGCGCGGCTCGTGTGTGCGGGTGCTCTGCGAACCACCATCAGCTGTCGCTCTGCTCCCCGCGTGTCGCGCGCGCCTCGGGGCGCGCGCGGTGGTCCACGTGCACCGTGCGGGTGAGGTGCGGGTCGCCGGGCAGGACCCGCCCTTCCAGCGCGGGGTTCGCGACGCCGCAGCACGTCGCTGGGCACGCGTGCACGTCCCCCTTGCATGCCGCTACACACTTTGACAAACACGTCGCCTGCTGCGGGGCCTGCGGAGCGGGGACGGGCGGCGCGCTCGCGCGTTCGACGTGCTCGTCGCTGGCGCCAAGGCTCGTCCGGTGCCTGGCGACGCGGGGGGCGAAAAGGCCCCAAGTCGCAGTGGCGGGAGCCCGGGCGAGGTTTCGAGGGCCACGCGCGCACCTGGTGGGCTCGGAGGACGGCGTTCGACCTCATGTATGGCCTGCGCAGGACCGTGGCTCGCGCGGGGTGCGCAGCGAAGAGGAGCGCGAGGAGCAGAAGTAGCGCGAAAGGCCGGTGGTGCATCTCGGTGTGTCTGTTCGCAGCCCCAACAGACATGGGAGTGGTCTGGCGCGCAGCGGGCGGCTCGGTCCTTCGGTTGCCTCTTGAACGCACGTCTGTGCTGTGGAGATGCGACGGCGATGCGTGTGGGACGCGGAGGAGGGTGAATTATGCGAGCGCGGCCGCCGAAGAGGACAGCAAGCAGTGGGATGGTGGTCACGGCCACACGGCCTGCTGCGAACACAGGTCGATCAATAAGCGGGTTTGAACTGAATTGATGAGGCCGTGCGCGCCGAAGCGTTGTTGTTTGCGGCCGAGGCGCGGCGGCGCAGCCTGAGTATGAGCAACGTGGGCCCCCGGCTACTGCGGGGAGCCTGCGTGGGCTTCGAGGGCGCCACAGAAGGCGCATCCTGGGCACACTGTCGAGCTCATACCACGTGCGAGCCATCCCCAATAAAATGGGCGCCTGCGCATCAGCGGCGCGGGTCGTAGCGGACGAGGCGCCTCACGCGGTGCACGAGCCGGTGCGTTGCGCCCTCGTCCGGCCTCGCCGCGTGCGATACGCTCCTCCAGGACATGAAAGAGATTGACGATCATCGATCGCGCCGCATGACCCGGCTGTGTCCCCCCGCACCGAGCCAGGCGCCGCAGCTCACCCACCACCTTGTCTCTGGTCGCAGGGGCCGGTGTCAGCGCCCAGGGCCCGAGCTGCCCGGAGCTCCTTCGCCTCGGACGGCAGCGAGACGATCTTCCACGACCGATTCATCCCCGGCGACGCCGTCAACTTCGACGCCCATGTCGCGGACAGCAGGCATCCCTTGCCTCCCTCTCGGTGCGCCTCCCTCCGTACAGACACCCGCAACTCCCTCGGCATCCTCCCTGCTGGCATCACTTTGCCAAAACTACGTTCTGGGGCGGAGAAGTGGTCAAAAAGTGGCTCCCGCGATCCAGAATCCACCCTCGGAAATGAGTGTATCTTGTGGCGTGGCGCCGCGCCGTTCGTTCCGGGCCGCTCCGGGCATTTCACGTCCACTGCTGGCTTTCTCTTGCCCACAAACGGCCTGGCCGGCCACAACGCGTCACACAGATGCGCAGCGCGTCGCCGTGCGCGCAACCTACCCTGCGCCCAGCTAGGACTGGGCTCGCGTGTTTTGCGGCGGCCCACGCCCCCGCGCTGTGCGCTTGTCCTGCAGACCCGGGCGGAGGCTCGAACCTCGGGACTTGGACAGGGACTTCCGCAACTGGGAGTCGGAGCGCGAGCCCGACCGAGCCCCCATTGGAGCGCACAGCGCGCCCTGGTCCGGGCACAGGAACGAGTGGTCCTGCCCGGGCGGCAACGCGTCCTCCAGCGGCACCGCTTCGAACCGCGCGCTCTACCCGAGGATTGCGGTGCGGCCGACGCCGCTGGCCCCACTCTTCACCCTCCCACCAGGCAGCTCGAACCTCGCCCAGGAGCTGCTGCAGCGCCGGACGCGCACCGCCGAGCACTCTCCCTCCGAGTGGGCCCGCAAGCTCGCTGCGATCCCGCAGAGCGCGTCGAGCCGCGCCGCCTCCTGGGGGCGACCTACGCTCGGCCCCCTCGTGCCCGTAGACGACCTCGACCGTCGCGCCCCGCGCGCGCAGCTGCGCAGGGAGAGGCCTAAGATCACCAGCTCTCCCTCGGGGCTCGCGGCGGAGGACAGCAGCGTCCTGCGCGCCGCGCCGTTCTCGCCCAGCTCGCACGAGAGTTGGTCGGGCAACTGGCTGGGCAGCGCGAGGTCGGCCGCGCCGTCCGTGCGGGCTGGCGCGCTGCCCCGCATCGCGCGCGCGGCGGCGCCAGCGCTGCCGTAGCAAGGCTGACGACGCCACTCTCCACCCGGGCGATGGCACCAGCGCCCGCGAGGGTTGAAAGTTTCCTCTCACACAGGCGGCCCCGGCGCGGGCCTGATGCCGCAAGAATGACACACCGGCGCACACACGTACCTCATCTCCCTTCCCGCCCCAACCCCCCCCCCCTGCCCTCGGCGCCCTTGTTGCGGTGCCGAGGTACAAACGGCTGCACGCTACCGTTGTCGCCCAAGGACCTCCTCCTCCACACCGTACTCTCACCCCCCGTACACCGTACGTCCCCCCCACCGCCCCGGTGCATCGTCAGGAACCCAGCGAAGTATGAACAACACAACTCCTTCCGTCCGCCCTTGCCTTCTGCGTGGCGGCCGACCCGTTCCTTTCGCCTGATTCTGATTCTACCCCGACTGAGATCGCTGCGCGCCGTTCCTTCATCGCGCTGCGGCCGCCATCCGTCGGCGAGGAACCACGTCTGTGTCGACACTCGACGGCACTCGCTCGCTGACGCCCGATCGAAACAGGCCACCCTTTGCCCCGTACCAGCAGCGCGCCGGCTGTGCGCGAGTCAGCACTGCCGCAGTGCTGCCTGCGCCACCCTGCCCCGCGCCGCCTCCATGGCGTTGTGTCCTTAGGCTGAAACCAAACATGCGCCACCGAGGTCTATACGTTAGCATCGCGGCGTGCGCCCCCCAAACGTCATGCCCATATTTTTTTGCGTTCCGGCCTCGAGCATTTGAGGTCAGCACCGACAAACCCGCCACCACCACCGGCACCTAATTGACCCCCTCTCCATCAGTCCTCCGCCAACGCCCTCCGTTTCTGGGGCAAACAGCACGGAAGCCTCGCTGTGCAGCAGCCCAGTAGTTGCCCCTTTCTCACGCCTCGTTCCCCGCCACACACGCGACGCGCCCCCCCCCTCCCCGCCGCCTGCGCTGCCTGGCGATGTTCAGGGACGGGCGCGTCGCTTCTCGCACGCGCCCGACGACAACTCAGCCGTTCCGGAACGTCGTTATGTGAAGCGCTCGAACCCGCATCGCAGCCCCGAGCAACGGACCCCAAAGGGAGCACGCGCTGCACGACACCGATTCCGCGACGAACCTTGCAAGCAACGCGTCGACATAGATCGCACTCTGAGCCGCGCAGCAAGCTGTGCGCTCGCCCTCGCGGCACCGCCCCACCTGCACGATGTGCGAGCTGCGCGCCACATCTCGCCATGTTGCACGCGTCTCGGCGGCCGTACGACGCCGCCAGGCACGAAGATAGGTCGGCGGTCCCACGCCGACAGCAGTGATGGAGCTGTCCGCTCCGGCTCCAGCCGCGCGCCCCGTCCGTCGGGCTGTCAGACTCGGCTTGCTCCCGTCTGACCAGCGGGGATCTCTCTCCGGCCGGCGATTCGTATTCGCGGCGAGGCGCGGCGGCAGGGACACATTCACGCGCCACTTCCGAGCAAGGACATACCGTGGGAGCACATTCGACGACATGGGGGCGTGCGCGTCGCGTCCTACGCGCCAGGTCATGCCGCACCACGGCGACAGCCACAAGGTGAGCGAACGCGCCGGAACCGCCCGTTTGAACGCCTCAGGATCGCTCCGCCGAGCTGTGCGAAGCGTGGCTGAGCGTGTGCGACCGAATCAGCGGTCGGGCGGGGCGCTGAGGCCCCGAGAAGGCGAACAGACAGCAACGGCGGTGAATCACGTCCGTTGCGGCGCAGGATGCGAGCTGCTACGAAGCTGCGGACGCCTCCTTTCTACAGGAGACCCTGAGCGACGTCTCGTCGGAGCATGCGCTGTGGCTCACCGGCGGCACGGACACAACGGCGGGCCCCACCGATGAAGCAGAGGACAGGCAAGCCCGCGTTCTGCGCACACCTGCGGGAGATCGCTGCACAGTCTCGCGATGCCGCATTATGAGCACAACGAGACCGCGATTCTGGCCATGGTTCTGAAAAACCGGGCGTCTGCGCGCCCGCACGCGCCCCGCAACGGTTCGGAAGGCGAACGGACCAAGAGCTGTTTTCCGGACAGCACGGCGCCTGATTTGCGCCAAATGCCGCGTATTCAGCCCTCGCGTATCCTCGCAACCAGCGATCCGTGCTTCGATTTGCAGGAACGGCTTCGACACGCCGCGAAAGCACAAGCTGGCTTCGACAGTGACATTCGGCGCCGTCTCCGGCGCGGCCACGCGCCCAGCCTCGTCTCGGCACGGCTCCGAGTTCTCGCGACCACAGTGCCACGTCCGCGCCATCGCCGAATACCGCAAGTCGCTCAACATGTCCCGCTCGACGCACCAGGAAGGCGCCAGCGCCAGCACTAAGCGCATCAGCGGCGACTCCGACGACTTCGAGGGCATGTTCTTCCTCGACTGCTGCAGCAAGCCGTCCACGCCCTGGTCGCAGTCGTGCCGGCGCTCCACGTTGACGCGCCGCAGCGCCTTCGAGCAACAATCGCCAGACCACAGCCCCGCCGCGCCCGGCCCGGGCGTGACTCGAGCGTCGCGCTTCGCCAGCCAGATCGAGAAGGGGCCCCTCGCGCCGCCCCGGATGGACTTCGCCGGCCGCCGCTTGCCTGCCCTGCCCGGCACGCCGGCCCTTCACGCGACCATTGCACTGCCAACGCGTGGTGTCGGGCTGCCCTGAGGCCGCCGTCGAGCGCCCGCACCGATTCCACTGACCCAGGCTGCGTGCGGGGGGCGGCATTCGTCCACGTCGGGTCAAGCGTTACGTCCCTTTCATCCTGACACACAATTTGTCTCCTTTAGACCCCTCTCAATTCACTCCCCCCCCAAGGGAACTTTGTAGCGACGACGACGCTGAGACCTGCGACGCGGAGCGATCCCGAAGCCCGCCACCCCCTTCTCTGTCGCCTATCGCCCACACCTCGCAACAGCGCGACGTACTGTACGTCGGCCCAACACACCCCTCCCTGACCTGACCTTGACCCCCCCGGCCCGCCCACCCCTCCCCTCCCTCGCCCCGCCAGCCCGTCCGTCCGTGTCGTCGCCCCACGATCGCGGGCGTACGTTCGATCTGGACCCGTTTGTTACAAGTCCCCCACACATTTCCTTTCTTGATTTCTCCTTGTGCGGCTCTTCCCCCTTTCCTCCACCTCGCGCCCACGTGACAGCGGCGAGTGCATGCAAAGCGAGGTCGAAAAGCTAGAGGAAAGCTTTGAAAGACAGGAGCGGGGCGTTGCCCACTCCGCAGCAACCTGCTGCCACGTCATCAACCCAAACACCCCCCCCTTCATTTCTCCCGCGGCCTGCCGGGAACGCCGTCGCGGGCGGCCTCCCGCCGCCGGAGACGGCTCTCGGTCAGCCCAGCGCTGCCCTCGCGTGCGTAGGAACTTACCGCCATCGCCGCATCCCCCCCCCTGCCTCGAGAGAGCGATTTTGCTGCCACTCCGCGGCCCCAGACGACACGCCGCGACGTTCACACGCGCGAGAGTCTTGTCCACGTCACATGACCGAGGAACCATCGCCAGCCCTCGGGCCAACCACCAGCCGCTGCGCTCAGCTGCAGCGACCCCGTCGCTGCCCCACGGCACCCATCCCGCCCACCACCCGCCGCAGCTAGCCTCCCACATCTTAGCTGCACCCACCCCACGCCTTACTGCGCCCCCCCGCCCCTACACGCACGCACCCTGCCAGCGTGCCTGCGTCAGCTGCATTATGGCAGCCACGCCGCCGACATCGTCGCCGCCCCCGCGGCTCACGCCACCACGAGCTTCCTCCGCTTGAACCCCCCCGCGCCCGCCGCGGCCCTCCCGTTCGCCTCCGTGGGCGGGTGCCGCTGCGCAACCTCCTCGTACTTACTCAGGTCCGCTTTGGCCGCCTCGTCCGTCTCCACGCCGACGTCCTCGAGGACATCCTTCGCCTTCTTGCCCTCGAGCCCCTCCATGACCGTATCGAAGATGTTCCGAAACATACGCTTGCGCTTGCGCCACGCAGCCACGCCCTTTGCCAGCTTGGCCACGACCTGCACGGCGCCTCGAGGTCGACGACGGAGGCGTTCTGGGGCCTCGGGCGCGCGAGTGGCCGCCTGGCACGGCGACGCGCTGTGTGATGCCAGTGCAGGCACGCACCTTGTCGCGCGAAGCAGCGGTGACCCGCTCCGCCGCCGCCGCGCCCCTCATGGCCTTGAGCTTCGCTTCCGCCTTCGCGTTCTCGTCTTTGAGAGCCTTGACCTGCTCGCGGAGCTCCGCCAGCGGCCTAGCTGCCTGCGCTTGCATCGAGGCTGCGTGCGCGGGACGGTCAGACAGGCCGCGCCGCGACGCGCAGAATGCGCCGTCCTGGTCGCAGCGACGGGAGTGGACGTGCCTTGAGAGCGCCGAGCCTCGCCTGCGCCGCACGAGCCGCCGCGGACGCGTCATCGAGCTCTGCGCGCAGGCTCTCGTTCTCCGCCTGCGTCTTCCGCAGCTCCTCCGCGTCCATCGTCTCCAGGTCGTCCTGCCTCAGCCAGTAGAGCGCGAACGCCCGCGCGCCGAACTCCTGCAGGCCAGGCGACCCTCGCGCGCCTCCCTCTCAGCGTGCACAGCATCCGGCGCGTCCCACGCGCGCACGCTGCCGTGACACTGCTCCGGCGCAGCGGCTGCCGCTCGCTCGTACACCGTACCTTGGTCTGCACGTGGCCGTCTTTGACGAGCTCCTCCAGCGCCCTCGTCGCCATCGCTTTCTTGATTCCCTGGGCTTGCAAATTGTCCACCGCCGACTGGACGCTGAACGGCTTGTTCGCTGAGCGCAGCAGCGCCAGCACGTGCTCGTTCGCCGACTGCGCGCATCGCACGGTCGGAGGAACCCCTCATCGCGCAGTCATCGAAGCAAGAACACGCGCGCTAGTGGTGGGCGCCCAGGCGGTGTGCGGCGTGTTCCGCGTGCGCACCATGACGGCCCCGACGCTCTGTGTCACGCAGCTCGCGACGCGCCAACGCTCGCTCCGGAATCCGCTCTCGACGGCGTGCCAAGCGCTGCCCTGGCAACCGAACGCACGAGTTGATGTTGTGGTGCGTCCACACGCGGAACGAAGCCCGGAATGCTTCGCGCTGACGCAGCGTTGCTGCCGTGAAGCCGCGCCGCGCGCCCCTTCGCCTCCGGGGGGCGCCCGCTGGGCGCCGCGCCCAGCGCGTGTCACGCACCTGGGGTCTGCCTGGAGGAGGGGCCCCGCGGGCCGCGTTTCTTGGCGTCGCGCGCGGCAGCGCGAGGTGCAGTTGCTCTCTCGCGATCCGAGGCTTGGAGTAGCGATGAGGAGCGTCTTCGGTACGCAGCCCTGCGTGCGGCCCGTGGCGGTCAAGTGCCGGCGGGGCCAGACGGTGCGTGCGCACGCACACCCCGCCTCCCGCGCGGCGCGTTTCGTCTCTCGTCCCGCGCCCTGCGTCGTCCGGGATGGGCCGAGGTCCGCGCGGATCGTCGCGAACGCGGAGGCGTCGCACGGCGAGGCCGCAAATGGCCACGATAACATCAAGTGCGTTCCCGGCCCGCGAACACCGCGCCATCGCAGCGCGTCAGCGCTTCCGGGATGTTCCACACAGCCGCTACCGCCCGCTGTGGAAACCAACGGCCGAACTGCCACGTACGCGACGGAACCGCGCTGTGCAACATGGAGCATCCCTCGGAGGGCTTCTGCGACGACGGCCTCGTTTCTGCGTTTCCGGCCGCTCCCGCGCGACTTGTTGGCTCTTTCGCCCGCGACCGTGACCTGACGCGCGCCTCACGGCACAATGAGCCGTGAACCCTACGCACCGGCGCCTCCCTCGTGTTGCGTCCAACTACTTCAGCCAGGGCCACGCGCATGCGACGCAGCGGCGCGGCATTTCGCCGGAACTCCCCGCGCCGCTCGCCCAGGCCCAGACGCACCCGCGCCCGCGCTCCTCGCCCGCGCCTGCAGGTGGGAGGCCACGCCGCGCGTGCTGCGCATGTGGCGGTCCGCGCACGCCGTTTGCTTCGACGTCGACATGACGCTGACCACCAAGGACGGGATCGACGCCCTGGCCGAGTTCAAGGGCGTCGGGCAGGCCGTCGCGGACATCACCAACAGGCAAGGCGCCCACACGCCACGTCGCGCGAACGCGGCAACGCTTGGCACGTGATTCAGAGCCAGCGCCGGCCGTTCCGTCCGTCTAGCGCGGCGCACGCCCGCGCGGCAACGCGAACGCGCGCGCTGCCGTCCAGCCACCGCGCACGCGCCCCGTCCTGCGCCGCAACGCGGCGTGTTGTTGCGGTGCTTCCTCCGACTCCCCCCCCGGCCGCGCCCGTGCCCCGCAGCGCGATGGACGGCGTGATGGACCTCGAGGAGTCCCTGCAGGCGCGCATGCAGATCATCAACCCCTCCCCTGACGACATCGCGCGGTACAACAAGCAAGTGGACCCGCGGGAGCGGGTGGTGCCGGGAGCCAAGGAGCTCATCGAGAGCCTCCAGGCGCGCGGCATCGCCGTCTTCCTCATCAGCGGAGGCTTCCGGGAGCTCCTCATGCCCATCGCCCGCTACCTCGGCGTCAAGCCCTCAAACATTTATGCCAACCGCATGTTCTTCGTCGCTGACGACGAGACAGGTGCGCGCGGGCGCCCCCACGTGCGCCACGCCGGTCTCCGGTACCAGGGCGCGGTGTTGCGTTGCGAGCGCGCCAGAATGCGCCGGCGATTCGATCCCCAAGGCGCCTCGAACGCGCGCGTGTGTGCGGGCGGCATCCGAACAGCGTGACACGCCGTGCTCGGCCCCGCGGCGCGCAGGTCTCCCGACGAAGTTCGCGGGCTTCGATCCGACGCAGCCGACGTCGCGCCAGATGGGCAAGCCCGCGGCGATCGCCGACATTCGCAACCGCCTGCCGTACGAGACGATCGTCATGGTCGGCGACGGCATCACCGACCTCGAGGCCGTCGAGGTCTCCGGCGGCGCGGACCTCTTCGTCGGCTTCGGCGGCGTCGTGCAGCGCGACGCGGTCGCCAAGGGCGCCGACTGGTACATTAAGAGTTACGACATGTTGGTCAACGCGCTGGAGCGGCGCAAGCTCGCGTTCATCGGGAGCGGCGCGTGGGCGTGCGCGTCGATGATGATGGCGGCGAGCAACCTGCGGCGCCTGTCGAAGGACGCCGGGTCGTTGTACGCCGAGGAGGTCACGGTGTGGGTGCACGACGAGGACTGGAACGGCGAGAGCCTCGCTGCGGTGATCGCGAGGGAGAACGAGAACCCGAAGTACTTCCCGGGGCACAAGCTCGGCCCGAACGTGCGGCCCGTGACGGACATCGCGGAGGCGGTCGACGGCGCGACGATGGTGGCCTTTTGCGCGCCGCACCAGTTCATTGTCGACATCTGCCGGAAGATCGACGCGTCGGGGAAGCTGCGGCCGGACGCGATCGGGATCAGTCTGATCAAGGGCATGCGCGTGCGCGCGGAGGGCCCGCAGCTGATCAGCGAGATGATCCGCAAGGTTCTTAACATCGATGTGTCCGTGATGATGGGCGCGAACATCGCGGGCGAGATCGCGAGCGGGTACCCGACGGAGTGCACGCTCGGGTTCCGCGACCGCCGCAACGCCGAGGCCTGGCAGAAGGTTTTCGATTCGGCGAAGTTCGAGGTCCAGCTCAACCCTGACATCGAGGGCACGGAGATGTGCGGGACGCTGAAGAACGTGGTGGCGCTCGGCGTGGGGATGGTCGAGGGGCTCGGCGCGGGGCAGAACGCGCGCGCGGTCGTGCTGCGCCGCGGGCTGTATGAGATGCGGGCGTTTGCGCAGGCGATGTTCCCGTCCGTGCAGAACGAGACGTTCTTCATGTCGTGCGGCGTGGCCGACCTCGTGGCGTCGAGCTACGGCGGCCGGAACTCCGCCGTCGGGCGCGAGTTCGCCCGCGCGTGGGCCGAGGACGGCGAGAAGGTGCGAGGGTTGCTGGGGGTGTTTTGGCACCGATGTCGCCGGTCGCGTCTGTCCTGCGGCGAAGCGACACACCGATCGATGTCTGACGTACCGAGTCCCCGCGTGAGTCGCATCTACGAGTATGAAGCCACAACACCCCCCGCCCCGCCTCCTGCGCCCGCCGCAGCCGTCGTTCGACGACCTCGAGCGCGACCTCCTCAAGGGCCAGAAGCTCCAGGGCGTGCTGACGGTCGAGGAGATCGTCGAGGTTATGGGGCAGCGGGGAATCGAGAAAGACTATCCTCTGTTTATGACCATCCATGCTATCTGCAAGGGCGAGGAGGCGCCCTACGCGATCTTCGAGTACCGCGAGGTCGGCCGCCAGGCCGCCCAGCGTATGCGGAGTCGTCTGAACGCGAAGGGGCCCACGGAGGGCCACACGGTGGTGCCAAAGACTGTGGATGTGGAGGGCGTCACGTCCGGCGTAATCCTCGAGACGGTCGACTCGGACGCGGAGGTCTCGCGTCCGAGCCAGCTCCAGGCGTGAACGGGGCGGATCACAGCCGCTCGTCCTGGCGAATGGCGCAGTGGCAGTGCTGACAGCGGCGATGCAACGGCAGAGTGATGGGCGTGGGCGTGAATAAGAGCGGGGGACTGCCGACGGACTGACCCGGGCATCGGGCCACAGCGTTGGACTGTAGCGCGGCCACAACGCGACCGCAGAGCTCCGCTACCGTCCTGTAAGCGATCTGCACATGTGCGCGACGCTGCACGCGCTCCGGCCACGCACGCACGACGCACCGCACACGCCCTTGCCCTGACAACACGACCACCGCTGCCGTCGCGCTCGGCCGCCCGATCTCGGCCTTTCCCTGCCCCCCGGAGTGCGCGTTGCTTCAATGACTTTGAGCTCCGTCGTCACATGCGCGCGGCGCCGCCCGCGCTCACCGCAGCCGCTTGAGCATCCGCCGCTCCTGCAGGTAGTCCAGGTCCTTCCGGTTCACCATCACCATCAGCGCCCGCCGCACCAGCCCCTCCGCAAACCCCGCCCGCTTCATATCGTCGACCAGCCGGCGCTCCGGGACGCGCGCCCCGACCGCGATGCGCCGCTTGATCTGCCCCTCGATGCCCCGCAGCTGCTCGCGGTCCTCCTCGCTCACGTGCACGTCGCGCGCCATGCCGCTTTTCGCCGCGTCCATCGTCGCAACCTCGAACAGCGCGACTGCCTCCTCGACGTCCGCGGCCGTGGCCGTCTCGCGCAGCGTCATGCGCGCCAGCGACTCCGCGATGCGGATCATCGCCTCGAGCTGCCGCACCGTGATCGGCACGCAATCCTCCTTGCGTGCTCGCGCCGCCTGGAACTCTGCGGGGCCGCGGGGCGCAAACGGACGCGGAGTCGCGGCGCGGCGGACCACCGAACAGCACGAACCATCCGCGCGTCGGCGTGCGAGCGGCTCGTCGACACAACAACAACAACAACAACAACGTCAGCCTTGGACGCAACGCGCAACGTGCGAAATGTACGACACAGAGAACGGGCGAGCCGCCGCCCTGTCAGCCGGACCGGTCCGCATGAGCGCGGGCCACCCGCGGCGCTGTCTGCCCTGCTCAGGGATGGCGCACCTGCCCGGTAGTGGACGTATTTCCCGGTCAGGACCCCCATGGCGTCGTCAGACAGGCGCGAGTGGATGCGGGACTTGGCGAACTGGATGTACCGCCGGAGGAACTCGGCCTCCTCCTGCTGCGCCGCCTCCTCCACGGGCGACCGCCCCGCGCCGCCCGCGTGCCCGTGCACGCCCAGCACGTGCCGCGCGATGCGCAGGTCCCGCTCGAACGTGCGGTCGTCCTTGACGATGAAGATGAGGTCGAACCGCGACAGAATCGTCGTCTGCAGGTCGATGTTGTCCTGCGCCGACTTCAGGTCGTCGTACCGCCCCGACGGCGGGTTCGCCGCCGCCAGCACCGCCGCGCGCGAGTTGAGCACCGTCGTGATGCCGGCCTTCGCGACGGAGATCGTCTGCTGCTCCATCGCCTCGTGGATCGCCACGCGGTCCTCCTCGCGCATCTTGTCGAACTCGTCAATACACACCACTCCCCCGTCTGCCAGCACCATAGCCCCCCCCTCGAGGTAGAACTCCCGCGTGTTGGCGTCCCGCACGACCGTCGCCGTCAGCCCCGCGGCCGACGACCCCTTCCCGGACGTGTACACCGCCACGGGAGCCGTCTTGGACACAAACTTCAGAAATTGGCTCTTCGCGGTCGACGGGTCGCCGAGCAGCAACACGTTGATGTCGCCGCGCAGCCCGACGCCGTCCTGCAGGACCTTGCGCGAGCCCCCGAAGAGCAGGCACGCGATCGCCTTCTTGATGTCGTCCGACCCGAAGATCTGCGGCGCTATCATTCCGAGAATGCGCTCCTTCGCTCCCGGCTGCGCAGCGAACTCCCGGAACGCCGCCTCCTCCTCCTGCACGCAGCACGCACGCGCAGCGGTCGCTCGGTCCACGCGCATGCGCTTCCGCCGCGTGCCGGCCGCCCGAGCGTCGCCATTGGGCCGTGAGGGCGGCGCCACGCTCCAGGCGCGCGCAGGCGCCTCCGCCGCGCGTCCGGCGTCCGGCGCGTCGGCGTTGCGCCGCGGCGGGGCGTCGGGGGGGGGTGTTGCGCGCCTGCGTGAACTGCGGGGTCGACCGCTGCTCGCTGTCGGTGCCGTCGCCGCTGTCGGTCTCGATGCCGACGACGCGGATGTACGGCTGCCGCACGGCGACGTCCTTCCCGCCGCGGCCCTTGCCCTTCATTTTCGCGCCCTCGCTTTGGACCGACAGGATGCCCAGCACCGTAACGCGCGTGCCTGGCACGACGCGGTCGACGAGCTTGCGCTCGCAGACGAGGGGCATCGAGCGCGGGAGCTCGCCCGTGGGCACGTCCTCGGGGAGCTCCTGCAGCTTGAGCTTCTGCGTGTCGGCGTAGACCGACTGGTGGGGGAGTATAACGAAAGGGTCCAGGCCGCAGTTGGTGCCCTCGCCGCCCGCGTCGCACGTGCGCGGGATGATCGTGCCGTCCATGCCGCGCTGGCACAGCAGCTGGCGCTTCGCCTGGCAGCCCCTGCGCGCCACGTGTGCCACCGAGGGACGCGTCGGCCGCCACACCCCCCACCGCGCGCGATCTCTGGCCTATAGCTTCGCGAGTTGGGCTCCGGATCTCGCGACCGAAGTGGGCGTGGCGCGCGGCGACCGCACGTCGCCACACAGCGCAAGGTGCGCAAGGGAGGGGGGGTTTTGGTTTGGGGGGGGGTCTCACCGGCACTGGATGGTGAGGTGCGTGGCCTTGCTCGTCGGGCGGTACGCCGCGGTCACGATGCCTCGGATCATCACGAGCGAGCTGACGTGTTTGCTGGTCAGACCACGCATGCTCGCTGGTCCGACCTGACGCGATGACGTCAGGATCACCTGCACGTCGGGCCGCTCGGGCTCGGAGCCGTCGTCGGCGAGGACGCGCGAGGCCTGCAGGACCTCGGCCGCGGCCTCCTCGAACAGCGGCAGGTACGCGCTCGGCTGCTGCCCCAGCGCCTCGGTCAGGGTGTTGTCCCACGACTCCAGGTCCGTCACGTCCACGCGCACGTGCGTCCGCAGCCGGAACAGCTCCTCTCTGCACACATCCACGCCGGGGCCGGCGCGCTCGGCGTTTTCTGCGGGAACGAGGCCGGGAGGCGGCGTTTGGCACGGTGAGGGATGTTTCTGTACCGATACACTGGAACTTCGGCGGTGAAACCGCGAGCATTGCGCTCGAAGGACTTGATGAACTCGGAGAAGCGCTCCTTGACGTACTTGGAGTCCACCTGCAGCGCCGGGTCGGTCTCCTCGCCGCCGAGAAGCTCGCCAGCGGTGCCCCCGGCCACGAACAGCTGGGGCGCTGCGTTGGCAGGGCAGGTCGGGCGGCGAGGGGTCAGCCGCGAGGGTGGCCGTCATGGCAGGGTGCCGCGGCGGACGGGGGGGGCGGCCGGGCGCGGCGCGCTGGCGCGTGCTTTGCGCAGCATGGATGGCGGGAACGTCGCGGGATTCGTATCCGGCGCCGACATCGAGCGGTTTCCGTCGCTTTTCGCACAGATGGCTGCAGGAACGACGCGCGGGTGCGCTCGGACCGCGCAGGGGGGGGCGGTGCGCGGCGGGAGCGCCCTGCAACAGGTTCGGTGCAGAGGCTGGCTCCTGCGCCGCGTTTTGAGTCGTTGCGGGGGGCACCGGCCGGAATCTTTGCGCCCAGGGCGTGGGCTAGAGTGAGCGGTCCGGCGAGGTCGCTCTGCGCTGGTTCGGTCGACCCAGCGCGCGTCAATGCGGCAAGCTACTTGCTGGTTGCCTTCCAGACGCGGGAGGTGGGTGCTCGCCTGCGAACTCGTCCATGTTGGCTTCTGCGAACGGACGGGCGCGTCGGCCCGCTCGAAATTGCCATCGTCGCGCGCGGCCCGCGGCTTCTATCCCCCGAGCGCCGCGTCTCGGGCCCCAGTGCGACTCCTGAGCTCGCGTCAGCCGCCCGGGCCGCCTCGACAGCGCCCCGCGGCGCATGCCCGGCGCTCCTCGCGCGACCCCTCCATTCCCGTGCACCAAAACCGCGACGACCACCCCGCCTCGCGCCGGGTGTCCCTCTCCGCGACCCCCACCAACACCCAGCGTCTAGCACCCCCTCGCACGCCGCGGTGCCCGCGGGACCCCACGCCGCAGTCCGCCCACGGCGCTCCTCGACAGCCGCCTCGCCATGAAGGCAGCCGGCTGCATCACGCGCCCCGTGTGCGCCCACGCGCGCACCACTCCCGCCTCCAAAGCAGCGCCCGCTGCCGCGGCACGCCGCCCGCGGCCGCAGCCGCGGCGGCCCGGGCACGGTCAGGCTGGGCTCGCCGCGGCGAGGCGCGTCGCTTGCCGGGCCGAGGAGGAGAGATCGGGGGCGGGCGCGCGGCAGGAGGAGGCTGCGTTGGAGCCGGCGTCTCCTACGACACCCGGGGGGGAGTCCGGGGCGCCCGGGGCGCCGGGGAGCGGCGGCAAGAAGGACAGCAAGGTCAAGAAGACGATCGGGGGGCTGAACGCGCTGCTCGGCGTCGACGAGGTGCGCGGAGGGCGGGCGAGGGGGCGCTCGTGGCCCGAGGGGCTCGCGCCGCGTCCTGGCGGCCAGGATCCGTGTTCTACCGCTTATATCGCGCAGAGGGGCTCCCTGTGCCGGGCGCGAGGCATCGGGGCCGGCCGCTGCGGCGTAGGTTGCGCGTGGGCGCGTGGAACGCGCCTGCGTGACCCCCGCAGTGCCAGGGTTGACGCCCGCTGCCGCCTGCTGCGCCCCGCGCCGAATGCAGCTACATCTCCGGGTTCCCTCGTCCATCTCCGTGCTTGCCCTCGCCTCCGCGTACCTCGGCTGCGGCGGCAGCGCTCGCGCGGCGGCTCAGGACCCACGCGAGCCCTTCACCCGTTTTCCCGCGCTCGGCCAGGCCCCGCCGGCGCCCGCTCCGCCTCGCACTGATCCGTATCTATCCCGAGCGCTGCGTGAACGGGGTCCGTTGGGCTCAACACGGCTGCCACAACGCGTTGCCCCGCAGGAGGAGGAGGCACGGCAACTGGAGGAGGCCCGGCGACCGCCCAAGGCGAAGGAGCCGAAGAAGACGGACGTCGGCATCTCGCCCGAGGTGCTCCAGAAGCTCGCGGAGGCCGAGGCTGAGCGGGAGGGTCTCAAGGTTCGTCACGCCGCGCCCAGCACTTGCCCCGCAGGCACGCGACCCTCCGCGCGCGTTCACCCGGGCTCCGCCGCGGCTGCTGATCGCGCAGGGCGAGGACAAGGAGAAGGCGTCGACTGTGCTCCAGGAGCAGCTCGAGAAGATCCTCGCGCAGGCGCGGGCGGTCGCGGACGAGGACGTGCGCTCGCCCGACTCGGAGCGCCGGATGCGGTCGGAATTCGAGGGCCTGATCGGCATGCTGCAGCCCGGCGCCGGCGTCACGCGCGAGGACGTCAAGGAGTTCAAGGAGAAGGTGATTGCGCCCCGGCACGACCGCTACGACCAGCGCGAAGCTGCGGCGCCCCCTTGCTCTCACGGCTCCCCTCGACGGCGCTGCCGGCTCATGCGCTTCCTCCCGCGCACCCCGCTTCATCTGCGTGGCCGTCCGCACCCGTCGCGGCCTCACGGGACCGCGCCCGCGGCCTGCAACGCCCCCGGTGCGCGGCGTCACCCGCTGCGCTCTCATTCGCCGCTGCCGCGCAGGTGTTCGGCCCGCAGTCCTTCTGGGTCACGGAGATGCGGCCCTCCGAGGACGTCGTCGGCGGCTGGCTCGTGCGCGGCAACCTGCGCGCGCCGCGCGAGGACGTGTTCGATGCTGCACGCGCTGGCGCTGAGAAGCTGTTTGGCGACCGGTACGAGGTGCTCATGGTGGCCGACCCCGACGCCGCGGCGGACGACCCGGACCCGCGGGGCGGCCCGCGGCCGGCGTTCATCCTCGTGCCGTCTGCGGCGGTGCGCCCGGAGTCGTCTACTGGCTGGCAGGTGCTGGCCGCAGCCGTGCTGCTCTTCCTCACCGTCGGGTCCTGCTTCCAGCTAGGTGAGTGCAGCTCACGTCAGGCCCTCGGCTGCGCCGGTTTCCCGCGTCAACCGCCCACAGACGCCAGCTGCGCCGCTGGTGCTGCGACGACGTTCGCCCGCCACTGCGGCAGCGACGGCGGGCGCTCTTGCGCGCAGCTTTGGCTTATCCGGCCTGCCCTCGGGCCTTCCTGTCGCGCAGGCGTGGTGGCGAACGTGACGCGCCTGCCCCCGGAGGCGCTCGCTGCGCTGTCAACTGCCGCGGACCTGGACCCGAACGCGCCGCTGCCGGGCCTGGACGACCCCGAGGTGCTCGCGGACTACATCGCGTCGTCGCTGCCGATCATGTTCGGCGCCGTCGGCGTCAACGCGACGCACGAGCTCGGCCACCGCATCGCAGCTGCGCTGCGTCAGATCAAGTTGGGGCCGTCCTTCTTCCTCCCGAACTCCCAGCTGGGCTCCTTCGGCGCAGTTACGCAGCTCAAGTCCCTCGCGAACAACTACTCCGACCTCTGGGACGTGGCCGCCGCGGGGCCGCTCGCCGGCGCGCTGGTGTCGCTCTCGCTCTTCGGCATGGGCCTCGCGATGACCGCGGACCCCTCCCAGGCCCAGGCGGACCTCGTCCCCGTCCCCACCGCGCTCTTCCAGGGCTCGCTGCTCCTCGGCGGCGTCGCGCGGGCCGTCCTGGGCGAGACCGCGATGGCGGCCCGCTCCATTGGCGTGCACCCCTTCATGATCGCGGGCTGGTGCGGCATGGTCACGACGGCCTTCAACGTGCTGCCCGTGGGCAACCTCGACGGCGGCAGGATGGCGCTTTCGTCGCTGGGCCGGCCAGGCCTCAACCTGACGTCCTTTGCTACCTACGTCGGGCTGGCTCTCGGCATTCTGGGCTCCTCGCTCGCGCTCCCGTTCGGGCTGTACGTCATCTTCCTGCAGCGGGAGCCGGAGCGGAACGTGCGGGACCAGGTCTCGCCGGCTGCGGGGTACCGCGGCTGGGCCACTGCGCTGGCGATCGCGCTGGCGGTGCTGGTGCTGGTGCCCATCGCGCCGGAGATCGGACAGGAGATCGGGATCGGGTCCTCGAGTTACACGAACAGCGGAGGGCCGTACATCTGATTGCGGAGACACCTGTAATGCGCGTATCAGCGCGTGCTGACGTCAGGAGCCCTGAGTCATGGTCGTGCAGCGCTTTGCGGTCGTAGATCGTCGTTTTTGGCCGCTACGCGCGTGGGCCGACCACAGTCGCAGCTGCTGTCGAGGAACGATGGCGGTCGAAATCAGCGTGCTGGGCTCGGAAAGCCCGGAACGGCCTCAGGTGCGAGCGCGTGCGTGAACAACTTGGCTGCAGGGTGCGCCCCGGCGACGTGCTGGCGCAGCTGACGGCCGGCCGGGGAGCGCTCGCAGGCTTGAGATGGTGGCGAGCTTCAGGTGAGGCTCGTGGTCAGTCGGGAACTTCTTGAGCTGCTCGATCATCGAGAGGCGTGAGAAGTTGATCGCCAGGAACGTCTCGCGATCAACTTGTCACGCCTTGCCATGATTGGGCAGCTCTAGATCTTCCTCGCGTTCCACGAGCCACACCTGAAGCCCGCCATCATCCCAGGCAAGCCTGCTCTCGCTCTGCCGCCGACGGGCCGCGCGAGAGCAGGATCGTTCAGCCACGGCCCCCGCGCCCTGATACCCTGATTTGCTAGCACGCCTGTGCTTCCCGGGTCCAGCTTCCCGGGTCCTCGGACTCCCCTTGAAGCGAGCTCGAGGTTGTTGTGCCGTGCGTGCCTCGCAGCGCGAACGACCGCGCCCCGCGTCCCGCGATTCTCTCAACCTTTTTCTCTTGCGTCCAGACCTCGAGCGCCGGGCCGAGCGGAGGCATCAGCAACGAGGAAAACACCGTCGTGCTTGCGGAGCCGTCTCACAGCGTCGGCAAGGCGCATGACGAGGACGTCGACGTTCCGTCGGTACAGCCACGGCTCACGCAAAATCGGAGGAAGGCCGTGAAGCATCACCGTGTTTCGTCCGCCGTGAGCCGCGTGACGGCCTCTGCACGCAACCTACTGCACAAGGCGGCGCAACAGCGCATCCCGCGGACGAAGCTCGCGCTCGGAGACGCTCTCAGGCTCCTTGCCTACCTGTTGGCGTTGTACGCGGTCCTCGGTCTGACCTTCTGGGGGTTCCTCGAGACGGCACACGAGATACGCCTTGGCGAGTATCTCTCCATGCCCGACAGGCGCGAAAACACACCCCTGCCGCTCCCACCCTCAGGACTCCGCATGGTTAATTCTCGGAGTCCGCAACGACACGTTTTGCGGGGAAAAAATACCGCTGCGACGCCGCGCGGCCCTCTCGCTGCAGGTACTTTGGCGACTTCCTGCGCGCCCCGCGCGGCTCCATCAACCCCCCGAAGGGCTGCATCGCCGAGACAAATAACGCACTCGTCTGCAGCGGTCCGCCGTGGGCGACGTTCCCCTGGAGAGTTCGCATCGACCCAACAGACCCCAGCGCAGCTAGCAGCAGCGCCAATGACGGCTGCGCGCCCCTCCTCGCCCTCGCGCTGCCTCCCGGCCGCACCACGATCCTCGCTGGCACAGACGCGTCCAACGCGGCGCAATGCAGCAACTACGGCGGCACGATCGTGTAGCACGGCCCGCACCAAGGCCTCGCACGCGACATCAAGCAGCATCAGACTCGAAGACGCGCGACTTCGGCCGCGAATCGACCGAGGTCTGAGGCGTGCGGAGGTCTCCGCCTTGCGGCGCGGTGAGGTCGCTGTAAGCTCTCAACAGGAGTGTACGTTGCGAGTCGTGACTCCTCGAGTTCTGACTGACCTTTGAAACCCCCTTCTTTGCGAGGGCAATGCGACCGAAATAACATCACGGCAGATGCGACGCACTCAGCGATCAGGCAGAAACACAGCACGCAGGCCAAGTAATGGCATGTGCATGACATAATGACGACATCACCTGCTCGTACGGCATGACGTGATGCCTCGCGTCAGCACGGCCGCGTCACACGTCAACGTGACGCGCGCGCAGCCTGGTCGCAAGCTCTGTTCAGGCCCCGACGCCTGGTGGCCGACTGTCGTCCCCCGACAACGTTCGGCGCCTCACGTCACGGCGTCGGACGCCGCTGGCCCCGGCGCCGCTCCGCGCGTCATCATGGCGCGTATCCGCGCCTCCACGTCCGCGGCCGCCCCCTTCCTGCGCCGCTGCGTGCTGCCCAGCAGCGCCGACGACCCCGTCTGTGCTGCTACGCCGCCCTCGCAGCGCTGCAAGTACGACTCCGCCTCCGCGATCGCCTTCTTCCCTCTCTCCAGCGCCGTCTCTTCCTGCCGCTCCGGCAGCGCCGCCAGCGTCGCCTGATACCGCGCCGCAAAACTCGACCCAAGCGTGCGGCGCGGCGGCCCCGCCTCCGCCTCGCTCTCGCTCCGTTTCGGCCTCCGAACCGCCCGCTGCTTCCCCGTCTCGCCCGCCTCGCGCCCAGGCGACCCAGCGCTGCGCGCCGGCGGCATGTCCGCTTCCTCCTGCGCCACAGCCCCGCTCGGCCGCCGCGCCAGGGACGGCGGCGTCGCGAGCAGCGGCGCCTTCTTCGCCCGCGTCGACGTGAACTGCCGCCGCGCGCGCGCGATGCCCTCCAGCGTCTCGTTCGCGGCGCCGTACAGCGCACTAGTGCTCCCGAGGGTCCGGATGCCGTGAATCGGCGGCATCTCCTCCCGGTCGGCCTTCACGCGCATCAGCCGCACAAACGCCTGCCCGAACGTCTCCTCGTACGAGCTGCGCATCTCGTTGTCCGGAGCGGCCAGCGTGCGGATGTCGATCGTCTTCCGCTCCGCCCGGTGCTTCCGCGGCTGCCGCGCGCGCTGCGACGCCCGCAGCGAGTCCCGGAGTCCGCCTCCCTCGCCGCCCTCGGAGCCCGCCGGGTGCCAGTCCGGCTGCGACGGCGCGGTGGACGCCTTGTCCGTCGGCGCGGCCCGCTCCAGCCGCCGGAAATTGCCGCGCATCTTCTTCCGCGTCAGCTCCTGCACACAGCGCAGAACGCACACGTACGCGCTCGTCCTCGGTGCAGCGCAGGACGGGCTCCTTCGCCGCGGCCGGTCGCGCGGGGCGTTCGTGGCAGCGGGGGGCGTGTACGTACGTTGAGCTCGTGGTCGTTGAACCCGACGCCGGGCGCGTGGAACTTGAGCTTCGTTTCCGAGTGGAACGCGTCGGGACGCACTGCGGCGGACAGGTCGCGGAAGGCCTGCAGGACGCCCTCGCGCTCGTCGAGGGTGAGCGTGCGCAGGAGTGCGTACAGCTCCTCCGCTTTCGTGCGCGACAGAATGTCCCCGTAGTACGCCCGGCGCTCCATGAGCCATCGCACGAAGCGCTCGCGCGCCCCGTATTCTCGCTCCGTCTCCGGATCCACCGCCTGCGCGCAGCAGAATGTATCATGATTCTTTCATATTTCATACTTATAAAACTTATAAAACACATCATGTGCTGTGTGTATCAAAACTGGGCGCAGCGCCCCGCGCGGCACGCGACCGCGACGCTTGCCCCCTGCGCGTGCGCCCCAAGCGAGCGGCGGCTTACGTGTTCGTTGAAGTCCTCATACGATGTCTTCGGTACCTTCTTCTGCATAACCTGCTGCAGGGCGCGGCGCGCCTGCTCGCCCTTGCGCCCCGCCCGCACGCGCAGCGCCGAGTCCCCCGCGCGGCCCACCAGCATCGCCAGCAGCGCGCGGTACAGCTCCCGCGTCCCGTCCAAGTCTGACGCGCCGTGCGACACCGCGTACGTCGTGTCGCACCGCCCGAACGTCCCGCGCCGCGTCCGCTGCATCCCCGTCGACGCCCGCGCATCCGCGTCCGACGACCCCTCGCCGGAGCGCCGCTCTCGCGCGCCGTCTTCCGTCTCCGCAACCGCCGCCGCTCCGGAGCTCTGCCGCGTGGGTTCCTCGGCGTTCGCGACCGCGCCGCGGCGATCCGGGCTCGTGGCGCGCCTCGGGGGCGCGGGTGCGGGGCCCGGCAGGCGATGCGGCGCGTCGTGTGCTGCGCGCGGCGGAGTTGCGTCTGGCAGGGAACCGATGAGGGGCTTGGGGCGGGTGTTGCGCCAGCCGAGGAAGTCGAACGGGAGCGGGAAGGCCCCGTGGGAGCGAATGAGGGAGCTGCGCGGCGTCGTGCCGGGCGACGTGGGCGTTATCGGCTGGCTGGCGCGGCGCGTATCTGCTCCGCAGGCCTGCACGCGGTTGATGACGCGTTCCAGGTCGGACGAGGCCTTCCGGAACCGCTCGTTCTCCTCCTGTTCCAGCCGTTTCGCCTGCTCCGCCATCTCCTGCTCCAAGTTCTCGAGCCTCCGCATCCGGGCGACGGTTGCCCGCGAGGCCTGTTCTTTGAACTCCTCAGGGTTCTCTGGATCCCGGGTTATACCGGCCCTCCTGCGCGCCACAGGTACGCTGGATCCAGGAGCTTCAGCCGACGAGCCGGGGTATGACGAGGCCGGGGACGGAGCGGGCGCAGGGCGGGCGAGGGGGGCAGCTGACACATGCGCAGGCCGCAGCGCGCGCAGAGTGGCGGTCGCTGCGGTCGGGCGCGGCGCGGAGGTCGCTGACCTGAGAATCTCGGCGGTTTTCGCGTTCCCGACGTAGCCCATGTCCGCGGTGTGCACGAACGTGGGCTTGACCATTCTGTCCAGCCAGGCTTGCGCCTTCGACGCCAAACGCTCGCTCTTGAACGCATCGGACACGACGTCTCCGTACAGCGTCGCCTCGAACATATCAGAATCGATATTGTAGAGCCCAGAGGCGCGCTTCTTCACCCCTATGGCCTGCGCGCTGTCCTCTTCTGTACACGCGCCCCCTCCTGTAGACTCCATCGCGGCGCGGGCTCTGGGTGCGCGGCGCGATCGTCAATCACCACGCCATCCTCGGCGCAACGACGTCCGCTCATGCTGCCGCGCGCCCCTCCCGCCGCACGGCCTAGAAGCTGGCGGCTGAATATCTCATGTCAGTCAGACAGACAACCGCGGAACACCCTCCCAGGCTGCCAGCTCGCCGCCTCCGCGCCGTGCGGCCGCTGGCCGGGGACACGGTGCTTGCACAGGGACGTGGTGGCCGCGGAGGGGAGGTGAGGTGTTACATTCTTCGCGCCATAAGGCTTTGGGACCTGAAACGATCATCCGACCAGGTGGCGAGTCGTGTCAGCCCTCCACCGCAATAACAGCGACAGGTTCGCCGGTGTCACACGCATGCGCCGGGCAGGGGCGGAGCGGCCTGCTGCGTTGCTGTTGACATGTCACTGAGCGTCCGCGGCGGGCTCGCAGCGGCCAGTTCGGCCAGCGCGCGGCCCGGCGCGACGCGTGTCCTAGGCGGCATTCGCGGGGTGGACGCGCCACTGGCCGACTTGGGCGAAGAGTCCCCCTTTAGGCCCCCGGGGGTGTTCGGCACCTGCAACACACACGCCACGCACCGCGGCCCCGTCACAGCGCTGCGAGGCCGCGAGGCCTAGATCCAGCGGTGAACCCTCTCGCAGACGTCGGAGGAGGGCCGTTCGTGCGCACCTACCTCGTTGTGCCAGCCGGCGACCGGCGCCACAGCCCGAGCGCGTGAGTGCTCATGAAGCGAGGACGCAGTGCTCCCGGTGGTATCCCACTCGGACCCCGACGCGGCGTGGCGCGAGATCTGGTTGTACAGGTTGTCCACGATGAGCCGCGGCGTGCTCGGCGGCCCGTTGGCGTGGTCAGGCGCCCCGTGCCCCCCTAGCGTTGGCAGCGACGACGGCTGCTCGCTGCCGAGGGGGCCGCGCAGGCGGAGGGACTGCAGGCCGCTGCTCTCGACGCTCGGCGGCGGCTGGAACGACGGCTCGGCGTCCGGCGCGTCCGGCTGGTCGAACTCGGCCGGGGCGTCGGCGACGACGTGGCGGCCGTACGTCCTGTACTGGACGACGGCGTAGACGAGGGAGCCCGCGAGCGCGGCGCCGCCGACGCAGAGGGCGACGATGGCGCCGGTGTCGGGCATGCTGGACGCCTTGCGAGGCGCGGGGGAGGGGCCTGTGGTGGTGGTTTGTGCTGCGTCTGCCCGCATGAGGGTTGGCGAGGTCGGGGGGCGCTGGCCGTCGAGCCACGGACCCGTGAACGCCGTGGGAGGGAGACCTGCGCGCGCGGGGGGGCTCGGCGCGGTCGCGTTCGGGATTTTCGATCAGATATGCGTTCTTGATTGATTTTCTTTTTTTTCTCAATTAGTGATCGAGGATGTGGGTCTGCGCTGCGCGCGTGCGTGCGGCGACGGCGCGGGCTGCGCGCTGCGGTTGCCGTGCGCGCGGCGGGGTCTCACCTTTCGCGGCAATCAGCGTTGAGACGCGCTGCGTGGCGTTGCCTACGATGGCGGCAGCGGCGGCAGCCGTGACGCTTTCCGGCGCGAGGATCGTCGCCCGCGCCTTCAGGTCGACCACCTCGTTCCTGCGGACAGCTTCAGGGGCACGGGCGCGCCACGGTCAGCGCGAAACTCGGCCACCGGCTTCCGCGCCAACATCTCGCAGCACGGGCACAATTCCAGTCGAGAAACCAAGACACGCAGGCTGCAGCTACCCAGGTCTCGCACCCTGGCTGCGCGGCGGTCTGGAAGAGCCCCCGGCGGCGCCGCGCCGTGACGTCCGTGACGACGATGTCGTCGAAGAGCAGCGACGGGAACGCGTCCGGCGTCCGCAGGGCCTCGAAGTACGACAGTTGCACTGGAACGCGAAGATAGATCGACAGGTCGGAACCGAGGGCCGTGGAGTCGAGATGCACGTCCATGTGCACGCGCGTGCGCGCCGTCGACGTCGTCTGCAGCATGTCGCGCGCCGACGCTGCGCTCTGCAGCGCGCGGTATGTGCTGAAAGCGGGGACGCTGATTGCGGCGAGGTTCGTGCGCTCTCCTGACGGCGCGCCGGCGTGGGCTGCGCGGACGTTGGCATGCCAGGGGAGGTACGCGCAGGAGGCGACGAGGGCCAGCGCGACGGCTGCGAGAAAGGCCGTGCGCGCCGCGGACAGGGGCGGGGAAGCAAGGAGCACAGGTGAGTCGCTGGGGCGCTGCTCCCAGCCGCGGAGCTTGCGGGTTGTCCGCTTGTTGGCCAATATAGACGGCCACCACATGTCTAGGGAAGCGAACGAGGCTGGTTGGAGGCGCGTAGGCGCGATGGAGTTTGCGGAAACCGCGAAGTGCCTCCTGTGGGAAGCGAACAGACGTTTCGCCGGTGCCGCGACTGCGCGTCCGCCACGGGCCGAATCGCAGTCCGAACGACACGGAACTGGGCGATAGAATCGAGAAATGCCGCTTGTGTGCGCAAAAACGGCCGCATGAAGGCGCGGAGCTGCGGCCACTCCCCAGGGATTGCCGGACATCCACTCTAGGAAAGACCCCCCCCCCCCGGCCGCAGAGGCCTACGGGTGGCCCGCAGTGGCCGCCCAGACGCAGCCCGAGCCCTCGGAGAGCATCGGCGCCTCTCTCCTGGGCGCCGCGCGCCCGCAAAGCCGCGGATTTCGCCCGCGCTCAACAGCGAGGCGGCGCTGACGTTGACGGCTCGGGGCGCGCTCGTCACAGCTACCGGCGGCCGCCGTTCTGCGCGGGCGCGTCCGGCTCGACGTTCTTGTTCATCGGCGCGTGGCAGAGCGGGCAGGCCTGGCGCACCCAGCCCGTTTGGTGGCTGAACACCCGCGCGGCCAACATAGAGTGCCCGCAACAGTGGCACAGGACGACGGGCCGGTCCGCGATGAGCTGCCCCGTGACCACGCACACGTCCTTCCGCACGTTCGCGGTGGCGAGGGCCTCCAAGTTCGACCGGGGGGGGTCCCGGGGGGGGTTCACCGTGAACACCGCAAAGGCCAGGTCGCGGCACGCCTCCCGGTCTGACTCGCTCAGGGCCTCGGAGAGCTCCAGCTGCGTCAGCGCGCGCGAGCACCGCCCGTAGCACGAACTGCACAGCACACCCGCGGCACCGCGACAGTCAGTCACTTTCTCGCAACACCACGCCTGTCTCTCGCGCCGAGCACAGCACAGCACAGCACAGCACAGCTCGCAACGCACGCGCGCGCGCGCGCGCGCGCGCGAGCGCCGCCGCGGAGAACGCCTCGCCGCACCTGTACAGCCCCGTGAGCGCCAGCAGCGACGCCACCTGGTGCCCGCCCAGCACGTCCTCGTACTGCGGCAGCACCGCCGCGGGGAAGATCGCCTCTCTGTAGTTCCCGAGGTAGAGCTCCCGGTGCGCCATGAGCCAGAAGTGGTACGCCTGCGCGCCGTGCCACGCGTTGTTCACCTCCGCCAGGTCCATCCCGGCGACCTCCATTTGCATCAGCCCCGCCATCGTCTGCTGCGCCGCCGTCGCCGACAGCATCGTCCCGTGCTGCCCGAGCCGCGTCAGCCGCTGCTGCGTCGCGCCGCCGCGGCCCGCGAGCCCCGTCGGCCCCCCCACGCGGCTCGCCGTGCCGGCCCCAATCGCGCTCAGCGTGTGAGCCTCCTGGTTGATGACGCGCCGCTTGAAGCTCTCGACCTCGAGCGCCGCGAGGACGTGCAGCTTCTTCAGCCGCAGCGGGTGCTCCCCGCGCGCCTGCGCGTCCCGGCACGACCCCACGAGGAGTTTCGCGGCCTCCATGTGCATCTTGGCCCGCCGATAGAGCTCGATCGCGTCCCCGAGCTCGCCCTTGGCGCGCAGCTCCTGCGCGCGCTTCTGCAGCTCGTTGTGCGCCTGCATCAGGTTGTGCTCCGCCGCGATGTCGCTCACCATGTCCCACGCGTTGAGGAGGATCGCGGCTTGCAGCGCGTCCTGCGGCCTGTCCGCGCGCAGGAAGCACGCGACCGCGGGGCCGACGCGCCCGACGCTCAGGAACATCCGCCCGATGTCCGCGAGCGTCGCGTCGCTGTCCGGCAGCGCGTCCGCGAGCTTCTCCAGGCCCACGAAGTTGTCCGTCAAGAAGAAGGTCTCCGCCAAACGCTCCGAGTTCTTGGCCTGCGCGTACAGCTTCGCGGCGTCGGCCCAGCGGCTGCGGTCGAAGTAGTACTCCCCCAGCTGGTTCTTCGCCTTGGCGAGCAGCGTGTCGTCGCCGTACCCCGCCGACACCATCTTTTCCACCGCAAACCAGTCCCCGAGGTGCTGGCGCATCTCGACCGCGAGGTCGCTGCGGCCGGCCTGGAAGTATATCCGCTCGGCGTCCTGCGGCCGCTGGAAGAAGAGCGCCACCTCCGCGCGCTGCTTCTCGGCGTCCCCGAGCGCGCGCAGCCGCTTCACGAGCTGGATGCCCCAGTAGTCCTTGCAGCGCACGAACGCCCTGCGAGCGCGGCGGCGCGGCGGGGCGCGGTGGGCGTCGAGGACCGCCACAGACGGCACAGCCCCGTAGAGAAACAGCTACATGCGTGGATTGAGCTCGTGTTCGCGCGCGAATCGAGCCCGCGTTCCACGCATAGCTGCACGCTGCGCCGCGCGCTGCGCCGTTCGAAGGCGACCGGCGGCCCGCGCGCCGAGGCGTGCAGGCAGTGGCGGAACAGGCGAGCGCGAGGCCTGGTTGCGCGCACGCACGCACGCACCTGTCGGCCATCTGCAGGTCGAGCTTCAAGAGCGCGTTCTCCGCGAGGATGCGCCACAGCTCCGCGTGCGAGTTCCGTCCGATGAAGTCCATCACCTCGTCGCGCGTGCCCTCGCCCAGCAGCCGCCGGAGCTCCTGCAGCGCCGACGCCTCCGTCACGGACACCACGCCCACGTCCGGGTTCTCCGGGTCCACCTGGAGCGCGTCCAGGTTGATGCCCGTCACCTTGAGCTGGCGGAACGCGCACAAGTGTGAAGTCGACGGCGCCGGCTCCTCTGCCTCGTTGCCGCGGATCACGACGAGCTTCGCCTTCTCCATGACCGCGAGGAGCTCGGGGTCGTCCTCGGCCCACTTCAGGTCCCACACGTCGCGCCGCTCGAGGCCGAGCGACGTCGGCGCTTGCGTCGCGAGCGGCCCCGCAGCTTTCCCGGCGTCCCCGAGCGCCGCGGAGACGTCCCACGCCGTGAGGATGCCGTTCGCGTCCACGCACGCGATGCGCGACGCGTCGCAGTTGAACTGGATCTGGTGCGGCGTCTGCGGGAGCTGGATCGTGCACTGCAGCTCCATCGACGCCAGCAGGTACACCAGGCACAGGCCGGACTGCCGCGCGACGGCGAGGAGCTTCGGCGACGCGGTGATCGCGGAGATCGGGTCGTTCGAGAGCTGCACGGGCGGGTCGCCGGCGGGCGCGCGGGGCGTGGGTGACGGCACGGCGCGGCGCGGCGCGTGCAGGCGGAGCGTGCCGGAGGCGGGTGGGCTGGCGTACCGCGACCGGGGGTACGAAGCTCGCGACGTCAGCGGCGGCGGGGTCCGCGCCGGCGTTGTCCACCGACCATATGAACTCGGTCTTGCTTCCCAGGACAGCGGACTGCATCGGGGCGCCGAGCTTGCCGCTGCGGCGCTGGTGCGCCCAGACGTACACGCAGGACCCGTGCGCGACGCACACGTGCGTCTCGGTCATGCACATGTGCTCCGGCTCCTGCAATGCGGCTCGGCGGGGCAGCGGCGCGTCGTCAGAGGTGCGCGGAGGGCGTTCCGGCCACCGCCGGACGAGCTCGCACCGGAGGACGCGTCGGCGGAACAGCAACGCCGGGCGCGGCCTGGCGTCGCCCCCGCCGCAAGCCGAGCACACGAGGGGAGTATTGGAGAGCTGGGGGGGGGGGCGTTGCAATGCGACCGCGCGCGACGCACCAGCTGGATGTTCCTCGTGTCGATCGGGCTCCCGATGGCGTTGCAGAGGATGAGGATGAAGCTGTCGAGCGTCCGGTTGTCCGGGAGCTTCGTGCCTTCTTCCCCCCGCGACGCAAGCACCGCGAACTGCCCGTGCCCGCGCACGGCCTGCAGGCGCTTCACGTACTTGATGTGCTGCTCGTGGCTCGGCGTGCGCGTGTTCCAGAACAGCAGGCACGTCTCCGACCGGTCCGCCTTGCCAAAGGCGCACACCACCGTCCCGTCGAGCCACGCCCACTGGTACGACGGCCGCACGTTGGCGAGGAAGATGCTCTCGTCCACGGTGAGCGCGAGCCGCAGGCCCTGGCCCTCCCAGTCCAGCCCGGTCAGGGTCTCTCCGGGCACGCGCAGCGACCGCAGGTGCACGCCGCGGTACGTGAAGAACTGCAGGAAGATCGCCTTGCGCATCACGCTCGGCTGCTGCGGGTCCGGGAGCGACACGGAGCCCGCGGCGACGAACGTGCGCCCGTCGGGCGCCCATTTCACCATGCTGATTTCCATCCCCACGCTGAACACGAATGGCTCCTCGTCGTCCTGGTGCCCGCGCATGAGCTGCACGTCGCCGTGCTGCGTCGCGACGAGGAGGACGGGGCAGTCCGGCTCCGCGTAGCCCCTGCGGTGGCGGCGCGCGGGTGCCGGCGTCGACGTTCGGTGCGCGTGCGGGCGGGAGGGCGGCGCGGGGCCTCGGTGCGCCGCGTCGCGCTGGTGTGTTGCGTGCGGCGCGAGGGGGCACGGCGCGGGACAGGGCGGTGAGGCTCCGCCCGACCGGGCTTGTTGTTGTTGCAGTGGCTGTGTGTTGTGTGTGTGTGTGTGTGTGTGTGTGTGTGTGTGCGTGGGTGCGTGCGCTCGGCTGGGCGTCGTGCCGGGCGCGCGGACCTCGTGCCGGGGTACCACTCGATGCCCGCGATCTTCGCGTTCCGGCGCGACTCCGCGCACGGCAGCTTCAGCCGCGACACCGCGTTGCCGTGCGAGTCGTACAGGTGGCACTCGGCGCTCTCCGTCGCGAACAGGATGTACCGGGCGTCCGGGGACCTGCGGGGAACGGCTGGGCGCGCGCGCGGTGGGCCGGCGGCGCAGGCAGGAGCCGCGGGGCGCGTCGTTGCGTGGTGCTGGCGCGCAGCGGGGGGGGGGTTCGGGGGCGCGCACCATTCGACCTTGGACAGCGGCAGACCGATGTCCTTGCCCCAGAGGCGCTGGCCGTCGACGGAGCCGACGATGACGGCGCCGTCGGCGTACGCGATGCAAATGCGTAGCCCGTCGGGGGTCCAGCGCATGTCTTTGACGGTCGACTTGTTGCGGTTGTTGATCATCTCCTCCTGCCAGCCGTCCCCAGCGGCCATCCACACGATGATAAGGCCCTCCTCGTCCGCGGAAGTCAACCGACAGTATCTGTCGTTCCATCGGACTACTTGCACCGGCTTCTGCGCGCCGAACGGGCCCCCGGGGCGCGAAACGTGAGCTGGCGCGACAGGTAAATCACGTGGCTGCATCCTGAGCGCCGGAAACGCGTCCACGGACGCGCAGGCGCGCGGCGACCGCCCCACGTTGCACGCGCCAGGCCAGGGCGCGGCGCGCCGCGCCAGCGCTGCGTCCGCCCCGGCCGGACCGCGAGCGGCTGCGGGTGCGTCATGGCGTGACCGAGCGGCACAGAGGAGCTCGAGCGCCTGCAGCCCGGCCCCGCCCCGCTCTCGCACGGCGCAGGTCTTGCGCTCAAACCCATAGCACCTGGGCTCCTCTGTCCCAGGCAGGGCCCGTACGAGCAGGCCGGCCCGCGTCCGCGCGTGACGATACAGCCGGTAGACCGCTGCGTATCGCTGCGCGCCCGGGAGCCCGGGAGGGCGCCGCGCGGGGCCGACAACAGGGCGGGCTGGCCTGAGGGGAGCGCAGTTCGTCGTCCCGGCGCACCTGGTGGCCCTGTTCGCCCGGCCCGAGCGTCTGGTTGGTGTCGAGGTTGCCTCCTCCGCCCGCGTAACTCGGGCTATCGAACTTCAGAACCTTGAGAAGCCCCCCGTCCCCTCCAAAGGCAATGTACCCGTCGACGCTGTTCCATCCGATGCATCTCGGACGAACCCCCCCCGGGATGCCTATCTTCTTGCTCAAGTAGACGTACATCGCGCGGACCGCGTCTGCGGGTGGCCGGCGGCCCCGGTGTGCGCGTGCAAAGCCCCGCCCGGAACTCCGCCCTCGCGCCTCGCGGACCCGCCGTGCCGGCGCTCTCGAGCTCAGCCCGGACGCTCAAACAGCGAACATTCAGGTGTACGTGGCGCTCCGTACGTGTATCTACAACCACACGCGCGGGGACTCGTCAAGAAAGTGCCGCGTGCTCCCTCCGCCCGCCTCCTGCGCCGCGCACACGCTGAATTCCGAACGCGATCCACCCGCGCCACGCGCGCTCTCACGCCCGCCGCGCGCCGCAGCCGTCCAACGGCGCCCTCCTGCGCCCCACGCCCCGTCGGACGGCGCCAACACCACTCAAGTGACCTCCCCCCCCCCTCCACCCGCCGCCGAACCTCGGCCGCGGCGACCGCAAGCCGCCTCAGCTGGGCCGGCCGCGATCACGCCCAGTCCGGCGCCACGCGTGCGAGGGCCCCGGCACCAGCACGCGCACATATCGCACACCCCGGCCACGCACGTTGCGCACCGCACCGCGTGCCTGCGGCGCCGACCCACGTCGCGCACGGCAAGGACCGCGCGTCAGCGCCCCTCTTCCAGCTTCAAGCTCGCAGCAGCGCCACCCACGGGCCCACTGCATCCTAACACACCCCCGGGGCGCACCAAAGCGATAGCGAGGGGTGTTACGTCGCGGACGCGACGCTCACAGCACGCCGCACAACTCGCCCGCAGCACCGCCGCCGCCAGCCACGCGCCCCGCCGCGCAGGCGCCACGTCCGCCCACTCTTCGCGTACGTCGCGCCGGCCCTATTCGTTCAGATATGGAACCGCTCCTGGTCCCCCGCGAGCTCGTGCGGGCGCACCTCCGCGAGGAACCGCCCGAGCATCGGCAGCAGCTCCTCCTCCTTCAGCGTCGTGCGCCCCGTCTGTCTCATTCGCTCAAACTCCCCCCCCAGCCACGTCTTCAGCTTCTCGAGGCACCCGTTCAGGTGGTCCACCACCATGAGCTCCTCGTCCTTCGTGGCCCGCCGGCTCGCGGCCACCTGCGGCAGCAGGCTCGCGAGGATGCCCCGGAACGTGTCGGCGAGCTCGCCCGCCAGCTCCGGGCCCACCTCGTGGTTCCCGGCCAGCGGGTGCGCCGCGTCGTCGTCGTCCGACTCGCCGTCGGCCTCCGGGGGCACCCACGTCTCGCCCTGCGGCGCGAACGGCACATGCAAGGTGTCTGCCTTGCTTCGTCTGCACGTAACAGCAACAGCGCACAGCACCACGCACGGACGCGGACGTCCGCGCCAGACGCGCTGCAAGCACAGCCGCGGACCCGCGCGGCGCCTCCGGAGCGTCGCGCCCGACAAAGAAGAAAGGGGGTGGGGTTTGCAATGTGAGACAGAATCATACCTTGAGCCTCCATGCCTGGACGTCCGACAGCGAGGGGCCGTCCGGGCTGGCCTGGTAGCCCTCGGCGCCCTCGACGTGCAGCAGCCCGCGCCGCGTCAGCATCGCCGCGGTCATCTCCTCCTCCTCTTCGAAGCCCTCGACGGCGGCGTAGCGCAACGTGTACAGGCTGCGGGCCTCCGCGCCCTCGCCGGCCGTGGCGACGGAGATGACCTTCGCGGGCCACCACTTGTCTGCGCGGCGCGGGGCGCGGGGCCGTGAGCGCAGGCGGGGGGCAGAGGCAATAAGCCGTGTTTGCGGGGGGGGGGGTTGTGTGCGGCACCTTGGTTTTCGAGGCTCCAGAGGACCTCGATTTCGGCGCCGATGGCGAGGTCAGGCGCGGGCTGCTCCATCTCGTCCGCGGCGTTGGGTTCCGCGGCTGCGAGGACGGCGGCGAGGAACCTTTGTGGGTGGGTGCGCGTTCCGGCCTGAGAAGGGCCCGCGCAGCGTGCCTCTCGGCGCGTAAGGGTCGTCGTGAGCAGGGGATCGGGCGCGAGGGAGATTCGCGTTCGTTCCCGCCGGTGCGGCCGCGGCCGCGGGCAACAAGGGGTGATGCGTCCGAGGCGTTTTCCCGGCGCTCGCGGCGCGAGCAAAATCCAGCCGCGGCGGGGGAGGGCTCGAACAGCTTGGGTGGCGGAACCCGGCGCGCAACGAGCGTCAGTGCGGTTCTGCTGCGATTCTGCGGGGGCCTCACCTGCTGGTGCATCGTCCGTAGCGGTCTCCGCGTCCGTACGCGGCAGTTTCGGCGCCGGCTCCGCGGCCCCCTCGCCCTCTGCCTCGCGGGCGTGCTTCCGGTTCTGCGTCTCCTCGCCCATGGCGCCCCTACGCGCGCGAAATCGCGTTCCCGCCTAGACACCCGCACGAATGCCGCCCTCCGTCGACGTTCCTGAATCCCGCGATACTTCTCCCGCTCCGAAACGCCACTCCCTGACCCGGGGCACGCAACATGTGTCCCCGCGGGACGCTCCGCGGGCCTACAGAGGCCCGCACGCGCCAGCGTCGCGCACAAGGTGCGGTTCAAACCACCTGCACACAGCTCGCATGACAGACTCCCCCGCCTGCCGCCCAGCGCCGTACACGGCGGCCGGCGCGCCCGCGCGGGCACTAACCGCAGCGGATACCATCCACCGGACGCGCAGCCGCCCTCTGAACGCCCCGCAGCGGCTCCGTACCCGCCTGCTGTGAGAAGCGCAGAGAGGTGGACAGCTTGGGTGTGGACGGCCCTGGCCAGGCCGTTCGCGCGCGCTTCGGGCGGCCATGGCGTCCTCTGTGGCACGCGCGATAGGCCCGGCGCGGCTGGAGCGCCGTTCTGCGCAGCCGCGGGTGCGCTGGACGAGCCGAGCAGCGGCTAGCGTTCGTGGGGCCGCTGCGCCGCCCGAGCTGGTCACGATTCCGTACGAGAGGCTCGCGGACGTCGAGGGAGGCGAGCTGGACGCGCTCATTGCGGCAGCGTACGGGCCGCACGGCCTGGGGGTGCTCACGGTCTCACACGTGCCCGGTGAGCGCGTTCCCGGCCCGCCACGACCGCCTTCCGCACCGCCGACAGGCGTTCGCGCGAAAACATACTTGAACTCGGCGATGAAGCGAATCTCGCGTGACAGAGGGAGCCGGACGCCGGCGTGCGGTGCAGGTTTCTCTGCTGCAAGGCAGGAGCTTCTGGAGCTCGGTCCGGTGCTCGCCGGGCTGCCCGAGGACCGCCTCGCGGCGTACGAGGATCCACTGAGCCGGTACGCGTTCGGCTGGAGTTTCGGGAAAGGTACGCGGCACGCGGGCGCGCCCTCAATGCATTCGCACCCAAGAACGCCGCTGTTTCGACCAGCTGGCGTCGCGCGCGCGCGCGTGCGTGCAGAGGTGCTGCAGGACGGCGTCGCGGACACGCTGAAGGGGTCGTTCTACGCGAACCCGCTGCACGACAGGCCCACGGAGGGGCAGCCGGGCGCGCAGGCGCTTCTACAGCGCCTTCCGGGGCTGTGCCGTCCGAACATCTGGCCGACGGAGGACGTGCCAGGTACGTGCGCGCGCCCGGAGCGCGCGGGCGCTGTTTTCGCGAAGCGGTTGCTGGGAGTCACGATTCCTCGACTGAAAAACAACGCCAGTGCGCCTATCTGTGTCGCGTGCCGGCGCTGACGCCGTCCGTGGGCCCCTGCGGCGCGCAGAGCTCCGCGAGAAGTTCCGCCACCTCGGCCGCATGATGGCCGACGCCGGAGACCTCCTCTTCCAGCACTGCGACAAATACGTTTTCAAGTCTTGGAATTCCGAGTACAACCCTGAGCGCCTCACGGCCGTCCTCAGGCGGTCCCGGTGCCCCAAGGCCCGCCTCCTGCACTACTTCCCCCCCAGCGCCGCCCGCAGGCCACCCGAGAGCCCCGACGGACCGGTGAGTGCTGCTAATCCCGATCTAGTCATAATTCACCATCATTAATCAATTAAGTAATCATAATTGATCATAATCATGTCATAATCAATAGTGGTGAAAACACAAGCATCGATCGCAAGCACACACACACGCGCACCGCCACACGCCTCGCAGCCCGCACACCGCCCGCGTCGCACGCGCCAGCCTCGCTCGCACGCGTCGAGACCGCGCCCCGCACCACGCCCACAACACACGCGCGCGCGCCTGCCGTCGGCCCGCGCAGGTGTGGTGCGCGTGGCACACCGACCACGGCTCCCTCACGGCGCTGACGTCAGCGATGCTGTCCGGGCTGGACCCGGGCGCGGCGTTCGACCCTCGCGCGGGCCTGTACGTCCGCACGGCGCGCGGCGACTCAGTGCAGGTGAGGGTTCCATCCGACCACGTGGCCTTCCAGCTGGGGGAGTCCGCGCAGGTGCACTCCGGCGGAGTGCTGCGCGCGACGCCGCACTTCGTGCGGGCGTGCAGCGGGGGCGGAGGGGGGGTGTCTCGGACGACGTTTGCGGTGTTCTTGCAGCCGAACTGGGACGAGCCGATGGACTCCCCCCCCGGCGCGACGGAGAGCGACGTGTGCGTGGGGCGGTGGCGGCCCGGCATCGACTTCGGGACGTTCACCGAGGAGACGTTCGCCGGCTACTACTGAAACACCCCCGCGCATTTAGACCAAGCACTTACCACGGCCCTGACGTCAGTGTTTCGATTTTCTACCGCTTCGGCGGCGCGCGGCCGACGCGCCCTGCGCCGCGCGGCCCCGGACGCCGCCCTGCACGCGCGCGCGCGCGCCCGCGCGCCAACCACAGCAGCGCGACTGCGTCGCTTCCGCGGCGTGTGATTCTCCGTCCTGCGCCAGCGCCGCGTGTCACGGAGCAGCACGGCAGCTCACACGCGCGCCGCGCTACTCCGACGACGCCGCCTCGGGCTCCGGCTCCTCCGCGGGCGCCGGCGCCGGCAGCTTGGTCGTGTCCAGTTTGATCAGCGTGACAGTGATGTCGTCCGTGCTCCCCACCTCCTGCGCCGTCTCGCACAGCGTCTCCGCAATTGCGTCCGCCGGCGCGTCGCCCGCCTCGTACAGAATCTCCGTGACGTCCTCGTTCGAGAGGCCGCCTCCCCCCCCGCGCTGGACCTCGTTGAACAGCCCGTCGCTGGCCACGAGAACCCACGTGTGCTCCGAGGTGAGCTCCGTAATTGTCACGAACGGCTCCGCCGTGACGCCGAAGCCGGAACTGTACCCGTCGGATCCGAGCGGGACGCCCTCGAACTGCAGGGACGACTTCAGGTACGCGTCGCCGAACGCGCGCGAGAGCGCGAGGAGCCCGCCGACGCGCCACGTGCCCGCAGTATACCTGCAATCGGCCCGAGAGAGCGGCGCGCGGTTCACGGAACGCGCACCACGGCGCGGCAGCGCGGCGTGGTCGAACCACGACGACGTTCGAAAGGTCTCGTCGTCCGCGCGGCGTCGCGGGGGCTCAGGGCGGGCGCGCACCGGACGAGCGGCATTTTCGGGTTCGGGTTCATCCGCTCGATGCGTTCCCGCTCGTCCTCGTCGTCCGGCACGTGCTCCTGGAAGAGTTCCGTGTACTTGTTGCCCGAGATCAAAAGGACGCGCCCGTCGCCGACGTTGGCCGTCAGGAGCTTCACCTTCCCGTCCTTCTTGTCCGTATAAATCATCGCCGTCGTCTGCGTCGCGCCGCACTTCGAACCGCCCACGCCGCGCTCCCCGGCGATGCCCATGAACCCCCTCTTGCTTTGCAGCAGCGTCGCGTCGGCCTTGCGGAAAGCCTCCTCGATGCACGACTGCGCAAAAGGCCCTCCGCGCCAGATCTCGTCGACCTGCGCCTTCAGCCGCTTCTCGAGCCAGTCCGCCGTCGCGTACCCGCCGTGACCGTCGTACACGCTCGACCAAAACGCGATCTCCCCGGGGTTGTCCTGGCCCGAACGCACGTCGATGCGGTCCTCGTTGACCTTGCGCACCGACCCTTGCAGCGTGTACGCCCCTGCGGCGCAACGGCGGCGCGCACGAACGTTGCGCGTCAACGGCGGTCACTCTGACGGCCGTGCGCGGCGGACCGGCCGCGATGGCTCCGCGCCAGCGGCTCTGTTCGGTGCTACCTGGCGCAGGGTATCACGGACGTGCGCTGAGAGTGGAGAAAAATACGCTCCCGGGCCACATGCGGCGGAAGCAAGGTGGACGTTTCATGCCCACGTTGCGGCCCGGTGCGCAGCGATGGGGCGCAGGGCTCGGCCAGACAGACTGCTCCGTGAGTCCGCGAGCCTACGCGCCGCGTTAGAGCGCTGCGTTCGCGCGGCACAGTGCGTGCCAGGGCAGGTGGGGCAGGAATCGCAGCGATGGCAAGATCTGCGCGTGACGCGCTCGCGCCGGCCCGAAGCGATGCGATGCCGATAGACGCGCGCCGTTCAGACCGGTATCCGGCCCGTGCTACCCGCGGACACGCCCGCGGGGGCCGCATCGGCGCCCTGCGCGGCGCGGAGGTCGCTCGGGGACGCACCGGAGTCCTTCACGTACTTCGAGTTGCAGACGTGGCTCTGCCCCCGAGCCGCCCTCCTCGAAACATTCAGCCCCGTGCTCGGCGCGCGCGGGCCGCGCGGCGCCGGCTTCGCGATCATTGCGGGCCTCTACTCCGAACAAAGCTTGTTGCGCCTCTCCCGCCCTGCTCGCACGACCGCCGTCCGCCTGTCCACTCCGACACGCACCACGCCGAACTGTATGCCACCGCCGCGCGGCCTGCCGTCGGCAACGTGCGCCGGGGGCGCGCAACACACCTCCGGACCCTAACGGGTGCCGGGCTGGTCCGACATGGCGCCCGTTCGGGGCGGACATGGCGCTGCCGGGGGCCGATAGGGCGGTGCGTGGTCGGAACATGTCACTGCGGCAGAACGGCCACGCGTGCGCGGACGATAGCAGCGTAGCGCAGGCATTTGTTGCTGCGCGTGCAGGCAGAGAGCACCGCCGGCGCATTTGCGCTTGCAGCGCGGGTCTGCCGGCCGATGGGGATAGGCATTGCGCGGGTGTGCCGAGGTAGCAAGTGAGCTCGCGATTCGTGCGCGCCGCGAGGGACGCGAGCGCTGCGTTGCTGGGAGCTGGAGGCGGAGGCGTGATTTGCAGCGGCTGCACGGCGCGAAGTCGCGCGAACTGTGCGCGCGCGGCCGGCCGGAGCGTTCCAGGCGCGCGTCGTCGCCGCTGACGCGAGCGTCGGGCCCTGCCTGGGGCACACGATGACGGCGGGCTGCGGGGAGACCGACGACGCTTTGGAGTCGTGTCTGTACAGCGACCCGTCGAAGCTGACGGCCCCCATCAAAACGCTCAAGGTGCGCCGCCGTGCTGCCGTCGTTCCCCGCCGCAGCCTACGCCCATTTGACATGGATTGCACCTCGGCTGTTTCCGCCGCGCTCAGAGGCACATTCGTCCTCTCAGCGCCCCTGTACTTTCTCTTCGCCATTTCTCAGCTGCCGCGCCCCGAGACGATGCGCTTCGTCCCCGGTGCGACGCGTCCGGAGCCCTTCTGCCTTGTGCGGCAAGCCAACGCGGCCGCCGGCGCCGCCTCCCCGCGTCGCAGGACAAGTACGAGATGCTGCCGGCATTCCTCCGCACAAAGGGCCTCATGAAGCAGCACATCGACTCGTTCAACTACTTCATCACGCGAGAAATGAAGCAAATCATCCGCGCCAAAGGCAACGAGAAAGTCACCATCGACAGCGACCCGAACTTCTTCCTCAAGTACCTCGACATCCACGTGGGCAAGCCCTGCATCGAGGGGGACAACTTCTGGACCGAAGACATCACCCCGCAGCAGTGCCGCCTGCGCGACATCACCTACGCTGCGCCCATCACGGTGCGCGCCCCCGCCGAGCCGCGGCCCCACACAGCCCCGCCGCGCCGCGCTGCGCCTCCTCCGCGCCGCCGTGCTGCGCGCACGGCCCGCCGTGACCCTCCAGACCGCCGCAGGACGCCGTGTGTGTGTGTGTGACGCGCGGCGGCCGCCCCGCTCGCAGGTGGACGTGGAGTACACGCGCGGGCGCGAGCTGATCACGAGGCGGGGCGTCGCGATCGGCCGGCTGCCGCTGATGCTGCGGTGCGTGCGGTGCGTGCTCCACAACAGGACCGACGAGCAGCTGGCCGACCTGGGGGAGTGTCCGCTGGACACGGGGGGGTATTTCGTGGTCCGCGGCACGGAGAAGGCCATCCTGATCCAGGAACAGCTCTCGAAGAACCGCATCATCGTGAACATGGACCCCGGGGGACTCCCAGTCGCGTCAGGTGCGCGCGTACACACCCCCCCCCCCACGGCCCGGCGCAGCTGTCGACCGCGACGCACGGCGCGCCCGCGAGCGCATCCTGCGCGCAGCGCACACATGCATGGCCGCTCGAAGCAATTTCGCCCTGCGTTGGCCGCCGCGCGCGTGTGCAGTAACGTCGTCGACGCACGAGCGCAAGTCGAAGACGAACCTGGTCATGAAGGGCGGGCGGATCTCGCTGAAGCACAACGCCTTCGCCAAGGACGTGCCCCTGGTCGCCGTCCTGCGCGCGATGGGCATGCAGACCGACCAAGAGATCATGCAAGCCGTGGCGTCGGAGCCCGAGATATGCCAGCTGCTGGTGCCGTCGATCGACGAGTGCCACGAGAAGGGCGTGTACACGGAGGACCAGGCGCTGGCGTACCTCGGGGAGCACGTCAAGGTGTGCCACCGCGCCAACCACAATCACCGTTTCGCGGTTCCTGTTTTGCTTTTACCGTTCGATTGATTTGACTCGAGCACGTTCTGGGCCACGCGGCGGCGCGGACCCGTACGGACGTTCCCGGCCCTCGCGCGGCGCCGTGTCCGGTCGCGATAGCGCCAGCGGAGCTCCGCTTCACCCCCCCCCCCCCGCCGTCCCTCGCGCGATTCGCAGATGGCTCGGGTGGGCGCGCGGGCCCGGCGGACGCGGGTCGAGGAGGTCCGCGACGTTCTGGCGGGCGTGGTTCTCGCGCACGTCCCCGTCGTCGCGTTCGATTTTCGTCCAAAGGCCCTTTACATGTGCAACATGGCGCGGCGCATGCTGCTGGCGCTGGTGGACCCGAGCCAGGTGGACGACATGGACTACTACGGGAACAAGCGGCTCGAGCTGGCCGGGCAGCTCATCTCGCTCCTGTTCGAGGACTTGTTCAAGAAAATGAATCATGATCTGAGGAGAGAAGTGGAGGCCGAGTCCTCCAAGCGCGGCCGCGCGGCGACCGTCGACGCGATCAAGTACATCCACCAGGCCACGATCGCGCAGGGCCTCGAGAGCGCGATCTCGTCCGGCAACTGGACGATCAAACGCTTCCGCATGCAGCGAAAGGGCATGACGCAGGTGCTGAGCCGGCTGTCGTTCATCGCCGCGATGGGCATGATGACGCGGATCAACTCGCAGTTCGAGAAAACGCGCAAGGTCTCCGGCCCGCGCAGCCTCCAGCCCAGCCAGTGGGGGGTCATCTGCCCCGCTGACACACCCGAGGTAAACCCCCCTCCCGCACGCACACACACACGCACGCACCAGCGAACGGCCGCTGCGGCGCTGGCATGCCGCGGAGAGCACACTCACGTCTTTTCGTGTCCGCCTTCCCGGGGGGGGGTGTGTTGCAGGGGGAGTCTTGTGGTCTGGTCAAGAACCTGGCGCTCATGGCGCACATCACCGCCGACCACGAGGAGGGCCCGCTCGCGCGGCTCATGTTCATCCTCGGCGTGCAGCCCGTCGCGGGGATGTGCGCTGCGGAGCCGCACGGCCGCGGCCTCGCCAACGTCATGCTGAACGGCGCCATCGTCGGCACGCACCGCGAGCCCGTGCGGCTCGTGCGGCAGCTCCGCGCGCTCCGGCGGTGCGGGCGGCTCGGCATGTACGTGTCGGTGTACGTGTCGGGCCCGCGCGTCAACGTCGCGTGCGACGGCGGCCGCGTGTGCCGCCCGCTGATCATCGTCGAGGAGGGGCGGCCGCGCGTGACGCAGGCGCACATCGACGCGCTGAAACGCTCGGAGCTGACCTTCGCGGACTTCCTCCGCATGGGTCTGGTCGAGTGGATCGACGTGAACGAGGAGAACAACTGCCTCGTCGCGCTGCACGACACCGACGTCACGCTGGCGCACACGCACCTCGAGATCGAGCCGTTCACGATCATGGGCGTGTGCGCGGGGCTGATTCCGTACCCGCACCACAACCAGTCGCCGCGGAACACGTACCAGTGCGCGATGGGCAAGCAGGCAATGGGAAATATAGCACTGAACCAACTCAACCGCATGGACACGCTGCTCTATCTCCTGTGCTACCCGATGAAGCCGCTGCTGACGACCAAGACGATCGAGCTGTGCGGGTTCGACCGCCTCGGCGCCGGCCAGAACGCCATCGTCGCGGTCATGAGCTACTCGGGATACGACATTGAGGACTCCATCATCATGAATCGAGCGTCTCTCGACCGGGGATTCGGCAGGCAAGACATGCCCCCCCCGTCCCCTCGAGCCTCGCCCCGCCTTCCGCCCCCGATCGGCGCTCGCCCGCCCCACGCACGGCGGCGGCGGCACCGCGTGACGGAAGCATCAACCGCCCCCGTCACGCGCGGCTCGCAGGTGCATCGTGCTGAAGAAGCACGGGATCAGCATGAAGGCCCGGCGCTCGTCGCTGGTGCAGCAGCCGAGCGACCGCATCGACCCCCCCGAGATCCGCCCGGGCCACACGCGTCCCACGGGGGCGCTCAAGTGCCTCGACGTCGACGGGCTGCCGCAGGTGGGCGGGAAGATCTACCCGGGCGACATCTACATCAACCGCTCGATCCCCGTGAACGCCAAGGAGGTCGCCGCGGGCCCCCCCGGCGCGCCCGTGCAGTACAAGCGCGCCCCGCTGGCATGGAAGGGCCCGGCGGGGGAGCACGGCGTGGTGGACCGCGTGCTGCTGACGACGAACGAGATGGGCGACATGGTCTTCAAGGTCCTGCTGCGGCACACGCGGCGGCCCGAGCTCGGCGACAAGTTCAGCTCTCGGCACGGACAGAAGGGGGTGGTGGGCAATATTGTACCTCAGGGGGACATGCCGTTCAGCGAGCGGGGGATCTGCCCGGACCTGATCATGAACCCGCACGGGTTCCCGTCGCGGATGACGGTCGGGAAGATGCTGGAGCTGATGGGGTCGAAGGCGGCGGTGCACGAGGGACGCGCCTTTTACGGCACGGCGTTCGGGGAGCCGAGCGGGCTGGCGAACAAGATCGAGGACATCTCTGCGGCGCTCGTGGAGCACGGGTTCTCGTACTCGGGCAAGGACATGCTCACTTCGGGCGTCACAGGAGAGCCCCTGGAGGCTTATATCTTCATGGGCCCGGTTTACTATCAAAAGCTCAAGCACATGGTGCTGGACAAGATGCACGCGAGGGCGCGAGGGCCGAGGTGCGTGCGCGCGGGCTGCCGGGCTCCCCGCCGCGCGTCGCGGCGCCCGGACGCGCAATCGTGGTCTGAGTCACTGATGCTATGTTTTCGCGCGTGCGAAGTGCTGTTTGGGCCCGGCGCTTGGCGTGCTGGCGAGGCGATGCGCCGCGCTGTGCGGGACGCGGCCGGGCTGGCGCGGTCCTGCGGTGTTCGCCCGTGGCGGTTGCGTTTGATCGCGCGGCGACAACGTGGTGACGTTGTGGTGTCCTTGCGTTGCAGGGTGCCGCTCACGCGGCAGCCGACGGAGGGGCGCGCGCGCGATGGCGGGCTCCGGCTCGGCGAGATGGAGCGCGACTGCTTGGTCGGCTACGGCGCGTCCATGTTGCTCTTGGAACGGCTGATGATATCTTCCGACGAATTCGAAGTCCACGTCTGCCCGCGGTGCAAATCGCTCGGATACTACGACCACAAGCTCAAGGCGCCGACCTGCGGCAGCTGCCAGCGCGCCGACGGCATCACGAGCATGAAGCTGCCCTATGCCTGCAAGCTTTTGTTCCAGGAGCTGCAGAGCATGAATATCATGCCTCGATTGACTGTCGAATGACGCCCGAGCCCGCGCCGAGGTACCACGCGTCCGACGCCGATCTGGCGCTGTGAGGCGGTGCTCACGCCTCGTACCGTCAACACACAATATGTTGCGCTTGCAGCGCTGCTGCTTTCAGCCGGCTTGTCCTGCGCTCCCGGCAGGCCGGCCCAGAGTGTAGCTCCGCGCAGGATGAGATCGCTCGGCAGCGCACGACGGACCAGGAAACCCGGGCACAACCACAGATGGGGAAAAAAGACCTGCGTTGTCACTGTAGCATCAACCACTGGTCCGGCTCATACCCTGGCGCCTCGAAGGCCGGTGCCTCAGGCACGCAACTGTCGTGTACACGGGCACGTGCCGGACCGTCCGAAGAGCGGTCTGGCCCGACCGCTGCTAGAACGCGTACGTCTCACAGCCACTCACTCACTCAGTGTGCACAGATCCCGTGCCCTGGGAGCTGAGCTGTGGTTCAGTGCGCGCGGCGCAGGTGCGTGCTGCCGATCCGGGAGTCTCAAAAGTGGCGCGGCCCAGCAGGGGTGCCTGCTGCTATGTGCAGAGTGCCCGCAAGGATGCACCGACGATCGAGACATGCAGAGGGCGACGCAGCGGGAAGATGGGCGAGGATGCGAACGGGGTCAAGGGGCGAGGGAGAGGGGGCAGGGGGGGGGGGTCTTGGCCTCAGCGGGGGCAAGGCGTGCATGGGTGCTCATACCGGTCCATCGGCAGTGTTGCCAGGGGGAGTCCGGAGGTTGAGCGATCTGAGGACGAGGGCTTACTCAGGGTTGCGGTGGGGTTGGCGACTCGATCAGGCCGGGTTCTTACCGCTCTCAATCGTGACTCGGACGACTGAGGCGCCGGGAGGGGGGCAGGGGGGGTGGGAGTTGGGGGGGATGAGGGTCTGGGCCTCGCTCGGAGGTGCAAGAGCTCGGTGGCTCTTCCAACAGCGAGGTCGGGCTGGGAATCTTAGATTTGGAAATCTTAGACTACCAGGAAGGGGGGGGGGGTTGAAAGCATGACGTGGTCATTGAATCGACCCTCCGAGGACGAACAGGCACCGAATCGAAGCGGGCAGACGTCACCGGAACTATCTCCGGCATGTCCACGCCGCTCGGGCAGTCCGACAGAGTCCAGTCGAAGAATGACGCACGGCACAGGGGGAGGGGACTCATGGGCGAGGAAGGGGGGGGGGGTTGTTGCGGACTGGGCCCCAGGAAGGGAGAGGAGCAGCCGCGCGGCCCCGTCTGGTGAGTTGGAAGGACGCTGTCCTCGTGAAGAGTCAAAGCCTGTGCTTCGCACAGCAGCGTGGCAAGTGGCATCAGTGTCGTGGCAGCGTGCGTGCAAACGACATGGGCGTGGAGCAGGGAGGGGAACTCGTTCGGTGCCGACCCCGCGGCTCCGCGCCGCGGCCACGCGGCGACTGCTGGCGATTTTCTTTTCGTCGCGCAGGAACCAATCAAGCTAATGAAGCGCCACTCCTCGGAGTAGAAGTAGAACAACGCACGGGGGGGGGTGTCGTGCGACTGCAGGTGTTGCGTGCGCGCCTATCCGATCTCGGTGGATGAGGCGTCTCTTCTGCTGGCATCGGTGTCCAGCAATCTTAGCAAGCGGCATGTAGGTCGGGAGTAGATGTGCAGAATCGTACAAAAACACGGCGCACGCAGAAGGCTATGTTTCGTGTGATCGAACCTGTGTTGGGGCGGGGAACGGGGACGGGGACGGGGCCGGGGAGGGAGCGAAAAGTGAAGAGGAAGCGAAAGGGGGGGGAAGGTGCGCAGTGCGCCAACGGGTGGAGACGGCAGCACTGCTGAGAGCTGGGTTCTTTCGGCGACGCGGGCCGTCGCTGCGCCGCCGAGCAGCAGCGTCAGCAGCGGCTGCGCGTCCGCCTCGGCGGTCCGCACGGCGCCTCAGAACCGCGCCAGGAGTTCGATGGAGTTGGGCGTCGCCCGGAGCTTCCGCGCAACGTCGGGCGGCAGCAGCGAGGAGGTCCGCGACGACGAGCGCCGCCCGGTCTGGGAGTCGCGCGACAGGCGCGGCCCCGCGGGCGCCACCGCGCCGGACGGCGACGCGCCGCCCTCCGGCAGCGACGTCCGCCCGATGCGCTCGTGCACCACGCGCCACACCGCGTCCGGCTCCGTCGCGAGCACCTTGTTCGGCATGCGCAGCGCGCCCGGGCACGACGGCCGCGCGATCGTCCGCACGGGGACGTCTCCGCCCGACAGCACGTTCCGCAGGTCGCGCCCTCTCAGATCCTTTGTCGACTCATGCTTCGCGCCGAGCGGGCGCGCCGGGGGCGCGGCGCCGAAGTCGAGGCTCGTGGTGTCGCGGGAGCGCGAGCGGCACCACTCCCGCTGCGAGCAGCCCTGGAACGTCGTTCGCCGCCCGGACTCCCTATCTGGCTGCGTCGTGTGTGTAGAGTCGCGCGCGAGCGTCCAGCGCGACGCCACGTCGCGGAGGTTCGCGCCGCGGTGCGCGGCCGCGCGGCTCCGCGCGCAGCGCGCTCCGTCGCCGGACGCCCGCTGGCGCGGCGGCGACCGGCTGCTGTCGCTGTTTTGTGATGACCCCAGCGGGGGGCTTCCGTCGAGCTCTGTGACTCGCGGGAGGAACCCGAGGGACGTCCGCCGGGCCGCGCGCGGCGCTGCGGGCACGGGGGCGAGCGCTCGGTTGTTTCTCCGTGCAGGCGGCGCGTTTATGCGCGCAGTTGAGGCAGCTGCGAAGTGAGCTAAAAGGTGTGTTCGGCTTCTGCGGCGACGTTCGTGGCGAATCGAGACCTTCCGCCGCGTGACGGTGCTCTCGAGATCGTGAAATATCAGCGAACGCCAAGATACAGGCGTCAAGGCGCGTCGATGTCCCTGAATTGACGGAACTGGTCTAGGGACCAACTCCTAGCTCGAGCCTGGTCCGCGGCCAGGCCTCGCGAGGGCGCCACAGCGGGCACACGCTACGGTTCCGCGTACGACCGAACTGGCAAGCGGCAACGCGCCGCGTCGGAGTGGGAGCTAGGCGCGTACTGCGCCCGACAGCGCCGTCCAATGTTGGAAGATACCGCAAGCACGGCGTGAGCTCACGTTCGATCGTGTCGTCATCCTCCTCCTTCCAAGGCTCCTTCCAGGATTCCTCGGTATCGGAGCTACCTTCTCGCGGCTCGGCCGAGCGTGCGCCGAAGCAGCCCCAGTGGAATCGCATGTTGCCTGCGCAGTGCAGGGGCTGGAAGGTGGTGGTGGCGCAGCGCGTAACAGGCCGAAGAGCGCTCGACGTCGGGAAATACGCGATGTTCGAACTCGTTCCAAGGCTCGAGGCGCGGAGGAGCGGCCGTTCGCGTCGCGGACGAGCAGCGGCAGCCCGAGCCGATTCGGAGCAGACTCGCACCGGGGGGAAAAGCCTGGGGCGTGCGTCGCAGTCGGCGGGCGCGAACCACGCCTTGCGGGCTGATATCACTCTTCCTCCGTCCACGTCGCGGTGAGCGGCAATCGAGTGTCTCTGATTTCGTGCCGCCTGACGAATACGGATGCTCTGCGCTGCATGAGCAGCGCAGCACGCCGCCGATGACCGTGTGCCGCCTGTCGAAACACAGAAAGTTCACGCCCGCAGCGCTTGGTCGCACGGATGCGCTCGGCGCCGCCACAGCGGGGTGCTGGGGGACTACCGTACCTGACCAGCCCCTCCGGCGCTCACGTACCGACAGCAGATGCCAGCGCTCACGATGCGGCCCTCCGGTCTCTGCGCGCCCCCCGCACGGCGCGGCGCGTCGATCACAGCTACGGGCGTGCCGCCAGGGCTGGTGCGTGCAGCCCAACGGCTCTCTCCCCCGAGGACGGCTCGTTCCACGCGGAAACCGCAGCCCTGCGTCTGTAATGGCCAGAGACGGAAAATCACCCGGAAATCAGCGCTCGGCGCCGGCCGCGGCGCGGAGGATGCGAGAGAGCGCACGAAAGGCAGGAAAAAGCGCGTCGCCTGCCGTTCATGGCACGCGGTGCCGCGAAGTGCGCGTCGACCCCGCGCGCGGAGCCGTCAGCGTATGTCCGCAGCGGTGTTCCGGGCTGTTCCGGACTTACACACCGGGAGACGCGCAGCGCAGGGTGGCAGTTGACCGCACCCCACGCCGGCGTGCGGGGGCCCGGGACGACCGCGCGGCACCGTGCGCGCGCCAGGGCGTTTGACGTGATCGAAAGGGGGGGATTTCGTGGCGGAAACGTCGCCGGAGCGAGGCGGGGAGTCCGGCGAAGAAAGCGTCCCTGACGTATGGACAGACGGGCCAGGGAGGCTCGGCCGTGCGCGCGGGCCTGAACGGGCGCGCGCGGCGCGAACGTCCTGCAGTTATTTCACACACTATCGCGCCGACGCACTGTTGATAGCAACGTAGTCGGCACAGCGAGCACCTAGCTGCGAGGCGACGACCGCTTGGAGCAGCCTTCTCCGCGACTTTGAGACGCAGGTGGGGCCGCAATGCTGTCCGCCCGTGTATGAATATGCGCATGCCGGCACGCGGAGGCGCCCGGAGCGCTGGCGGCCCCACGCCGGACACCTTGCCGTGGGCCCTGGCCCAGGAGCAAAGGCGCAATTCCGGGGCCGTCCCGGCGAGGCTGACCGCGCGCGCGCTGCTTTCGCGCGCTTTACATAGCCTGCCTCACGGTCGCGTGCTTTCAACGGGCGTTGCAGGCTGCGCGGTTGGCGAGGAGCGGCTCACGCGCCAGGGCCGCCGTTCGAGCGGCACCTCGAGCCGCAGGGCCTGCGGGTCCGCGTGTAGCGCGACCGGCTCGCTTCTCATAGCGAGGATGAAGCTCTTCGCCCGCCTGAGGCGCCACGCGTCGCAGAAGGGCGCCCAAACAAGTGCGGCCCCCCGTACGCACGGCGCGCGCAGCCACGAGGCCGCCTCGCCGCCAGCTCACCGCACCTGCAGCTACACTTCATACACAACACGCCGCACCGCCGCCGGCTCCCGCGCACCCCGCTGCGCGCCCCTCTCGCGCGGCTGCCGCTCACGAGCTCACGCCCGCCGTGTCCCGCAGACGATCGATCGCGCAGCGCGCACGTCGCGAGGGACGTGCCTCAAGATTTCTCGTCGAGCGGCTCCGACCGCGCTGAGGGCTCATCCGCGGGCGCCCCCCCGGTTAGTGATCCTCGCTCGATCACGATTCACCGACCAATCGCGCACCACCGCTCCGCCCGCGGCGCCCGACGCGCCCTCGCAGCCCGCCCCAGTTCCCCCTACACCGCGTAAACACCGTAAATCCCTCACGCAGCGCCGCCCGCGATCCGCCTCGCAGCCACACACACACCAGGACCAGGATGCCACTCCTGGCGCCTCCGCGGGCCCGCATGTGCCGCGTGGCGTCTTCGTGGAGCAGCCCGGTCGCAAGGGCGGCACGTCCTGGTACGCGATCGGCCACGCGTGCCCGGACTGGCTCGCGCGCACCACCTGGACGGTCGACGCCTTTGAGCCCGTCAGGCAGCTGGGAAAGGGCGCCAAGTCCCGGGTCTGGGAGGCGCGGGACACCGCGACGGGCAACATGTTCGTTCTCAAGGTGCGTCGCGCGCGCCTCGCGCCCGGGCGCGCCGCCCCGCGGCCTCGCAGCTGCCCCTTGCTCGCCGCCAGCGCAACGTGTTGTCGTCGCCGCGTCCCGAACGCGCCCGCCGGGCTCTCCGCGCCGCAGGCGTACGATCTGAGGAAGGTGACGCCCGCGGAGGCGGTCCAGCTGCAGCGCGAGACGAAGATCCACGCCACGCTCCCGCCGCACCCCAACGTCGTCACCTTTTACGCGGGCTTCGTCGACGAGCGCGCGTGCTACGTCCTCATGGAGCGCTGCGGCAACGACCTGTACCACTCCCAGCCCAGCATGAGCAACTTCTCCGAGGCGCGCGTCGTGCACAACGTCGTCGCGCCGGGCCTCCGCGGCCTGGCGCACCTCCACACCCATGGGTTCCTGCACCGCGACATCAAGCCGGAGAACTTCATCTACGGCCTCGACGGCGTCCTGCGGATCGCGGACCTCGGCTTCGCGATCGACACGCGCAAGTACCGCCCCACGACGCGCCTCGGGACGCTCGAGTTCATGGCGCCCGAAGTCGTCTCCTCGGGGCGCCGGGCCGACGGCTCGGTGCTCCCGCGGCACCAGCGCCCGGGCTACGACTCCACCGCGGACGTCTGGTCCTTCGGCGCGGTCGTCTACGAGGTCCTGGTCGGCAAGTCGCCCTTTGGGCGCAACGACGCCGACCGGACGTCGGCCGCGATCGCGGCGGGCAAGGTCGTCGTGCCGATCTGGCTGTCCGAGGAGGCGCGCAGCTTCCTCTCGCTCTGCCTCGAGCGCGACCCCGCGCGCCGCCCCACGGCGCGCGAGCTCCTAGACCACCCGTGGTTGGCGCGGCTCTCGGGGAGCCACGGGGGGCCGCACACGGCGCCGCGGTCCGTGTCGCGGTGGCTGTCGAGCCACGGCGGCGGGCAGGCGAACGACTCGGCCAGCTCGGTGCAGTACGACCCGCAGGGGCAGAAGCAGCCGCCCGCGGCATGCAGCAGTGTGTCCGAGTCGTTGTTCAAGCGGCGCGCGGCCGTGCCGACGCCGGAGCGGCCCGCGCAGCGGCCTGCGGGCTCGAAGGCGACCGTGCAGGGCTGAGGCAGTGCGGACTGGCTGCTGCGGCGGCCCGCGAAGATGAATTGACCGCTCTCGGTAGGCGCAGGACAGCGTGATGCGGCGGGCCTCTCAACTGGCGGCGCCGTGTCGCTGAGAGGCCCTAATGCGTGCGGACAGCACCTCCAAGTGCACGGGGGTTGTACGCCCTGGTGCAACCCCAGCAGATTTGCTCGAAAGCTGCACACCCCCCTCCCCCCTCTCGACCTCGCGAAGGAGCTACGACGCAGAGAGGCTGCGGTTAATCGATCATTAGAATCGAGGCCGTCGACGCGTCGACGATATCTCCCCGAGGGTGGAAATTGCGGGACGGAACACCCCCTCTATGTCACGGAGGACCCCTCTACGTCCCTCTTCCAGAGGGAGCGACCCAGGGACCTGAAAGCGCCTGGCTTTCACAGCGCGCTTATTGCACGGCACCCGATGTCGAGAACCCGGCGCGCCAAACACAATACCTCCCCCCCCTCCTTCCCTCCCTCCCTGACAACCGTTCATAACCTCGTTCAATACTTCGCGGACACCGGCTGCGCAGCCAACGACCGCGCGGGTCTACCGGCCTCGAACGCCGGCTGCCCTGTAGGACTAGGCGCCACCCATCACGCCCCGGACCTCCAGTGTCGTCACGGCACCAGTGGCACAGTCTGAGACTTAGGGTTCTTATCCCCCCACCGTTCCATCCCGCCAAGTGGCCCTCACTCGTGGCCCGCACGCTACCTGTGCGGGCGAGAACAGCAACAGATATGGGACAAGGTCAGGAAATCGGCTCTTGGTGGAACGAGACGTCGACTGTCTGCGACGGCTTGAGATCACTGCGTACTCAACGCGCATCCCACCGCACACCCTGGCGGAAGACCACCAGAGCACAATGCTTTCTAGTTGAAAGCCCCCCCTTCCCCCCCCCAAACCCCCCTTCTCGATTTGCCCCAGTCACAGTGAAAGGGAGGCGAAGCGCAGCGCCTCCCCCTGACGACTTTCGGTCGTTTCAGCCTCCAGTTGATCCCATTCGTGCGCTGCTAGTCGCACTTGTATGCCTAGGCTCCCACCAGAAGTGCGCCCTCGCCTGGCGTGCCCTCCCTCTGGCGGGCACGCGGCTCGCAGACCGGCGCCCGCCGACGTGCGTGGCCCGACACTCATGCAGAGCAGTATCCTTGACCGAACGGGGCCTCCGCAGGATGGCTTCGTGTCTAGCAGCACAGCGACACCGCACAGTGCACAGTGTATCGTCCCTTGAAGATGAACCCCGCCAAATCTCCACACCGCCGCCGCGAAATCACCACACGTTTCCATCTCTCGTAGCCCCGCAACTCTGCACCCCAGAAGTCCGGCGATTTTGGCCCACGGCGGCCCAACAGTTCCTTGTAACACCCGCACGCTCCTCGTCCGACACAGGGCCTCGCCGTCGCTCAGTGCCCGGGCGAAGAGTCAGCTTCGCGGCAGGCAGCTGTGCCTCCGTGCACCTTCGCCGCTGTCGGAGACAGCATTCACTACCCGCGATGCGAACCGTGCTGTAGGTCAGCCAAGTACGAACATGCTGACGCCAAAATCGCGGAGCCGTGCATGGCGCGCCCGGGCGCAGCGCGTGACCAAGACTGTGCGCGTCTCGCCCGCGTGCCGGGCAGGGTCGCCGGCCGAATGGCCATCGGAGCGCGTGCGGGGACTTGAACACTGCAGGGCCCCCCCCCGCTGACCGAGGACCTCTTCAAGCTGATCGCGCGGGTCCGTCGAACCATCGACATGCGCACTTGCATGATAAGTGTCGTGCGTGCGGGTGCTCCACCGTTGTCGTCGCTCGCGGCCGCCCTTTCTTCGCCATTACGTTCACCACAAACCCTGCTGTCTTCCGCAAGCTCGTTCGCTTTGCTGAAAGGTGTTCACGCACGCCCAAGAGCAATCGAACACCAGGCGCGGGCATCCGTCAGCACCGTCGCCGTCGTCCGTGGCCGTGAGTCGCCGAGGAGCAGCAAGGCCCTCGCAAACAACCGCGACAAACAAACAAGCCGGCGCCGCCTGTCTCACAGCGCACACACGCCGCGCACGCCCGCCCTAACCCGCCGTCCCCGCGCTACCCGCTCACGGGGTGGTGGTTGTCGATCTCGTCCCCGCGTTCCGCCGCAGAGGTCTTCGTGAAGGGCAGGAAGCCCGTTTCGAGACTCTTGAGCTCGTATTCGTCGCGCTCGTAGAAGTGCCCGTCCACGCCGACGCACATCGGCACGTCCGCGTCCATCACGCGGTAGAACTGGCACGGCACGTGCGGCGACGGCCACGACCGCACGAGCACCTCGTTGCGCCGGAGCGCGCGCAGCACCTCGCGGTCGACGCGGATGACCTGCCCGAGCTCGCGCTGCGCCGTGAACGGGTCGATCGCGCCGCCCGCGACCATGTCCTGGATGTCGTCGTCGCCGTCGTCGATGCGCATCACGTCTGCTCCGCCCACGCGCAGCGACTGCCCGCGCTGGATCTCTTGCTTGGCCCGCGTGAGGACGTTGTCCTCGGGCGGCTCCTCCGAGAGCAGCGCGACGGCCTCGGCGTCGGAGATGTCCGGCTCGGTCTCGAACGGCACCAGGGGGAGGTGTTCGAACGTCAAGAAGGAGCGCACGAACGGCGACGAGCAGTTCGTGCAGAAGTCCCCCTGCAACTCCAGGGGCGAGGGAACGCGCGCGCGCCGTGAGGGAGCGCCGCGCTGGACGTGTGGCCGCGCCGCGCGGGCGGTGCACGCGCGACCGCGAGCGGACAGCACATGCCATGCGGAGGGACGGCCCAAAAATAGTGCTTCGCCCAGCGACGGCTTGTTCCAGTCCCGCTCGCTCGCGATCCTCGGGCAGCGCAGCCTGCGGCGCCTCTCACCTGGTCGTTGATGAGAGGGTTGACCTGCATGCACCGCCAGCACACCGGCTGCAGGTCCTCCGCATCCGTAGCCGGCCGGCCGCGCGCGAGCAGCCCGGCGACCTCCGCGGGCTCCCGCGCGTCGCTGCGCACGCGCAGGCGCAGCATGCGGTCCCACGCCGTCCGCGCCAGCTTCCACGCGCCCAGCTCCTCGCTGCGTCGCGCCAAGCAGTGCAGTACGCGCGTGACCTGCACGCCCGACGGCGCCGGCTTGGCGGCCTGCTGGAGCTGCAGGAGCCGCATGTAGAGGAACCGCGACGCGTTGAAGAGCGTCGACGCGTCGAGCGTCGTGAAGGGCTGTGACTCTGCAGCGTGGATGAAGGCATAGGCCCAATACACCTCCGAGGAGTCGTACGCGTCGGAGAACGCGTCGAGAACGCGGCGGTCCGCAGGGCCCATCGCGCCTGCGCGCAGACACGGGGGTGGATGGGGTTTGATCGCGTTCCGCGGAGGCGGTGTGGCAACACGCACACTGCGGCGGCGGAGGCTCGGAATCAGCGCGGCACAGACGCGGTCGCGGCCGCACGGAGCCGCCGCACGATCCAGCACGCGCGAGGGCCTGTCCTGCCGCGATGCGTGCTGTGTGCGGCCGTCGCGGCAGCAGAGAGCCGAGGCGGAAGTGTGTGCAGCTGACGACGTTCCGACGCCTGCCGCACAGGCGAGAGCTGGATCGGAGAAGCTCCGTCCGGCCCTCGCCCCCTGAACTCTGCGCCGCCGAAGCGTCGTCGGCGCAATCCCCTCTTCCCTAGCGACGGCTGCGCCAGCGGGCACGTGCAGGTAGCACACGGAGTGGCACGCGGCCAGGACGGCGCGTCGCGGCCGCGCTCGCGCTTCGCACCTGGCTCCGTCTGCAGGCGCTTCAGATGCTCCGTCGACAGCATGTGGTAGTACACCGCGGCCTCCCCGAAGAGCTCCCGCGCCACCGCGCTGCCGGCGAGGGACTCGAGCACGCCCACGGCGTCCCCCGTGCCGGCCTTCGCGAAGGCCCTGAGCGCCTCGTCGAACCGCCCCTGTTCGAGCAGCCAGCGCGCGTACGCCGGGTAGATCTCCGGCGCCAGCTCCTTGTGTTGTTGCAGGAGGTTGAATGCGTCGTCCCAGGACTTGGTCTCCACGTAGACCTGCGCGAGGCCCCTGCGGAAGAAGGGGGCGGGAAGGAGGGACCGGGCGCGTGGGTGGGAGGGCAGTCTAGGGCAGTCGAGGGTCCGAAAGAGATCAAGAACAGACTCTCAGAGAAGAAACGAGAAGAATCACGATTTAAGGTCTTCGCACGCGTCGACGCACTCCGGGACGCGCCACCCGCGGTCACGGCGGCGCGTGGCAAGCCTCGTGCGCCGGCGAAGTACACACGCGCACAGCACGCTCCCCGCAAACACACCCCCGGGGGTGTGTTTTTCATGTCCCGCGGGCCGCGCACCTGAAGTCGCCGAGCCGGAGGAGGGCCTCCTTCGCGTAGTCCCACTGCTTGGCCTCGAGCAGCTCCTGCGCGCACTCCCGCAGCACGGCCGTCTCCGTCTTGGGCACCTGCGCCAGGAGCCGCCCGAGCTCGCTCCACAACTCGTGCCGCCGCAGGAGCGCCACGGCCTTGTCGTAGCGCTTCGCGCGCGCGTACATCTCCGCGGCCGCGCCCCAGTCCCGCATCTCAAGGCTCCACTCCGCCTGGCGCTCAACCAGCTCCTGCGGCGCATCAGACGTCGCACCCACGACCATGAGTGCACAAACAAACAAACCAGCAAATAAATGAACAAATAACCAAGCAAGCAAACGACATCAATCAGTCATGAGAGCGACATCATGCCTTGCAGCGACCGGGACGCGGCCGCCCGGAACGACATCAAAACGACCGCGGGGGCGCTCCGCCGTACCTGCACCGCGGACAGGTGGCCCTGCCCGAGCTCCTCCGCGAACCGCGCGGCCTCCTGGAACTCCCGCAGGTCCGAGAAGATCGCGATCGCCCGCTCCATGCTCCCCGCGTTCGCGCACAGCCGCGCCGCCTCCTGGTACCGCCCCTGGAACGCCAGCACCTCCGCCTGCAGCAGCTCCTTCGCCATCCCGCGGTCGCGCATGCGCGCGATGCGCGCGACGAGGTCCAGCTGCCGCACGTCGTGCACGCGCAGGAACGCCTTCCTGGCCACATCGAGCTCGACATTCCACAGCGCGTCGTACCCCAGGCGCCGCCAGTCCGACTCCGCGACGCCCATGCACGCGATGTGGTGCGCGGCCTTGAAGTTCCGGCGCTCGATGTACTGCAGCATCGCCGGCGTGAGCGGCACGTCGATGACGGCCATGTTTGCCATCTGCAAACAAAAGGCCTTGGCGCCCTTGAAGCCGACGACGAAGCCCGTGAGCCGCTGCTGGATCTTCTCCGGCAGGTCCGCGACCTTGACGAAGAGCTGCCCCGACGACGACGAGTAGCACAGCACGCTGTCCGACTGCGAGTTGAAGGCGACGGACGTGGCGCCCGGCGACGACCACTCCAGCTTGCGCGTGGCGACGCTGTACTCGCACACGCGCTCCTCGTCGTCGACGAGCGCGATGCGCGTCCGCGTGAGGTTGATGTCGAGGCACCGCACCGCGACACCGTGCTTCACCAGCTCCACGGGGAAGGGGTTGTTTAGGAAGACCTGATACACCCCCCCGTCCTTCAGCCCGACCAGCAAACCCTCCTCCCCGGGCGGCCCGCCGAGCACCTTGATGTACCGGATCGTGCTCGCGAGGCTCCACTGCCGCTCCTGCCGCCCGTCGAACGTAAGCATCTGCAGGTTGCGCTCCGAACACAAGACGATGTGCCGCGCCGTCACCACCAGCAGGCTGCACTCCAGCGGCCGCGCGAGCCGCGTGAGCGGCCGGTACTCCATCGACAGCTCGACCGGCTCCTTCGCGGGGTCGTCCGGCTTCCGCAGCTCATATATAACCACCGACGACGGCATCTGGACCGCTAGCTTGTCCTTGTACACCGAGATGCGCCGCACGTACGTCCGGCACCGGATCCGGAGCTTCGCGTCCGTGATCAGGTGGTGCACCACGACGTCCGACATGCTCTCGCGGTAGGCGTAGCGGTCCTGGTAGAGCGCATGCACGGTGGACGTGACCAGGTTGTAGACCGAGACCGTGCCGTTGCCGCACCCGACGGCGACCATCGGCGCGGCCGCGGCGGACCCCGGGTGCACGCGGCACGCCCAGATCCACGTGCCCTTGTTCACCAGGGTCTGCAGCTTCTTGCCGTCGCGGCTGTGCAACGTCACCATCTTGTTCGCCCCCGCCACGCACATCAGCTCCCCGCCCTCCGTCAGCGACATCGCGTTCGGCGCGCACTCCAGCTTCGACGACAGCTCCGACAGCTCCTCCCCCGCCACCGTGAACACCGCGAGCTGCTGGTCCCACGACCCCACGGTCAGCACCTCGCCCGCATCCGACGCCGCGTCCGGCAGCGGGCCCCACACGAGGCTCCACGCGGGGCCGCCCCGGCGGATCGTCGCCTTCTCCGCCCCGGCCTTGTCCCGGATGATCACGGCACCATCGATGTGGCCCGTCGCCAGCGCCTGCCCGTCGCCCGACCACGCCACGCTGACGCACTTCGACGCCACCTTCACCTTCGACACCGACTTCTGCTCCGGCGACCACAGGCCGAGGTCCGCCTCCGTCCCGGACGCCAGCTGCATCGTCACCGGATTGTACGCCAAACACTGGATCGAGTGGTTGTGGGTGAACTTCAGCAGCCCCTGACACTCCGACGTCCACACGATCACCGTGTTGTCCGCGCCGCCCGAGGCGAAGCGCTTGCCGTCGCCGTTGAACGCGACGGCGTTGACCGTCGCCTTGTGCCCGCGCAGCGTGTGGAGCAGCATGCCCTCGACGGCGTCGTAGACGAGGACGCGGCTCCCCGCGCCCGCGGCGAGGCGCGTGCCATCGGGGGAGAAGGCGAGGGAGTGGCAGACCGGCTTCACGCCGTCCTTCTCGGGGGGGGTGTCGGTCCAGACGAGGCTCGCGCGCATCGCGCCTCCCTGCCTCCCGCGGAGTGTGGAACGGCAGTCGGGGATTAGTAGTTGTGCTTGAACAGCTTCAGTCCTAGCCAGTTCGCGAACGCCAGGAGGACCTGCGGGGCCGCCGGCGCGCGCACGGCGCGGTGTCAGCGAGTGCCGTGCGGAACGGCGGCCGTGCGCCGCGGCAGCGCTGAGACCTAAGCGCAGTTGCCACCTGCGAGCAGCGATGAGCTGCTTCAGCGGCGCCTGTGCGCACCGTGACGGGCAGGCAGAGTGGCGCGAGCAGCCCGTAGAACAGCAGCCGAGGGAAGCCGCCGTAGTGGTCGTCCACGGGCGAGCGCGCCGGCGGGTCCAGGAGTTGGCGCACTAAAGGGATGGTCACGCCCAGCTGCACCGCAACAGCCGCCACGAGGAGCCCCGCACCCTGCACGCAGCGCGCGCGACGGAGAGCTGTTTGCCGGGGGAACCGTCCGCGGGCGCGGGATCTCGCGGTGCCGCGACGGGGAGCTCGGGGGCGCCGAGAGAAGATACGAACGAGGTCATTGTGTGAATGCGCAACGCGCTGGGCGGCTGGTGCGCCCTCATTCGCGTCGACCTGGGCGCTGACGAGACGCCTGGTACCCTAGGGGTTCACCCGAGCGCGCCAGCGTGGCTTGCGGAGGCGTATCTCGATCCTGGGAGGGCGCGGAGTGCAGGTTTGCACTCAGAGTTGCACGTTGCGCGTCCGTGTGCCGCACCTGGAGGATCAGACGCCACACGGGGGTGCTTGTTGGATCCCCCTGGGTATGTTCTAGGTCCTGCAGCGTCCACACGGCGCAGAGAATCGCTCAGCGGGCGTGTCACCGGCACGCACTGGGGCGCGCGCATGCACCGGGCGAAGCGCGCCCTGAGAGCTCGTGTGGGGGCGTTGCGAGCGCGCTCGCGGCGCCCGCGTCCGGGACATCGCGCCGGGTGCGCGCGAGCGCGTGCCGTGGCGGTCGTCGTCGCCGGGCACGCCGCGCGCGGGAGGGCCGCGTGTTGACTCGAACCCCGCTGGCGCGGGCGCGATGGCGCGGTTGCGCTCGACCCGCTGCGCACCTGGAGGCTGTGTGTGGAGGAAACTTTGCGCCAGAGGTGCTGTCGGGCTTGCGGCGACTCTGCCGCTGCCATGCGCAAAGACAGCTGCCAGGCGCGCTCGGTCGCGCGTGCCTGTGCGCCCGCGCTGCGCGTCTGCCTACGCCCGGAACCGCGACGCTGCACCACCTGTCCGGCCACGCCCGGAAACATGCGCCGAAGAGCCGCGATGACGCCGTCGCGCAGCCCGACCCGACGGTATGAGAAATGCTTCTCGAACGCCGCCGTGAGGGGCTCCGTGCGGGCACATTGCTGCGCCGCCGCTGCAACTCACTACATACATTCCGTCCATCGCTTCCGACCACAAACACCTCCATCGGTGCGCGCCCGAGCGCGGCTCTCCCTCCCTGCTCCTTGGCGCGCTGCGCGGGCCACCGCGAACGCGCTGCGGTGATCCTACCGTCCTGCCGCACACACAAGATCCACTGTATACCAACGAGAAGTCGAATTTGTATTGTTCCTCGCCGCAGGAGCGCCGCCGTCACTTGGCAAGCACCTAGCACCCAACTCGCAACGCCGGTCGCACCCGCGCGTTCACAGACGACACTCTCCGCACCACGTGACACCATGGTGAAGCCCCGAGCCATCGCGCACCGCTGAATGCCACGAACGCCCACCCACACGGACACCAGCAGACATTCCAGACACCTGCCGCTCCTTACCTAAACAATGCAGCTCATGCCGCGCATCGCACCGCGCACCGTCGCGGCCCCCCCCCGGCGCCCCACCATCGCTCCTCCACCGCGCGCCGCGCAACATCCCCCGTATCTCGCCCTCGCCCACGCGCGAGCGCCCCTCACCTCACTGTTTACGTTACGCTGTTGTGTCGCAGACGATCGCCCAGTTCAACGGCAAGGACGTCCCGGCCGACGTCGCGCCGCTCTTCACGCCGTTCAAGCTCGGCGAGCTCGAGCTCAAGCACCGCATCGTGTACCCGCCTCTCACGCGCTGCAGGTGCGCAGTAAAACACGGCTGTCCTGTCTTGTCAACTCACTCACGTCCTCGCGCCGCGCCACGACCCCGCGACGATCCAGCCCGTCCGCGCCGGGTGCAGGGCGACGGGGTGCGTGCCGCAGCCGCTGGCCGTCGAGTACTACTCGCAGCGCGCCACGGCGGGCGGGCTCATGATTTGCGAGGCAACGTGCATCTCGCCTGAGGCGCACGGGTACCCGCAGACGCCCGGGATCTACACGAAGGAGCAGATCGAGGGCTGGAAGCCCATCGCCAAGGCCATCCACGACAAGGGCGCCTACTTCTACTGCCAGGTACAACCAACCTTCTTTTTATAACACCCCCCCACGTTACACGCGGCGCGCCCGTCGTTTCACGCACTCGCCCCTTCTCGTCCCTCCGCGTACGCGCAGCCGGAGCCCCCGCCCCATGCTCCGCTCATCGCCCCCGCACACACAATTCCCATAACCCCCCCCCCCCCTCCGCTCCCGTCGTCGCAGCTGTGGCACTGCGGGCGCGCGTCGCACCGCGACTACCAGCCCGACGGCCGCCCGCCGCCGGCGCCGTCCGCGATCGCGCCGAAGGGCCAGTGCTTCACGCCGTCCTTCGAGGCCAAGGACTACGAGACGCCGCGCGAGATGACAATCGAGGAAATCAAGGCTCTGCCGGGCACGTACGTCCAGTGCGCGAAGAACGCGCTCGAGGCCGGGTTCGACGGCGTGGAGGTGCACGCCGGGAACGGCTACCTGCTCGACGAGTTCCAGAAGGACACGACGAACAAGCGCACCGACGAGTACGGGGGCAGTGTGGAGAAGAGGTGCAGGTTGACGCTCGAGGTGGTGGATGCGGTCGTGGCGGCGGTGGGCGCGAAGAAGGTCGGGATCCGCCTGACGCCGTTCATCACCTTCCTGGACGGCATCGACACGAAGCCGTACGAGACGTTCTCGTACCTGTCGACGGAGGTGAGGGGTGTTTCTCAATTGTCTCATACACCTGACCGTGCTTCGGGAGACGGAGCGCCCCGCGCGGCGCGGGACCTCGCTGCGGGATGCGCGTGCGTCGTGCGCGGTCCGAGCCGCTCGCACGTCGGCTCGGCAACCACAGCGACAGAACAACAACGACCACGACATGATCTGTGTCCTGATTGCAGCTGGACAAGCGCGGCCTGGCGTACATCCACTTCGTGGAGCCGCGCGCGGACGGCAACGAGGACGTCGAGACGAAGGAGTCCCTCGACCCCTTCAGGGCCCTCATCAAGAACACCCCCTTCATCGCCGCGGGGGGGTATAAGACCGCCGACGCCGGCGCCAAGGCCGTCGCGTCCGGCCACGCCGACCTCGTCGCCTACGGCCGCGTCTACCTCGCCAACCCCGACCTCCCGAAGCGCTTCACGATCCCTGGCGCGAAGCTCAACGACTACGACCGCAACACCTTCTACGGTGCCCCGGACCCCAAGCTGGGCTACACCGACTACCCCTTCCTCGAGTAGGCGCCGCCCACGCCGTGGCCGTTCAGTGTCCGCGGCCGGGACCGTGCCGCCGCCGCGGCCCGTGCGCGCAATTGTGATTCCAGCGACTTGGAGTTTTTCACTCGATCGTATTTGTTTGTTCATTCATTCGTGTGCCAACGCAGCAGTGCCAGGCCACGCGCCGCGCGCTGCGTGGTCCTGTACGTCAGATCCCGAGGTTGGCGCGCTCCGCGGCGCGCAGGCCGTCCCCGAACCCGAGCTGTTGCTCCTCCAGCTGCGCGCGCCGTTGTGCCGCCTCCGCGGCCTCCGCCGCGCGCCGCCGCTTCCGCTCCTCGGGGTCCACGTCGTCCGCGAGGATCTCGCACCCGGGCGTCGCGCCCGCCCACCCGATGGTCGCGTCGTCGCCCCACGAGAGGTCCTCCGGCATCGGGGCCCCGGGGGACTTCAGAAACAGCGCGCAGCGCGCGACGGGGATCTTGAACAGCTTCTCGACGAGGAACTGCGCGCAGCGAGGTGGGAGCGCGGAACGGTGCGTCGGGTCCGACCGCGTCGGCGGGATCGGACGAGATGAGTCCCCCGGGGGTGTGACCCACTGCGGGCGTGGTGCCCGTGCCTGGACCGGGCAGCACGCGCGGCGGCCGGGCCGCGCCGCTCGCGTACTGGGCAGCGGGCCAACTTGCGAGGCGGAACGCGGGGCGTAGTACGTAGAGGTACCAACAAACATGTCGCATGTCAACACTTGTGTCAAGAAGCGGCGTGCGATAATGAACGGACCTTGAGCTGCCCCAGCGACGTCCCCGCGGGCAGCTTCATCGGCTTCGAGCCCATCACGGCGCCCTTGCCCGCCGCCACGCTCGTCAGCACCAGGTCCACGAGACCCACCCCGCGCTCGGGCGCCGCAGACCCCCCCCCGGACTCCCCCTCCCCGATCCCCGCCACCTCGCCGTACACCCCGACCAGCTCCTTGTACCGCGGGTGCGCCGCGAGCACCCCGGCCTCCGGCGCGTCCCCGGCGTGCCCCGCCGCTTCCATGGCAACAGCGCGCAGGTACCGGATCTCGCTGTCCCGGCGCTCGCTCGCACGCACCGCGCTGCCGTTCAGCGTCACGAGGCGCGCGACGCGCGCGATGACCTCGTACCGCCCGCCCCCGCGCGCTGCCGCCAGGAGCGGCGTCCCCGACAGCCGCGTCTCCACCAGCGACGGAAACGTGTTCAAGTTGTCGACACTCCCCCACTCGCTGACCTTCGTGTTCCCCACGAGGAGCGCGCGCAGCGCGGGGAACGCGGCGTCGCCCTCGGCGCGCCCGACGTGCGTCAACGCGGTGTCGTTCAGCTGCAGGTGCTCCAGCGACGGGAGCGTGCCGAGGCGGGCCACCTCGGCCCAGTCGTGCAGCGGGTTGCGGTCGAGCACGAGGCGCTTGAGCTTGTCGAACGCCGCGAGCGCGCCGGCCCCGCGCGCCGGGCCCTCGAGCGACGTGAGGCTGTTGCTGCAAAGATGCAGCTCTTGCAGGAGCGGGACGGCGGCGGCGACGGCCTCGACTTCGGGCCACGTGAGGTTGCACGCGTTCAGGACGAGCGTGCGGAGCTTCTGGAGGTCGAGCGCCAGGGCTGCGGCCGCGGGGAGCCGCGCGGGGGGGGTGTCAAGAAGAAGGTACAACACCAGTTCAATGCATCGGTCCGGCTGCGGGTGTGCGGTGGACCGGGGCGCGCGTGGCGCACCTGGCGCGGGAACGCCGAGCCGGGTGCGCGAGAGGTCGAGGGCCTGCAGCGCTGGCAGCGCCTTGCACAACGCAGCCACAGGTTCCCAGCCAGTGAGCGGGTTCCCCGGCAGGTGGACCTCGGTGAGCTTCCGCATGTTGGCGTCCGTGGAGCCCACCTGCGCGCGCCGGACGGCGGTGCCCGAGCGTCAGCGAGCAGAGCAGACGGCGCGCAGAAACAAAAGCGCGCTCGCGTGCGTACGAATGCGACATGTGTGCGTTTTCTCGGACCTTGTCGATGTTGGCGTCGCCGAGGGCGACGAGACAGAGCATCTCGAGCTGCCCCTGCTGCTTCATGATCTTCTCCGCGCCCACCAGCTGAATCGCCTTGGCGTCGCCGCGCGCTGTCTTTGCGAATAGCTCGTCCGGAGCGGGGCCCTGGTCGTCTGCGAGCAGCTCGGGCGCGCGACACGTGAATGAGCGAACGGCGCGCGCGCCCGCCGCGAGTGCGCGGCGCGGGCCGCACGCACACGGCGACATAGCGCGTTGGAGAGTCAGGGGCGTCGCTCGTGCGGGGGGGCGTTTCCGGCGCGGCCGGGGCGCGCACCGTCTGCCACGTAGCGCTTGTACAGCGCCTGGAAGAACTCCTGGCCAGGGGGCACCTTGGCCGCGCGCACGAACGACCCCGCCCCGCGCACGGCGCATTCGAAGTACTGCCTCCCTCCTGCGCGCACGGACACGAACGGGCCGGACGTCCCTCGCTGCTTGCAGCCCACGCGTATACCTAGCCCTGCGGGCCCCGGACGGGCGCGAACGGCGCCGCTGACGCGCCGCGGCCCCAGGACCCAGCGCAGGCGCTGGCGCGGCGGCCGCACACGCTCGCACGGCCGCCCGCGCGAGCTCTGCGTGGCAGGAGCGCTCGGTCAGTAGCGGTAAATCGTGTTGGGCCCGCGAACGGCGCTGCGGAGCCCGGTTCCGGGGAGCTGGGGAGGCACCTGTTGCACCACTGTGTTTGCCCCGGCTTGGGTCGTCCCACTCGATGCCGAGCCACTCGCCCGTCTGCCCCTCGACCTCTCCGACGTAGCGGACGGTGCCGAGGTCGCCCCCGACCGCGACGCGGGCGCCCACGCGCCGCGCGGCTCCCGCGCTTGGAGCCGCTGCGTCCGCAGTCATCTTTTCCGCACCTCTGAAGCGGCCAACCGCGTCGCGCGACCCGCCACACAGCGCGCCAGCCACTGCGCGAACGTGCGCGCGTGCGGCCGCGTTCACCCCGGCCGCGCATTCGGCCCCAGGACGCGCTGTCTGACAAAGTACAACATGTGCACCTCCGCGCCCAGGGCGGTCAGCCTGCCGGCTTCGGCCGCTGCGGACGAGCGCCGCGGGCAGAGCCGCTGCGCCGGTGCCGTCGTGACCACGCCCGGGCTCGTCCGCAGCCGCGCTGCGCGCAAGTTGTATACGCGCTGGTGCGGGGGCGCTGGGCGCTCAGGGATGATCCAGCGCGCGCTCGAGGCGACGCAGAGGAGCTCCGTGCCCTGTGTGTGCCCCACGCGCTTCCACGGCGTCAGTGGCCGGGCGCACGGCCGCTCGGGGCGCGCGGCAGCTGTACGGGTCCGCCAGAGGGGCTGCTGGGGCTGGCGGCCCCGACGGAAGGCACCGCAGGCGCGCAGCCGGCTCGTGATTGCGTTGTCGGCCATCACGGAGCGCGGCGGGGCCGCTGATGACATGAGCGCGGACGGCAGCGGGGCGAACGGGCGGAGCCTACCTGACGTGTATGGATTCGCTCCAGCAGCGCAGTTCCAGCCTGAAGTCGCGGAAATGCTGGCGACGTCATACAGCGGGGATGTTTCCGTCGTTCGGGAGATCGAGCGGGCGCTGGTGACGCCCTGCGAGCTGCACACGATGCGAGCCAACGCCCTACGCGTGGACGTACGGCCCGCGGAAGCGCCTGGGGGCGCGGAGTCAGGGGCAGGCACCGACGGTCGCATGCCGTGGGACGCGTTCGTGGAGCACGCGCGGCGGGAGCTCGGCGACGGCATCCAGCTGGCGCGCCACCCCGCACTGGACCACGTGCTCACAGCGCAGGGCCTGCGACGGTCGCGCGCAGCCGCGCTCACGGAAGCCAACCGCCTCGCTGCCGACGCCGCGGCCGGCCGCACAGGTGCGCGCACGCCGCGGACCCACCCGGCACCAAACACCCCCCCTTTCGCTAGTGCACACACAACACATTATGCCGGGCCTTCCCCGCACCGGCCGAACACGCGCCGGACCGAATGTTCGCGCAGGGGGCGTGAAGGAGGTCATCGTCGGGCGCAAGTGCGCGGAGGCGGTCCTCAAGGGCGCGGAGGCTTACGTCCCCGGGGTCCTGGCGTGTTCTACCTTCATCGAGCGCGGAGACCCGGTGGTGGTGCTCGCAGCGATCGAGGACCCCGCGACGGGCAAGTGGCCCACCACGCGCGGCTCCACGATGCCGCCGTTCCGCGGGGGGGTCTCCGAGGACTCCCCCCCGCGCGACGGCGACGCTGCGCCCGGCCTGACGGGGCTCGAGCCGTGGGTCGCGGAGGCGCGCCGGACGCTGTGCGTCGGCGTCGGCGTCGCGGAGCAGGGCCGCGTCGAGATGTTCCGGTCCGGGAGCGGCGTCGCGGTGCGGCTGACGCACCGCTTGTTCGACATGCGGTCTCTCAGTGGCGTGCTGAGCGGGCTGATGGTCGCGCAGTCGCTGCCGAGCATCGCTGCGGCCGCGGCGCTCGGCGCGCGGCCGGGGGAGACCGTGCTGGACATGTGCGCGGCGCCCGGCGGCAAGACGACCGCGCTGGCGGAGGCGATGGGCAACATGGGGGTGTTGTATGCACTGGATCGGTCGCACGGCAAGGTGGAGGGGGTGCGCGCGCTGTGCGCGGAGCTGGGCATCACGATGGTGCGCGCGCTGCGCATGGACGCGCGGCGCGCGCTGCGGCGCCCCGGAGAGACCCCCCCCGGGGAGTCGAAGAGGAAAAATAAACAGAGAAAGAAGAATAAGAATGGACGCGGAGAAGAGGAGGACGCGGCGGAGCGGGACGAATACGCGGACGGGTTCCCGCCGGAGCACTTCGACCGCATCCTCGTGGACGCGCCGTGCTCCGCGATCGGCCTCCGGCCCCGTCTCCTACAGCCGGCGGACGCGGCGGAGCTGCTGCGTGCGGCGGAGTACCAGCGGCACTTCCTGGAGCAGGCCGTGCAGCTCCTGAGGCCCGGCGGCGTCATGGTGTTCTCCACGTGCACGATCAACCCTCTGGAGAACGAGGGCAACGTGCGTTGGGTCCTAGACAGGCATGCGTGTTTGCGGCTGGACGACGTGCCGCTGTGCGCGAGCCTGGGCGGGCCGGGCGTCACGCACGGGCCGCGCACGACCGAGGACGGGCAGGCGGTCGTGCCTGGCGAGCGCGTGCGGCTGCTGACCGACGCAGAGGCCATGAAGGTGCGTAGATTCACACCGAACGTGGAGGAGGCGGGGAGAGTCGAGGAGGGGGGTGTGCGGCGCGCGGTGCCCGGGTTCTTCATTGCGCGTTTCGTGAAGGAGCGCGGCGGGGGCTGAGAGTGTGATGGTCCGGCTGAGAGGACTTAGTCAGGGGGAGTAACACCGGCGCCCGACGGGCCGACGGCGTCGGAACCTGACGCGCAGCTCGCGCCCGCAAAGTGCTGACCGTGCGCGGCCCGCAGGTAGCCTGTTGCGCCTGCACCGGCGCCGCACGCGTCGCTGCTGTACCACATGCCCTTTGCCGGGGTGTCTCGCGTTCAGGGGGGCGCGTCCTCCACCGGTCGAGCTGCTGCTCGCCCGCCACAGCCCACCGGCCACCGTGACTCCCAGCGACCGCTTCGTTCGCTGCCGTGAATCACTCGAGGCGTTCTGGCCGCTGCCAAACACCAAATCAGGTCAAATGATTTGCCGCTTCGGCTGCTTCGGCCCCTGGCAGAACGCCCAGCTCACCGCGACCTCCTTCCCGAGGATCTCCTTCCCGTTCATCTCGTCGATCGCCTCCTGCGCCTCCCGCTTCGTCTCATACTCAATCAGCGCGTAGCCCTTTACGAACCCCGACTGCCGGTCCAGGTTCAAATGCAGGCCCTTCGGCGCCCCGAACTCCGCGAACTCCCCGTGCACGTCCTCCTCCTGCGAGATCTCGCCCACCGCGGCGCCACGGAGGCCGTTAACGGCCGCCAACGCCCCCGCGAGGCACACACAGCCGCAGGCGACGCGCCCTGCCGTTCCCTCGCGCAGCCCACGGGGTGCCGGAGCCGTGTGGTCGACGGCGGCGCGTAGCACGTGACGCCGCGCGGCGCTCTCTCGCCCCGCGGATGGGAGGTGTGGTGCGGAGATGGGGGGGGGTCGTGTGCGGGCGTACCTGCGCCTCCTCGTGTAGGCCGGTGACGAGGATGACCCAGCCTTCGACCGAGCGTGCCGGGAGGTTCGCCTTGCCCTCGGCGCCCCTCGACCCCCCGCCACGGCCCCTGCAAGCAAGTGGCGGGGCTGACGCTCGGCGGCCTCTGTGCGGGATGCGCGGGGGCGTTTGGGCGCTGCGACGATGAATCGCAGCTTTGTGAAAGGCTTCGGGCGCGCTGGCGTCGCTCGGGCGCAGCATCGGAGCCGCCTACGCGCTGTGAGTTGCTTGGGAAGGTGGGCTGGCTCCGCACGGAAACTACGAAAGTCCGCAGGGGATCTTGTTTGCGTGGGAGGCTCGTGACTTTGATGGCTGCGGCCAGAAGAGAGAGGGCGAGCATGCAGGCCACGCACCTCCCGCTGCGCCCCCGCCCAGTGTCGTCGTCGACGTCCATCGCGCTCCACGCCCAGCCGCGCCCGCTGCCGACGCCCTCAGCTAGCAACCACGCGCTCCTTCTACGGTACTAGCGCTGAGAGCACACGAGACCGCGTCAGAGCCCCGCCTCGCGCTTCTCAGGGCCCCGGAACACGCCCGCCTCCTTTCACAGCGGCAGCACGCGCACCGACGTGGGATATACTTTCCAAACGGGCACCGCAGACACTCGCGAGACGCAGGACGTGCCGCGGGCCATCAAGCCGCGCGCTCCCGCGGCCGGAATGGACGCCCCCGGGGATGTGTTGTCCTCCCGCCCGCGCCCGACGCCACTCAATGCCCCCGCAGATCGCGCAGACCGCACCAGACCCCGCGCCAGCCCGACCATGACCGCGTCCGCACACCTCACACCTGCGGCAGCCCCCGCACGGCGCCACTGCGCCCCCTGCGCGCCGCAACGGGCGTCCAGGCCACGAACCCAGGTCCAGCCCGGCGCCCTGACCCGCCGCCAGGCCGCGCGCAGCCACACGCGCAGCCCCACGCCCCCGCACGCAGCTACTCCAGTCGGCCGCGGACAGACACACGCACTCGTGCCTTGCCTCCGAAACCACCCGAAGAGGCCACGCGCGTCACGCACCCTTGCACCTCCAATCCTCGCTGCTCGCAGGCTTCCTGCCCCGCGTCTTCGCCGTTCCGGCAGCACATCGACGTGTCCTACGCCCGGCGGGCGCCCGCGCACCCGCTCCGCGCCCGCGCGACCCGCCAGCGCAGCTGCACCACTGGGGCGCTTGCGAGCAACGGAGGCGGGCTGCGCGCGCACGACCCGAGCGTCGCAGTCGTCATCGTCGACCACGGCTCTCGCAAGAAGGAGTCGAACGACATGCTCATGGTACGCCCCCCACAACGCCGCCCCATCGCCCCATGCTCTACAATACAACTTACGTCGTCCCTCCCGCGCGCAGCTCCCGCCCGGCCCGCGCCGGAACGCCCCGCACGCCGCCCCGGCACTCCCCTGCGTGCTGCGCGAGTGCTGTGGCCCGTTCCGTCCACCTGCACCCGCACCACGCTACACCTCCCTCGACGGCATTGCCAATGGGTAACATGATGACGGCGGGCACACCCCCCCCCGCGCGCGTGCTTCGCGCAGGAGTTCGTCGAGCTGTTCCGCGCCACGACGGGCTACGAGATCGTCGAGGGCGCGCACATGGAGATCGCTCCGCCAACGATTGCCGACGCAGTCGCGGCGTGCGTCGCGAGCGGCGCGTCCCGCGTCGTCGTCGCGCCGTACTTCCTCTCCCGGGGACGGCACATCCTCCAGGACATTCCCGCGCTAGTCGAGGAGGCGCGCGCGGCGCACCCGGGGGTTGAGGTGTCGGTGGCGGAACCTATCGGCGTTGATCCGCTGATGGCGCAGCTGATCGGGAAACGGGTCGAGGGGGCGCTGGAGGGCGCGGGCGTGGCGGTGGGCGCGGCGGGGCGGGACGGGGACGCGTGAGTGCTGGCGTGTGCGGCCGTGAACGTGTGACGGGAGACTGGGAAGCTCGCAGTCGAGAATCCTCGACTAGAATTGGACTTTTCTGCGCGACTGGCGCGTGGTCGGGCTGGCCCGCGGCCCCAACGTGGGGCCGTCGCGCGCCGCGCGTCGCGCATTCGGAGCCGCTGGCTCCGCGCAAGCACCCCGATTCTACGACGAGGCTCACGCACAAGCAGCGCGCGAACGCGCCCCACCGCGCGTTGAGACGCGCATCTGCCACCGCAGGAAAAACATTCAGCGCGCTGCCTCGACGCGCGTAGAACATCATATCTGCGTTTGAGCGCACCTGCGGGTACCTGCTGGACATATCAAGGCTGGGGAGGGCGCGGGGAGCCGCGAGGGGCCGTGGGCGGCGCAAGCCGCAGGCAGGGACGCTGGCGCTTGCGTGCGTTACTGCAGGGCGGTTTTTGGCGGGTGGGTGGGGCGGGGGGGGTCGTAGGTCGGCGAGATGAACGTCAGCGGCAGCGGGATGCGGAAGCCGGTGGCGAAGGACGACAGTCTTCAGCCAGGTGCGTGCAGCGACGCGGAGACTGTGGGCGCTGGCTTTGGAAAGCATGCGCATGGATGGCGTCGCGCGCGTCGTTCGCGCGCGCGGAATGCACCCGGGGCGTTGTTGCGTGGATGGAGAGGCGGGAGGTGTGTTCGAGACGCCGCGTCGGCGTCGCGGCGCGTGCGTGGCGCGCTCAGCGCAGCGTGCGGGGCCTTGTTGCGTCGCAGGGTCGCTGTCGTGGGCGCTGGTGCACGAGTTCAGTCCGCAGACGACGGGAACGATCAAGGATATGTCCCGCGGCGACGGACTGATCCTCGCGACGGACCGCGGCGGCGTCTCGCAGTGGGAAATAGCCACAGGCAGGCAAGCTCGCGCACTGCGTCGTCACCGGACGCGCGCTGGCGGCCCGCACCGCCCCGCCACATACCCCGCCTAGCTCTCCAGGCGTCCAGCGTGCCCGCGCGGCACGTGGGCCGCGCGGGAGGCCCCCCCGATCGCCACACGTCACGTCGTGACGCATCCCGCGCCCCTGGAGCGCCGCGACGGCGCGTCTCGCCGTGCTCGCGCTCCCCGCTGGAGGCCGCTGAGCAGGGCCAGCACCTGCGCGGCCGGGGCCTCTGGCACGTGACCGCCCCTGCAGCAAAGTCGCGGCCGGGGCCACACGCGTTCACACCCCGCCCCGCCGACGCCGGCACCCTGCGCCAGAACGGCCAGAACGCCGGCAGCGCCTCGCCGCGCACCTTTCGCACCTTCCGAGGCGATGGCGGGCGCGCTCGGCGGCGCACCTCCCTCGGCATCCCCCCTGCGCAGCGCCGCGCTGGTCTGCTGCTTTCGCCCGACGGCGCCCCGTCCAGCAGTGTTTCGGCCCGCTCGCGGCTCCCCGCGAGGCTGCGCGTCGCGGCTGAGCCAGCCCGGCCCCGCTGCTCCCTCCCGAACCGGCCAGCGTGCCTGTGTACAGCTCCGCGATGACGTGCTGATGTGTTAAGTGCGTCCGGGGCGCGTCGGTGGCGGTGCAGGACGGAGCGTTTCAAGCCGAAGGATCCGCGCGGCGTGACGCAGGAGCTCGCGGTGCTGGGCGACCAGCTCTGGGTGGGCGTGGGGGGGGGTAATGTCGTCATATATGGTCTGTCGAGCCGGGAGCCGATCGACCAGATTTCCGCGCACAAGGGCGACATCGGGGACATGGTCGCCGCGCACAGCGGCCGCTTCATGGTCACGGGCGGCAAGGTGCGTTCCGGGGCCCGCCCGCGGCGCTGCGCCGTGCGCACGACACCGTCGCAGCTTTCGCGGCTTGCTCGCTGTGTGTGTGCCGGCCCGCGCGCCGCGGGGCCGCGGAGGGCGAAGGGACGGCGGCTGCCTCCGTCGCCGCGCTGCGCCGCGCACTCGCGTTACGTGTTGTCATGTTTGATACTAGTTGAAAGAAAGAAGGATCATGATATGGTGTTCGAGGACGCCGTGCGCGCCGCAGGACTTCCTGGTGCGCACGTGGTCGGCGAAGGGCGCGCCGATCGCGACGCTCTCGGTCCACCGCGGCGGCGTGGAGTGCCTCTGCGCAGTGGGCCCGGAGGACGGCGACGGGAACCTCGGATGGATATGGTCTGGTTCCAGCGACGGCAGTCTATTTGCGTGGCCGGACAGGGACGGGTCCGGAGAGGCCGACGAGGGGGCTGGGAAGTCGCTCACGCTGCCTGGGGGCTCCGGCGCGTCGTACCTGCTGCACGTCGACGGCCACATGTGGGTGGGAAGGGAGTCCGGGCAGATCACGGTGTTGGACTGCAAAACGATGACGGTGCGCGGCCCCGGAGCCCGGACGGTGGCAGTGCGAGCCGTGCGCGCGAGTCCGCGTTGCAGGGCGGCGGGCGGCGGGGCTGGCCGGCCCTGTCTGCGCCCCTGCGCGCAACGATGAAAGTTGATTCGAGAAACACTGTTTTCTGGTTCTCTCGTTCGCTGCCGTCTGGACCTGCGGTCCGTTTCCGGCAGCCGACGTCGCGATCTGTGCATGCGCGCCCGGCGCCGACCCCGCCCGTCCGCCCCCGCCTCCGCAGACCGTTGCAAACATGTCGTCGCACATCCAGCGCGTGAGCTGCCTGGCGAAGAACGGCGGCGTGGTGTGGTCGGGCTCCGCGGACCACAACATCCTCGCGTGGGACCGCAAGACGTTCCAGCTCCTCTACAGCGTCGGCGACCAGGGCTCCTACGTCAAATGCATGCTAAACTGCGGCTGGAGTATCTGGGTTGCGACGGCCAAGAATCTGCGCGTGTTCACCGCGGACGGCTCGTACAACTGGCGCAAGGACAAGATCAAGCAGTTCAAGAAGGATCTCGAGCGCGAGCGCAAGGAGATCGCCGACGCTCGGACGAAACTGCAGGAGCTGTCGCAGGAGCTGCAGCGGGCGCAGGCGGAGCTCGCCGCCGCGGCGTCGCGCGCGCAGGCGGGCGAGCAGGAAGCCAAGGACCTCCGGGAGCGCCTCGGCGCCGCGGAGGCCGCCGCCGCGGACGCGAACGGCGCTCTCGAGCAGGCGCGCCAGCAGGGGCAGACGGCGGAGGCGACGGGCGCGGAGGCGCGCGCAGCGGCCGAGGCGGCCGCCGCCGAGGCTGCGCAGCTCAAGGAGGCTCTCCAGGCGAAGGAGAGCGAGCTCGCGGAGGCGGCGGCGGCCCGCGACGGGCTGAAGGCGGAGCGCGATGCCGTCGCCGCGGAACGCGACGCCGCACAGCAGCAGGTCGCGGACGCGGCGGGGCGCGCGCAGGGCACCGCGGACGAGCTCTCGAAGGCGCAGGAGGAGTGGGCGCGCGAGCGGGCGGCGCTGCAGGACCGGTTATCGGCGGCGGAGGGGGCGCGCGACGCGGCAGGGCAGGAGGCCGCTGGGCTGCGGGCGGCGCTCGAGGAGGCGTCGGCGGCGCGCGACGCGGCCGCGCAGGAGCGCGACGCGGCGGCGGGGCGCGCGGAGGAGCTCGAGGGCGAGCTCGGCGCGGCGCGGGCGGGCGCGGAGGGCGCGGCGAAGGACTCGGCGGAGCGTGACAAGACGCTGCGCGACGAGCTGGAGGCGGCGAAGGGACGGGAGCGGCGGCTGGAGGAGCGCGTCAAGGGGCTGGACGGGGAGGTCGGGAAGCTGCGTGCGCAGCTCGAGGAATCGACTCAAGGGAGCGGGGAGCTGGAAGATAGGATCAAGAGACTGCAGAAGGAGAACGGGGAGCTGAGCGACGCGCTCCAGGCGCTGCGGGACGAGGCGCGGCGGAGAAGGACGTGCGTGCGGCCGCGGAGCGCGACCTCGGCGACGAGCGGGGGAAGGCGGAGGGGCTGGGCGCGGCGCTCGAGGCGGAGCGAGCGGCGAAGGCGGAGCTGGCGGCGGCGCGGGCGGCGCTGGAGGAGGAGTTCGCGGCGGAGCGGGCGCGGGCGGAGGCCGAGCGGGAGCGGGCGGGGGCGGAGCGGGAGGAGCTGTCTGGGCGCGGCGCGGCGCTGCAGGCCGAGCTGGACAGGGCGCGGGAGGACGCGAGGGGGGAGGCGGAGGCGCTGCGCGGCGAGGTGGCGCGGCTCGCGGGGGAGCTCGAGGCGGCGGGGAGCGCGCTCGCGGCGGCGCGGGGCGACGGCGATGCGTTGCGCGGCGAGCTGGACGACGCTCGCGCGCAGCTCGCGGGCGCCGAGGAGGCGCGCGGGGCGCTGGAGGCGCGGTGCGGGGACGCGGATGCGCGGGTCGCGGAGCTCGAGGCGGCGCTGGCGGCGGCGGAGCAGAACGGCGCGGATCTCGCATCGCGCGCAGCGGCGGCAGAGGAGGAGCGCGAGGGGCTGCGGGCGGCGAAGGGCGCGCTGGAGGCGCGCGCAGCCGAGCTGGACGCGGAGCTCGCGGCGGCGCGCGAGGAGGGCCGCGAGGCGGCGCGCGGGCTGCAGGAGAAGGCGAACGAAGCAGACGGGCTGCGCGCGCACCTCGCGCGCGTCCAGCAGGACCGCGACCGGCTCGACGGCGCGCTGGGCGCGACGGCGCAGGAGGTGGCGGCGCTGCGGGCGGCGCTCGAGGGCGCGCAGGCCGAGGCGGAGCGTCTCGCGGCTGCCGTTGACGATGCCCGCGAGGGTGTCGTTGTGGAGCGGGAGCGCGGCGCGGCGCTGGAGGCGGCGCTCGCGGCGGCGCGGGAGGAGGCCGCGGGGCTGCGGGCGGCGGTGGAGGAGGAGCGCGCGCGCGGGGAGGAGGTGGTGGCGCGGGAAAAAGCGGACGGCGCGGCGCGGGCGCGGGCGGCGGAGGCGGCGAGCGCGGCGGCGGTGGACGACGAGATCGCGAAGCGGCGGCGCGCGGAGGGGCAGGTCGCGCGGCTGCTCGGCGACATGGACGGCGAGCGGGAGCGCGTCAAGCGCGAGATCGAGGATCAGGCCGCGCGCGACGCCCTCAAGATGCTGCGGCGCTGCGAGGACCTGACGCGGCGCCTGGACGAGCTGCACGCCGAGAAGGTGCGCGTGCCGGCGTGCGGCGGGCGCGGGACTGCGCACGAGACATGCGTTTCCTCTCAGACTATTTCTTCTGATGTTTGGTTTGTTCTTCTGTGCTCTCCGAGGGGGGTTGTTTTTGTTTTCGTAAATCGGGTCCGCGCTCCTGTGCGCGCGTGTGTGTGTCTTGCAGGTGCGGGAGCAGGAGGCCGCGGGGCGCAGGATCGCGGCTCTGCGCGACGAGCTGCGCGCGGCAGAGGCTGCGCGCCGGGACGCCGACGACGCGCACGCCCGCGCGGACGCCGCGCTCACGGACGCCCGCGACGAGGTCACGCAGCTCAAGCGCCACCTGCGCTCCGCGCAGCGCGCCGTCGCGGGCGCGCCGTCCCCTGCTGACGTGGCAGAGCTCCGGGGGGCCTTACGTCAGGCCACCAAGGACTACCAGGACCTCCTGCGTCAGGCGGGGGCCTCCCGCGAGCTCGCGGCCGCGCGCGAGCGCGAGATTGATCGGCTGCTCGAGGAGAACGGGGAGCTGTCGTCGGAGCTCGCGGCTGCGCAGGCGGCGCTGGGCGAGGCCGGGCAGGCGCTGGCCGGGCTGGCGCAGGCCGCGCGGTCGCCCCCGCGGGCGCCGCGCCGGCGCCCGCAGCGCGCGCTGTCGCGCCGCCGCCGCCGAACCTGTCCGCGACGAACTCCCCCCGGGAAACACAACACCCCCGGGGGGGGACAGAGTGGGGGACTGCGCGCTCGGGGTCGCTGGACGGGGGCGCGGGGGGCGAGGCGAGCTTCGGCGGGCACCTGGCGGCGTTCGGGACGGCGCAGGAGTGGGAGCAGATCGACGAAGACCCGGGGGGGGCGCACGACCAGTACCACGACGATGACTCGCATCTGCCGCCGCCGCCGGAGCTGCAGGAGGATCGGCCGGTGGCGACGCCGGGGCGGAAGGAGCGGGACCGGTTCTTCTTCGTGCAGTGAGCGTGCGCGGGAGGCGGTTCGCGGCGGCCCCCCCCCCGGGAGGGGGGGGTTTTGCTGGCTCGGCAGAGTGAGGGGGGTGGGGCGCCGGGCGGAGCGGTCGTGAGGCGCGGGCGCGCGGCGACGGTGTGATATTCGTTGAGAAGACGCGCATTCGGCTCACACGTGCGTTGGTCGTCTCGTCTTGTCCTTCATATATATCAACATTATATAAAAGATCTCTTCGGGTGCAATGGCATACGCGGCGATGGAGACGCAGGCACACCGCGGCCCGCCCGAGGCGCCGCACCACCCACCGCGTCTCCTGCGGGTCACGGCGCCCCACCGCCAGCTCCGCAGGGGCTGTTTGCCGCTCCTCGCGGCCTCGTGTGCCGCGGTGGCTCTCATGGTGGTCGCTTCGATGGGGCTGGGGTCGACGTGGGGCCGCGACCCGGTATTCCACCACCTGGAGCACAAGTGGATGGCGGAGGACCAGGAGATCGCGCGGAGGGGCCTGATTCCGCCTAGAAACGCGACGGAGAGTGCGGAGCCGGTGTCGGGGAAGTGCGTCAAGCTGTTCAACTTCGGGATACACAAGACGGGCACCACGACGTTCAACGGGTTCTTCCGGCGGATGGGGTTCCGCGCCCGGCACCTCGACTGGATACCCAAGTGCGCTCACATGCTACATCCTTGTGGTGTGTGGGAATGCTCATGCCGCAACTAGGAGACGCGTCACGGCGTTCGCATGTGCCCGCGCTGCAGAGACGCGAATATTCTGGACGTCATGACCGACCTGGCAGCGTTCAGCGCCCACAACGGGGCCGTCACTGACGACAACATTCTCATGAGCGCGATTTTGCGCAACCAGGTGCGTGACGACGAAGGGAACGAAGCGATCCGCCGCTCGAATCAATCGATACGATTATTTTCGATCGGCGGCCGAAGCAACACGTCAACCACACAGCTCTTCGTGTCGCACACACACGGCCCACACTGCAGGTGTTCAGCGACAGCCCGTTCAACGCGCTGTTCCGTGAGATCACCGCGCTGTACAAGGACTCGGCGTGCTACGTGATGACGACGCGCGAAGAAGCGCCGTGGCTCGCGTCGCTGCGGCGGCAGCTCGGGAACTGGGCCGTGGACGCCTCGCCGTCGAGCTTCCCAGAAGACTCCAATTTCCGAACGCTCGCGACGTTCCGACGCTTCTTCTACGGCGCGACAGGTCCGACCGCCGCCTGCGGCCTTCGCGTGCCGGTCAACATCAAAGCACAGTCCCAGCTAGACACACTCCGCCGCGCATGACTTCAAACAAGAGCACGGCATTTACAATCGACAAATCTCGATCGTTTTCCCTCCCCACCGTCCCGACTGGCCCGCAGGCTTCGACGCCGGCGCGGCGCTGCGCGCCAGGCACGCCCACGAGCGCGCCCTCCGCCAGCACTTTGCGGCGGCCGGGCTGGACCTCGTGGAGGTGCCCCTGGAGTGGAGCGACGCAGACAAGTGCAGCGCACTCTGCGACGCTGCAGGGCTAGAGGCCGCGGCGTGCGACTGCGGCCTCATGGTCCACGAGAACGTCACCGGCGCGCGGAACTAGGGCTGAGACGCCTTCGTTGGTGGGTAGTCAACCCCAAGTGTTAATGGAACACACATGTATGTATGTGTGTCTCAATTTGCGCTCAATCTCTCAATCTCTTCCTCGGGACGAGGATGTGAGCGGACAGGAACCCAGCAACGCTACAAGATTAGAGTGAACACTGGCGGCCCGTGAACCGGCGACGACCCCCCTGACAATTATAAAACCCCCTGGGGGCGTCGCCAGCGCCACGGCCCCGTCGGGCCTTCAACCGCGCCCGCCGAGGGCGCAGCGCGATATCTGCTCTCTTCGGTCGCTCTGCGATCTCGGTCAGATCGCCTCCAGCTGCAACTCGATCATGTGTGGGGCACAGCAGCCCGCTGGAGGATGCACGAACATGGCGGCCCGCCGTGATACAGGAGCAGGAACCTCCGTGCTGAAGCTAGGATTGATCCTCGGCGCCGGCGCTGTGGGGGGCTTTGTGCTCGCTCCCGTTGTCTTGGGAGCGGTCGGCTTCGGCAGTGCTGGAGTGGGTGCTGCGACCTGGGCTGCGTACTGGCAGAGCTGCGTTGGAAACGTGGCGGCTGGGGGGACCTTCGCTCAACTCACGAGCGCCGGGATGGCGGGGATGGGGACGACGGGAACTGCAGTTTCGATGACCGCAGGTGATTGCCGACTACCGCTATCCGCTAAGCTTGGCGAGACGGACTCGGTCTCGGAAACAGGAAGCTGACTGGAACAGGGGCGCTCGAAAGACAGCGGTGCCGACATCGCACGTGGCCTGGCGGAGCAGTTGCTGGGCTGATAGCCTCGAGCGCACGCGCGGTGCAATGCGCAGCCCACGCCGGGTGGCATCACATTGTGTTGACAACACGTGGTGCGATACCACGCACAATGCAGGGGGCGCTGCTGCGATGGCGGCCAAAGGCGCTGCCACCTCGAAGCGGGGACGTGCTCAGGCGACAGCTCCCTGAACGACCGGGCTCTCTCTCCTTCAGGACGCCAAACTCCTTCTGCCGCGACGCAGTTCCGCGTCGTGCCTCGCAGCGCCACTGCAAGCCGCGGCGTGCGACTGGACCGGAGCCCTGATGGTCCACGTGAGCGTCGCGGACGCGCGGTGCGATGCGCGTCTGTACCCCGTGCGCGCACGCCCAGAAAGGAGAGGACACATCTACTAATTAATTAAATGATGGACGTGGCGCTCTCCAGGGCACGTTGCTCACAAAACTGTGACCGCGCACGGCCGTACACTGCCATCGCCTATCCCTCCGCGCGCACAGAAGCACTCAAAAACCGCGTCAGACGGCACCGCTCCTTTCGCGCCATACAACACTCCTCCTGTCCTCTGCCGCCCTCTCTACGCCGTGTCGAAGTTGTCCCGCACGAACCGCGCGGCGACCCGCGACGCCAGCCGCCGCTGGAACTCCGGCAGGAACTCCTGCGCCACTGCCGGCAGCACCGGCAGCAGCTCGCGCACGGTGTTGGGGTCCCGCGCCAACTGCTGCAGCGGGTCCGCCGCCACGCCCGCGCGCTTCCCGTCGGGCCCCGAGATCAAGAAGTCCACCACCTTGCGCACGCTCTCCACCTGCGCCCGGTCCTCCTGGGACGGCGGCGGCGCCAGGCGCACCATGGGCTTGGCGCCCGGGAGCAGCAGCGGGACGTAGGTGTTGTCCAGGCCGAGGCGCTTCGCGCCGTTGTGGAACTCCTCGCGCGAGATCGCGTCCACGGAGCGCACCACCTCGTCCATCAAGAACTCGCGGAAGAGGCTGCCGTCGTCGCTGAAAACGAACTTGAGGGCCTGGCGCGTGGAGGACGCGGACGACGGCGGCACGGAGGGCGCGGGCGCGCTGGTCTGGCCCGCGGGGCGCGGGGCGGACCGGCCCATGATGTCGAGGGGCTGCCCGAAGGGCCCGGACTCGAACGGCGACACCGGCACCTGGGGGGAGTAAAAGGAGGGGTGTTGGAGTGAGTCAGGCTGCGCTGCAGCGCCGATCGCAGAGCGCGCGGTATCCAAAGGAGCGCCGCGTTGCCTCGCGCGGCGAGCGGGGCTGCGGGACGGACAACACACCCCCCAGAAAGAACTGGTGTGCATGTGTCCGACAGCGAGGGGGGGGGTCCGACAGCGCACTCACCGGCAGAGGCATCGGCGCCGGGAACAGTCCCCCGCTCCCGAACGGCCCGTTCTCGCCGCCGAGCCCCGGCGGCAGCGGGAAGCCCGGCCACGGCGCGTCCTGCTGCGGCGGCGCGCGCCGCGCCTGCCGCGCGGCCGCCGGCTGCGCCCGCGGCGCGTCCCCGCCGCTCACGTCCCGCCCGTCGCCGAGCGCCGTCCGCGACGACACCTCGAACGTCTCCAGCGCCTGGAGCAGGTCGATCAACCTGTCAGCGTCAAACACTTCGTTCTTTCCGTAAATCATGTACCGGAGGCTCTCCTGGAGGCGCGGGGAGCGGTCCGTGAGGAGGCGCCGCGCGATGTACGGGTACGCCTCGTCGACGATCGCGAAGTCCGGGTCGCCGACCAGCGCGATGCCCTCGAGCACGCCGATCGCGCGGATGATGAGCGCGAAGTACGGCGGGATGCGGAAGGGGTAGTCGAACGTGATCTGCGCGAGGTCCGCGGCGAGGTCGTTGAAGTTGATCGACTTGGCGCCCCCGCCCGCCAGCGCCTGGTCAAACACCTTGGCCAGCACGGGCTTGATCGGCCGCAGGTCCGTGCCCTCCGGGATGAACTGGAGCGTGACGAAGTCGTCGAGGATCGCGTCGTAGTCCCGGTGGATCAGGTGCGCGATCGCCTCGATCATCCCGTACTTGATGTTGTCGTCCACCACCGTCATGAGGCCAAAGTCAAGGATCGCGAGACGCCCGTCCGGGGTCCGGATCAGGTTCCCCGGGTGCGGGTCCGCGTGGAAGTTGCCCGTCTGCAGCAGCTGCTTGAGGTAGCAGATCACGCCGACGTTGACCAGCTCGCCCACGTCGTCCTCCTTGGACTGCGACAGCTTCTCGCCCTCGAGCCACTGCGAGGTGAGCACGCGCCGCGAGGTGAGCTCCGCGTACGTCCGCGGCACGACGACCTGCGGGAGGTCCTTCTTCATCTCCTCCGCGAACCGCTCGGCGTTGCGGCCCTCGTTCACGTAGTCCAGTTCCTCAAAGAAACGCGCCGCCCATTCGTCGAGGAGCGCGACGACGTCCGTGCGCTTGGTGGCCTCGGGGAACCACTTGCGGAGGCCAATGCCGAGCGCGCGGATGATGAAGAGGTCGATCGTGACGGTTTCGAGCACGTAGGGCCGCTGAACCTTGACGGCGACCTGCTCGCCCGTCGCGCGAACCTTGCCCTTGTAAACCTGGCCGAGGGAGGCCGCGGCGATGGGGTCGGGCGAGAGCTCCGAGAAGAGCTCGGAGGGGTCCGCGCCGAGCTCCTGGCGGATCGTCGCCATCGCAATCTTGTTGGGGAACGACGGCACCTGCGGCGGGGGGGTGTGAGCGATGACAGGGGGGGTGTGTTGGCGATGCACGGACCGGACGAGGCAAGTACGGCAGGAGGTGCGCGGGCGCGGAGCTACGGGCGCGCAGGAGGCGCCGCCGCGTCGCGTCGGACATCGACAACGCAACACACAAGCGGTGGCGGAGCTAGGTGGCTCGGGCCAAGCAGCGGCGAGAAGAGCGGTCTGTACCTTGTCGCACAGCTTCTGCAGTTCGCGCATGGCGGCGGGCGACAGGATGTCCGGGCGGATCGACAACGCCTGGCCAAGCTTGATGTAGGCCGGCCCCAGCGACGTGACGATGCCGCGGATCTCGATGGCGCGCTTGACCTCGTTCTCCTGGACCTTGCCCTGCGCGGCGTCGACCAGGAGGTTCGAGAGGAACCCGCCGGAGATGCCGAGGAGCTGCAGGATGCGCTTGATGACGGACACGGGGCGCCTGCGCCAGTACGCCGAGATCTGCTCGGGGTCGTACACGAGCGGGAGCTTGTCGTCGGCGTCCTCGGTGACCTCGACGAGCCTGCGGGCGCGCGGCGGCGCGGCGCGGGGCGTGAGCGCGGGGCTGGGCGGCAGCATAGCTGCCGTTGTGGCGCGGCGGGGGGGGTGTACGAGGCGTGGGGATGCGCTCGGGCGGAGGGGGGGTGTTTGTTGGGTCGCTGGGGGCTGTGTGGGAGGGGGGAGCGCGGGGAGGGAGACAGGGTGCGCGAGGGGAGGGAACTCACTGCATCTCGACTCCCGCGGCCGCGAAGTCCGACTGATCGATGTTGGAGCCGCGCAGACCGGACATGAGGATGTTGAGGTCCTCGTTGCGCTCGGCCTCCGCGCGCGCTGCCTTGAACTGACTCGACATTTCAGACATGGACGGGCTGCAAGGAATTGCAGAGGGTGTGCGGCCGTGCGTCGAATTCCGCGCGTGACAGGCCGAGAGCGCCGGGTTCCGGGCTTAGATGGCACAGCACTGCGCGGGACGAGGCGTACCTGGACGAGGCGCGGACCGCAGCGGGCCCCCGCGACGGCGCGCCCGGGCGGGCCGCGTGCGCCCTCACGAGCGGCACGCTGGAGCCGCTGCGCGCAGCGCAGGGCTTGGGCGCGGTACACCTGCGCGCACGAGCACGGGGACGCGGCTGGTCGGCGAGACAGCGGTGTGTGCGTCGCCCATGCGCCGCGCCGGGCTTCCCAAGTGCTAGGCAAGCACAGGTGCGGTGATGCGGCTCTGCTTGCGCTTCACGCGGCCGCCTTTGCCGCTTGGGAGGTCTTCTTGACAAGAAAGACGACGTGAGGCCGCGGAAACGGGCTGGCGTGGTGCAGGCGGGGCGCGAGGCCCGGTGAGGGATTGAGAGGCAAGGATGCAAGAGGGAGGGGGCCAGAGGGGGTCGGGCGCGGAGCGGCGCGCACAGCGGCACAGCTGGGCACTACAGAGCGATGGCGCTCTGGCGCCGGCTGCGCAGGTCAAGCTATGCAGTGTGGGCGACGGTGCGGTGCCTGCGTTGTGTGGGTGCCGGGGGCCGGCCGCGCGGAGCTGTGCGGGCGTGTGGAGAGGTCGTCGCACCTCATGCCGATACTAGCGTGCGAAGAAATTCGGAACGCCGATCGGTGGGCCGGCCTGGGAAGCCCGGCGACGCGCGGCCGGAGCTGTCGCGGTGAAAGCGCCTCGACGCTGACTCCGAGAACAGCCGCGAGCGACAAACAGACGCGCCCAGGGACACAATCTAATCAAACTACCCTGCGTGTGCCCGCAGACAGCGCTGTCCCGCCCCAATTATCGCGCGCGGGAGGTACCCTCACTCGATGCCCCTGACTGACACATTCCGAGGGCCCTTTTCGCGACCCAAACCCCGGCACGTGCGGCGCCCGTCGCCGCCGCCGTGTCCCGCTGCGCAGCCCGCGCGCCGTCGGCGTCGCCCGGCCCCGGAGATCTGCGATAAGGCCCCGCAGCTCGCACCAAAACATGACGCACATAGCAGCTCGAACAACCGCCCGAAGAATGCGCGGCCGCGGTTGTTGGAGAGCCTGTGCGGGCTTCTCCGGGCCGCCATCCGCGGCAACGCACGCCCTCCATCGCGGCGATCGATGGCGCCCTCACGCCGCGTGTGCGGCGCTGGTCAGTCTGCCACGGCCCGGCGCTGTCAGACGGGCGAGTGCGAGACCCTGCTGGGCGCGTCATGTGGATGGCCTGGCATGGGATGCGGACACGCTGGTGCGCATCGCAACAAAAGCGTCGGGGGCACCACGCACGGCCGGGTGAGCTAGCGGCCGGGAGGGGGAGGAGCGTCGTTCGGGGACGTTGGGCGGTGTGGCACAGGTGCGACGCGCCGACAGCGTGTATCAGTCGACAGTGCGTGCGCAGGGCGCGCGGCAGCGCGCTGTCCGCCCGCCCGCGGACAGCAACCAGCCCGCGAGGCTACCGATGGGGGAAGGGCCCGGGCAGCGCTGGCGGGTGGGCGGTGCGATGTCCGATTGCGCGGGAAGCGAGTAGATATGACTGATGTGCGACGCATGCGCATCTGGACCTCGACGCTCCCAGACAGCCGCGCGGGAGGTCACCGAGGTTCCTGCACATAATGCTATGCGTTGCAGGCGAGAGCCGGGCGCTACGATGGCGGACGAGGGCCCCTGCGCGCTGCTGATGCTGCCAACAGACGTGTTGGAGAACATCCTCGCACGAATCGGCGACCTACCGTTGCCATTCCGCAACGACGCCCAAGGTGCCGTCATCGGCCACTTGATTTACCGCCGCTGGAGGGAGGACCAGACCGCGTCGTTCGCGAGCTGCTCGTCCCTCGCCACGGCCCGCGTGATGCAGTGTCTGCGGTGCACGTGGGCGCTGAAGCCCTCGGAGACGACGGACGGCGTCATCGCGAAGCTCGCGAGCACGGCGCGCGGCATGGGGCTCGCGCCGAGCGACCTGCGCGGCGGGGTCTGCGTCGACGGCCTCGCTACGAACGTGCTCGACTACGACGCCGTCTTTGACATGGAGAAACGCCGCCTGCGCGCGTTTCCCCCCGTGCTGCGGCACGCGATACAGTCAAACGTGATCGACACGGTTCGGAAGCTCGACCTGTCGGCGGTGGGCTTCCGCCGGCTGCCGGAGGGCCTGTCAGCGCTCACCGAGCTCCACGTCACGGAGTGTCGCGAGTTGGACGAGTGCTGGCTGCCGGAGTCGAGCGGGCGGCGCGTCAGGAAGCTCCGTGCAACAGACAGCAATGTGGCGCGGCTGCCGGAGTCGATGGAGTCGCTGGAGAAGCTCGACGTGAGCGGCTGCAAGCACCTGGATGCGGAGAATCACGGGTGGCTTCCGAGGAGCTCTCGGCGCTGCGTGCGCGAGCTCATCATGAAGGGTTCCAACCTGACGAGCGTGCCGGGCGGCATGGAGGCGCTCGAGACTCTGGTCGCCTCCGACGCGCGCATCGACGAGCACTGGCTCCCACGCGACAGTCGCCGGCAAATAAGAGCGCTGGTGGTTCACGTGTCGAAGGTGGCGTGTGTCCCCGAGGACATGCCGGAGCTGGTCATCCTGCGGCTGCACGACTGTCAAGGCCTCGGCTCGGACGCGTGGCTGCCGCCCAGCAGCAGCTGCGTCCTGCAGGAGCTCGTGGTGTCCAGAACCGACCTCCACCGGCTGCCGGAGAACCTCGAAGCGCTCGAGTACGTCGACGTCGATGAGTGCGTGTTTCTAGCGGAGGACTGGCTGCCGGAGTCCAGCGCGAGACACGTCACGTTCGTTCTCGCGAGGGGCTCAAACATCCGCAAGCTGCCTCCGAACATGGCGGAGCTGGCGTTCGTGGACGTTTCGTTCGCATCGAACCTGGAGGCGGACTTTCTGCCGGAGAGCAGCGGGCGGGTCTTGTCCTTCGTGAACGCGTATCGGTCGTCCATGGGACGGCTGCCCGTAAACATGGACCACCTGTTGTTCCTGAACGTAACTCGCTGCGGGAACTTCGAGGCGGCGGGGCTGCCCGAGAGCAGCAGGAGGAACCTGTGGGCCTTCAAGCCAGGCGCGGAGGCGCCGGTGGAGGAGGACCTGTTCTCACGCACCGACAGCACGAACGTGCAAACAATACTTGAACTGACCGCCAAGTCAGCGGTCAGCGTGGAAAGATCGCCGTACTATCTCGACGACTTCTATGGCGAAAGCGACGTTCCCAAGCTCCCGGACGCCATGTCGCCGTTCGGAAGGCTCTCGATGCACGGCCTGTATGACGCGTGGCATAGGCTCCACGGGTTGTTCGGCAGCGCGGCGCCGGACGAAGCCCAGGTCGCCGAATAGCCCGCGCAGGCGAGACAGTCGGTACCCGTCGACACCGACCGTGTGAACCCCGTTCGTCCCCCCTGACGTCACCGCTGCGTAGTGTGGAGGTTTGACTCAGCGCCGCCGCGGGGACGGTGGCGGCACGGCGCAGCGGCCGGGCAGCGCGACGGCGTCGAGCAGCGTGCCGGTGAGGGCCGGGGCGGGTCCGCGCTCGCTCGAGTGCCTGGGCCAGATGTCGCTGCTGTTCGGGAGCACCGAGGAGGCCTGGAGCCCGCGGCCGACGATGTGTGCGGGGACCAGCCGCTGCTGGCGGGCGACGTGGTGGGGGCGCTGCCGGGGGCGCCGTGCGGTCACGTGTGCGGCAAGTGTCAGACTGCCACCGCCGACGCCGTCAGACGGGCAGCCCGCTGGGTCCGGGGCCCAAGCAGGGCCTGCGCACGCCATGAGGACGGTGCTGTGTCACTCGTGACCACACTCGCGAGCACCGCAGGGCAGCCTGCGAGACCAGACCGGCACGGCCGGGTGCGCAGGGGTGGGCGGGGAAGAGAGCGCGTCGTTCGGGCGTACGCCGCGGTGTGGCACAGGTGCGACGCGGCGACGGTGTGCGTTGATAGGCGGTGCGTGCGCCGGTCTCGCGGCAGCGCGGCGCCCGCCCGCCCGCGGACCAGGCAGCCCGCGAGGCGATTACCGCGAAGGGTCGGCCAGCGCCGGGCGGGTGGTTGGGGACCTGCTGCGCACGACGCCAGCAGATATGACATACATAGTGGTGTCTGCATGACATGCGTAGACGACGTCGAACATCGCGCTGGAGGCCGGCGGCGGCAGCGAGATTCTTGTGCCAAGTCTCTGCCTGGAACAGGCATGCTGCGTGGCCGACCAGCGACGACGGACACGACGCTGAGTGCGACCGATCTGACTGATGTATGCGACGCAGGCGAGAGCGGGGCGCTTAGATGGCGGACGTGCACCCCTGCGGGTTGCTGAGGCTCCCTGCATGTCTGTTGGAGATCATCCTGCGAAAGGTTGGCGGCCATCCGTTCCCCTTCGCCGTCAACGAGTTGTCCCTCTTCGGCCAGCGCTTCTTGACGAAAAGCAGAGAGAGACAGACCGCGTCGTTCGCGAGCTGCTCGTCCCTCGCCACGGTCTGCATGATGCAATGTCTTCGGTGCACGTGGGCGCCGGAGCCCTCGGAGACGGCGGACGGCGTCATCGCGAAGCTCGCGCGCACGGCGCGCGGCATGGGGCTCGCGCCGAGCGACCTGCGCGGCGAGGTCTGGGTCGACGGCCTCGCTACGAACGTGCTCGACTACGACGTCATTATCAACGAACAAGAACGCAAGCTGCGCGCGTTCCCGCCCGTGCTGCGGCGTCCGCTGGAGTGCGGGATGCTCGGCACGATTAGGAGCCTCGACCTGTCGGATGTGGGCTTCCGCAGGCTGCCGGAGGGAATGTCAGCGCTCACCGAGCTCAACATGAAGGGATGTTATAGCGCTGACGAGTGCTGGATTCCAGAGTCGAGCGGGAGGCGCATCAGGAAGCTCATCGCGGTCGGGAGCAATCTGGCGCGTCTTCCGGAGTCGATGGACGCCCTTGAAGAGCTC